GGGAAGGGGCATGAGAACTCCTGCATTTCTCTCCTCTGCAACGCTACGCAACGCGAGGGAGGCTGCCGAGAAGCAAGGTATCTCTCGCCTTGTCTGGTTATTGGGAAGTACATTTTGTCGCGAGGACCCTTCAAGGAGCAGCGTCTCACGGCGCGTCTTGTCTTGGGTCTGCCCAATATTAAAATGGTGGATCATCGTATGGAAAATGGAGGAGCATGGGGAGATCCTGGGCTGAATTTTCACTAGTCCGGATAGTCTCCTCCCCCACTCTCCTCTGTCCCACACCACACGTCACCCCCATGACAGGAACAGAAGGGGAAGGGGGCCTGGGCTCTTCCCCCATTTTCTCTGTCTTCCCGGTACGTCCTTGGAGTGGATTATGATTTATTCTTCTACCCGGAGGCTTACTTTTCGACGCCTCCCATCGTCCGCCCACCACGCGCGGCGGCTTGTTACCCCAGGTTCCTTGAGCCCTAACTTTGCTCCATGCGCCTGGCAGAACCACATGCGGTAGAAGAAGTGTGGAGGCCGGGTGCTGCGGTCTTTGGCGATTTGGAACCTGCCCATACTGCTGGTGACACCCCGGGCGGATCAAATAGATAGGGTGGTTGTGTTAACATGGACTATGTAGCACTGGAAGGGAGCAGCCGCCCATTCTTCGTTGTGGGCCTTTATGCCTGTTCTTTCTATTCCTCCGAGTAACATGGCATGGCAGCATCAGAGCCCAGAAGTCCGTGTTTTGACTGGAAGTCGGGACATCTCTTTTGTCTTCAATTGAATCAACAAAGAGTTATTGTTAACCTCGTCTGAAAGCAAAAAAATGTATTCTAGGTTTCCGCCGCGCGGCAGCGCCTGACAAAACGCGGAATTGATACTTCGCTTCGGGGACCCAGTTCGCGGCTGCACGTATTACTCGTGAGTACATGTATTGTCCCAAAGGACGAAGACTTGTCGACCTCGACGATGATGTCCATCTAGTGCAAGGCGAAACCGCCACTTGCCCCATTGCCCCCAGCCAAGCCAGCATCTCCAGAAATGTTGATGATGGACTGAGAGAAGACCGGCCGTTGAGAAAATCACGCAGGATCGGGATCCTGACGATCGGTCTGTTTTGCCCCCTTTGTAACCATTCTCGGTCGGCTCGGCGGCTTGGAGCGGGGGCCACTCTGACCCAAATCGTCCTGTTGCAGAAACAAGACCGAGAGACCAGCCAATGGGTGGTGAATCGAACCTAATCCCACCCAAGCAACTTGGGTGGCTTTTGTCAAGTGGCTGATCGCAACGAGGCTCGGATTGTCCTTCTTTTGTTTCTTTCTTTCCTCTTTCTCCGTCTCACCTTTCCTGTTTTCGATGGGTTTTAATTCCCTCTGACAATATGCGGTCACGACGTATAGGCCGAATATGGATATTATCATCTCTCTACGGTAGATGGCGAATAGGATATCAGGCTGCATTTCCTCGGGACACCAAAAGGGACCTGGTTCTAACACTGTCAAGAGAAGAATCAAAGGGAAAAGAAAAAGCCACCTTTGGTCGCCAGAAGAGGGATTGGGGCCGAGGCCGGTGCTTCCTGCTGGCTGGGTGTTTTCAGGAAACCAGTGTTGGTCAGGAAATGACACTCTTGGGGAGGTCCCCAGCCGCATCATTTTTTTTTTTCACTCGAATGTTCTTGTTTGATTCCCCTCAACTTCTGAGAGTGTAGGGGGCTCGGTTAACGCCTTTTCGCTAACAATGTTTCGAAATGCCTTTTTCCCACCACCCAAAGGCGAAAATTGGCGAGAATACAGCTAGTATTCCCTCAACGGATGGAGAATCCGTTTCCCTTTCCCCTTTTGACACATTAATACTTTGTTTCTCTGAGAGAAATCGCTACAATCGCCATAGCAATCCCCTTTGGCCTCTCTTTCTCTTTTCCTCTCTTTCCTTTGCTGGGGGAATGGGCCAATTGACGTCTCCACTTTGCGGGCGGGGCGGGGCGGTTCTCTCAATTCGCGAGATACTAGATGTATTGATTGATCAATTGGGTTCATCAAAGACAGGCCCCAAACGCTTAACTTAAAGACCGACCCCTTCAGTACTTGTGTGTATTAGGTAGTTTGAGGGACTTTGATGATGGGACCCGGGCAGGGCAGGGCAGGACAGGACAGGGCAGGACAGGGCAGGACAGGGCCATTTTGCAGTATCTAATCACTATTAGTGATCCATCAGCCTGCATCCTCGATTTGTGTGTGTAAATCGTCGCGTGGCAAAGCAATCTTGACAAGCACTTGGTCGGGCAAAAGTGACAGCGAAATTCGCCTCCTGGATCCATCTGCATGGAAGCAACAGCACTGTGGACCTCTGCTCTGGGACCTATTATGGGCGTGCCTTGTCTGTCCATCGTGTCCACCTCGTCCACGAACAAGGGCCGTGGTTGCACAAGTGGAAAGGTCGGGCAAGACTGTGGTTGTGCTCTTCTCTCCCCCAAAGCAAATGGTTCTGCCCGGGTCGGCACCGCCAGCGTTGACCCTCGTCTTCGGTTGTTGAATCCCCAGGTGGCGGCCAATCTGCATTATTGCGGTGGACCTGAACCATCAATCCATTCAAGAACGCCTCTTTGGCTGGGGTAGTTCCGCCCTTGCAACACTTTGGCACCGAAACCCTAGCTCTTGTCCATTGGATTCTTGGACCCCCTCATTGCTTTTATGCAGCAAGCCCGTTCCAATTTACCGCATGGGGCGGGGGTGTCGCCCGCATTACAAGAAGTCCCTCCCTGTTGGTCTTCCCCATGCTGATACTTCAAAAGTTGTACATCCATCCACCATCAACCATTGATCTGTGGATCCACCAGGCGCTGTGCTGTGGGTTTCTTACACGACAGGGCTATTCTTATAACCCTGGCCCCAAGTTGCCTAGTCGTGGACTCGCCCATGTTGCTCCGCTCCCTCGTCAAACCCCGTCGTCGTTCCACTACTTCTTTTGGACCTAAAATTGTGGAGGCTCGTTGCTCTGCTCGAACACGTAAAAGGTACGGCTGGGAGATCATTGTTGGATTTCCGGCCTGTGGGACAGAGGCCAGCCCAGCCCAGGTGTCCCAAGCTAGCTTGCCTGCTCTTGTCCACGGTGCAGCGTTGTTCTCAATCTGGACCAACCTGTCTGTGTCTGGTTATCCTTGGGAAGGAACACTCCTACCACCTCATTCTTCATTCTTTCTCTTTTCTGCCCCTTCTTTTTCTCGCCTCTTTCCCTACTTGTATGAATAATACTACCTCCCTCGGATTATTCCCTCGCCCCCCTCCTCCTCCTCCCTCCTTCTCGTGCGCGCCAGCGAGCCTTGCTCCAAACCCTTCAGACCACCCAATAACTCGAGTCATCTCTTCCCCGACACACCAAGTACCAAGCCAGCACACGCGGAACCCGGGAAAATTTTCAGAGTCCCCGCTAACGACCACGAACCAGTCCAATCGGCGCTACCACCGGTACCAACACCAGCTCACGGGGTGCCTTCTTTCGCATCGGATCACGTCTCTCTTTCCCCTCTCCAGAATCGCAGCCTGCGTCAACCTTTCAACCCTCGACCCCGAAATCTCCTTTTAGTTGACCTGCGTTTCTGGTGTTTCCCGCGCCGCCATGGCCTAAAACATCCTACGACCTCCTGGCTCAGAACCGTGTTTTTTCTACCTCTTCTTTTGCTAAACCGTGAACTCGAGCATTGCCATTCAGGCTTTTAATTCCGTTTCCGGCTCTTTCTGTCTTTACCTTCGATATCGCCCTCAATCAGGCCCCGACACCTGGCTTTACGCTTTCGCGAGTCGATCCGACGCCACGCCTTCGAACCCTTCGTCCTCGATCGCGACCGTTCCGAGGTAGCAGTATTCGCCGCGCCCTTGAATTCGACGCTACCTGTTTGTCTACGTCCCCGTCCCAATTTTTGGCGACCCAGCCTCCGCTCGACGACTTCGACACACACCCACCCCCATTTTCCTTTCGTCCATCCTCGGGTGGTGACTTGTACTGCACCAGCGCGCCGGCGAACTTGCGGTCCTCGTTCGTACCAACGTCCCCCTTCACCCGCTTCTCGTACCATATTTGAACTGCTCGGCCTCTTCCTCGAACATTGCGATCCCGAATCCTCGAAACACCCGGCGAACGGTTAGATTGAACAGTCCATTGTGCGGGCCATGGCCACAGTAGCCAGAGCACTCTCAACCGACGATGTCAAACCTGCGCTCCCCGTCTCGCCCGCGAGCTCGTCCATAATGGCGCACCAGGATAGGCAAACCACCTCCTCCGGAGCTTAAACCTGGTTACGATGGCGAGAGGGGTCGTCGGCGGAGCAGATCCGTGGAGAATGACGGCGATGAGCAGGGAGCTGATGGAGACGGGAACAATGCTGGCTCTTCGAATTCAGACGGACCAACCCGAAAACGCCGACGGAGTCGCAAAGGCCTCGACAAAAATTCGAGTGTCCCCACGAAGGCTGCGGGAAGAGCTATTCGCGAGCAGAGCACCTGTGAGTTTTGTTTCCATGTTTTTTTTCCCCTCCCATTCTCCCATTCTCCATCTTTTTCTTTTTCCCCTGTTGTCTTTTAACCCCTTCTTTTGTTTAAACTTCTGTTTCCTTTGCCCACTCCACCGCAAATGGGGCAGCTTCCCCAGTTTCCCTCTCGAGGAAGGGGAGCTAGGCCTTAGCGTGGCCTCCAACAATCAACTAACTTTAATCACAGATACCGTCACCAATTGAACCATAATCCGAAGCAGATCTACCACTGTGACTACCCTGACTGTAAGCGATCGTTTGTGAGGCTTGATTTGTGTAACCGCCACAAGGATCGCCATACCGCCAAAGGTTCGTCTTTAAACCGAAAGGATTCGATTGCGCGATCCTCTCCCGCGGCGGATCGCGGCCCGTCCCAGTATGGACCTTCGGGGTCCATGTCCCCGAGGCAAGTCGACCTAATACTGGATTTCCGACGAGCATACGCACCGCTCCCCTACCATATCAGTCGCCTAAAGACCATATGGCTAGCCCTTATAGTCCCGCTGCACACACTCCCCCGGCCGTGTTCACAAATGGTGTCGATTATATGCAACAAGATGGAGGGTACGGCCCCCGGCCTCGCGCCGAGCCTCATTCCATGCGGGCACCACTCCGGCTCGTCCCACTCTTCAAACAAACGTGAATTCGTATGGCGTGCTTTCTCCGGTATCGACGCAGCAGGGCTTCCATAGCCAACACACTACAACCCCGCAGTCCGTCGCCTATGTCCCGCAGCAGAACTTCCCACCATTTAAACTGCCCCCTTCCAACTTCACAGACGGCGCCCCCGTGAGCAAGAGCAGCAATACCCGCCCGCCTCTACTGCCGAGTATGGCGAAAATGGCCAACAACCCGCCGAACTCATGATGCTAGATTCCATGTCTGCAGCCCAGGCGCTTCCCGTATTCGGCAACGAAAGCATCGAGAACAAGTCGCCTCATTTTATTCCCGATGATATTCTTGCCTATCTACTTAATAACCAAGCAGATAATAACTCTGCCTTCAACCAAATGGGTGGAGGGTACGCGCAAAGGTAAGCAGACTAACACGAGAGGAGGCTATCTGGGCCCGCTCGCTCGCGTTGACGTTTCCACCCCTCTCGTGACCGAAACAACCCTCCTTCTTTCCCCCGGCATTCATCTCTTGTATATCGTCCACCTGGTGTGCTAATTCGCTGTGCTAGCTACTTTGACAATACGCCAAATTATAGCAATATGCCGTTCTTGGGACCGCAGTGGCCCTCCATGGGATTTTTCCCAGCCGCATCTCAGCAGGTGATGGCCGTCTCAAGCATACTAGATCAGAATCTTCCGGAAGCGACCATTTCAGACGAAAAGAGCAACGAGATTTACGAGTTCATCAGGGACCGTTTCAACGAGAATGGCCGGGCGCCCATGGAGCGGCAGCGGGACAGCATCATAGAAGGTGACCGGACGCACGACGACCACATGCTGAGCAAGCGGATGATGCAGGCATACATTGGGTCTTACTGGCTCCATTTCAGCGACCAGATTCCCATACTTCACAAACCGACATTCTCCCCGGACCGGACGCCTAATCTTTTGCTTATATCGATGATGACGATCGGAGCGGCTTGCCTTGACAAAACTCATGGCACTGAAGTAACACAAGCGGGGTCAAAACTTTCCAATTTCCTTGCTTGGCATGTACGATGGGAAATATTCATGGACCCGAATTTCCGTCCGCCGGCCAAACTCTGGGTATTCCAGTCTCTGCTCCTGCTCGAGGTGTATGAGAAGATGTACTCGACCCGAGAACTACACGAGCGCGCACACATCCATCATGCTACCACCATCACGCTCATGCGACGAGGCCGTTCGCTTATCGGAAAGTCGGCTCTTGACTCGCCTCCTAATCCAACCGATCAGAAATCGGGGTCAACGGTTCCCGCCAGTCCTCGGCATCCGGAGTGGCAACGCCTGACGAATGGTGGAATCATTGGATCACCAATGAGGCAACGCGCCGGGCAGCATTCGCGGCGTTTGTCATCGACTCAATTCACGCCACCATGTTTGGACATTCCACGGTGATGGTGGCGCATGAAATGAGATTGCCATTACCCTGCGACGAGGCCCTGTGGAAAGCATCGAGCAGTGCCGAGGTGGGCAGGATCGAGAATAATTTGATATCGAACAATATCAAGCCGATTTCGTTCCTCGAGGGGTTGAAACGCACGCTCAGCGGAGAGGAGGTGCGCACAAACTCGTTTGGACGCACAGTCCTGATGGCGGGGTTGTTGAGCGTGACGTGGCACATGAACCAGCGTGATCTGCAAGTAAACGTTCTCGGGGGTGGCGTGTCGCAAGCTCTCGGAGGGCGAGACAAGTGGCGGGGCACGCTGAATAGGGCGTTTGATAGTTGGAAGAACGACTTTGACAAGGGACTGAGACAAGACGACAACCTCAACGACCCATACCGGTACGAAGTAGGCAAGCGAGCCGACGATAGCGTCGCACACGAGAACAGGGTCGTGCTGCACCATTTGGCGCACATGGCGATGCACGTGGACGTGATTGATTGTCAGATTTTCGCCCGGGCCAAGCGCCTCCTGGGACGGACGATTGGGCCGCAGGACCTCAACAGCGCGCAGCGGCGGATGAAGGAGCTCTGGGCGCCGTCGGCCAAGGCACGAGACGCCATGTTCTACGCGCTCAAGTTTTTATGCTCGGTCCTCTTGCCGGAGGCGACTGGCGGTAGTCCCCAGCCCGGAGACCCGTACTCGGCGAGGGACGATGTCCTTCTCGACCGGCCGTGGGTTCTATACTTTGCGGCGCTGGTAGTTTGGTGTTACGGGTTCGCCACGGAAGGCTCGTGTCCGACTGCGCCGCAGCCTAACGGTCCGGTGGAGAAGCAACGGCTCATGCGCGAGTATTTGCACAAGTTTGGGAGCATTCAATCCCCCGACGATCTCCGCCTAGCCAAGGGCATGAACCACAACACGGCGATGCTGATGGTGCTGAAAGATAGCTTCCAAGTGACCCGTTGGGAGTTGCTTCACGAGGGGGCTAATCTCCTCAATAACTGCATTAACCTGAATGCGGGGAGGTCAGTCTCCTGAAGGCGTTTACGCTTAGTCTAAATGTGGGATAGACGAGGGGCCGCGCTTCGTCGCCTTGGCCTCGCCCGCTCCACTTTTCTTTCGCACTTCACCAGTGCTCGTTGATCCGTCTCTTGCGGCGATCCCAACCAAGCACCAGTGTGGCCCCAGGGCTCCACATGATTTAGTGCCTCGTGGCATCACAAGGTCTCACAAATTTCGCGTCAACTTTGACTGACTGCACCCGTGGAAAGGGGGGCGAACGCCAGGGAAACGGAGAGTTCACAACCAATCCGTCTGCCCGAGGCCTTTTTCCCTGCCTCCCACCCCTTATTTTCTTATTTTTCTCTTTTCTTTATATGATTCAGCCATTCGACAAAAGGGACGATCGAGCGCGCGTTGATTTTGAATTGGGCGGGCGGCAATTGTTAGTTTGCGTTTTGCTAGGACTGTTTTTTTCTTAGGTCCTCTGTACGAAGGATGGTAGGCGGATGATAGGATACGGCCATTGCGAGGCGGCTATTTTGTTTCCCTGATATCCTGGGTGCTTTTACGATTCCCAATGTTTTTCCCCCTTTCTTTTGCCTTTTGGAACTTGTTGAGTTGCATAGTTGGCTTCCGTTGTTTCATCAACATCATCATCACCATCATCATCTACATCATTATCTACATCATCATCATTGTCCTCCCCCCGTCCCTTAACCATACTCCATCCCGTCGTAGCACCTTCAATCTCTAGTGAGGGGGTTTTCTGGATATATCAATGGATCAATCCCTCAGTTATATATGCCGAAGATAACTTACTAGCCTAGTAGTAGAAAAGAGGTAAACAAAGGAGTCCGAAGATCCTTTGAATTCAAACTTGCGCACGAGACACGAAACTACATGTAGGCCCTAGACCCAAGATCAAAAAGCCTTTCCCCAGAGTTTGTGAGGTCCCACCTGTGAGGAGAAAAGACTCAAGGGTGGATCATTATTTGATCCATAGATGACAGCATGGATTTTTAGGGCCCTTGCAGACCTTGCCCTTGCCTTTTGGTCGACTCCTACTTCGAAATTGATGTACCTCGTTGACTTGTTGAACCCCGCACAACTCTATGTATTTGCATGTCGTTCAAATTTTATACTCGTTAAAAGTATTATCTGAAGAGGCCTATGGATCTCTCGTCCACGCAGTCCTTGGTTTACGAAGTCGGCAGATGGAAACAATTTGCGAAACGAGAAAGGAAGAAAGAAAACGAGATAACAAGATGGTAAAAGAGAAAGAGAGGGAAAAAAACGAAAGAAAAAAAGGCCATTAAAGGGAAAGAGTTCTATTGCTCAAGAAAGCATCACAAGAAGGATGGCGGTGATAGTACTCCAAGTAGGTGCTGTCACTCCTTGGATTGATTCTGCTGACAATTCCTTCACTACACCCTCAGGGGTCCACAAAATATGTAGCTTAACAGACGAAGCTGATGGAGGTCGGTGATGATGTTTCGATCAGTTCTTGGTGCCCGGCCCCGAGGTGTACAAGGAGTCAAATGTGTACCCCGTTCCTAGTTTGTAACGTCGATGGGATGGCTGTTTGGAGACTGCTGGAGGCTCTCTTCCCAAAGATCTAGAAACAGCCCAATGTTCTGTGTCGAGAGGTGTTGAGCTCCATTGCACGATAGCAAGCCTCTTTCATCTACTTTTTTTTTTTCTTCTTCTCGTGAGTTTGCAGCACAATCATTACCGTGGCTGATGTGACCTTGGCCAAGGTTCAATCAGCAATGGTCTGGATTATTACGCTCTAGCCAATCTAGGCCGAGGCTTGCGAGGGTCGACTTGTTCTGATTTTGTGGGGTAGCTGGGGCCATTGGCTTTTGTGTGGTGTGGACATATGCTCATTAGCTTGGCCTTGATGTTACTCTGCATGGTCCAGTCAAACATCATGAGTCTGTCTTGGTGAACGGGTCTGCCGAGCTCTTACCCCAGGCTTTTCACCCGTGACCCGTCTTCCTTCAGGAATGGGGCATATTTTCATAATAATAGTTCTATACTTGTGGAAAAAGGGAAAAGGGGGAAAAGAACGAGACGGGAGGGGCGTGGGTCGTCAATCCAATCCAGTGAAAAAAGACACGAGAGTTCATCACAAGAATTTGAAGGCTGGGTATTAGTGTAGGAAGGAGCTAAAAAAAAAAAAAGAAAGAAAGAAAGAAAAAAAAGAACAAGAAAAAGAGAAAAAAGGGAGGAAAGTGCAAGGGGGCGTGAAAGAACAAAACTCTACGACGGACAGCCGTTGCTGCGGAACCGTCACGAGCACGGGGACCGGGCGACGACGCTTTAGACCGGCTTCGTGTTAGTTGAGTCACTCGACCGTCAGGTCAGAATTGTTGTGTGGAAGAGGGGGCAAGCTTGGCGCGAACCAAGGCTCCTCTTTTTCTTCTTCTTTTTATAGGGATGAAGGAGATTTCTACATTGTCACTAGAAGCTATTATTATATGGGTAAAGGTTGAGTTTGGGAGCTGGCTTCTTGTGAACCTGGGGCTAGGTTCTAGTGAGCTCCCTTTCCCTGCCTTTACAAGACTAAACTTTCTACAAGTATGTCTTGGATGCTTGGTCCGGGGAGGAAGGAGTGGTAGTTTTATCTACCGCCCCCGGCGTCTTCGGTCCTGCAAAGCAAAGGTGCAACAAGCTTTGGATGAATTCATTCGAGTATTCGCCAAACAATGAAATAAATGCATGGACCCTCTGTGTTCAATGATGTGTGCTGTTGAATGCCGCAACTCCCGAAACGAGGACTCGTGTCTCTGGCGGACCTGGGGAGAAGCGACGGGCGGGCGGGCGGGAGCGACTCAAAGCGGATCTCTCGAACCGAAGCTGCCGGCACCGCTTGAGGCACCGCTTTTCTTACTCCAGTCAGGAGATGGGCACATGGACGGAGGTAACGGAAGGCGGAAGGAACAATTTTCCAACGCGACCCAGTTTACCGGAACCTGGCCTTCCCAACGCCTTGGCGATCCCCTTGCCTCTTTTTTTCGTTCCTGTTTCTTTTGCCATGTCTTTGTTTTTTTTTCTTCTCTTCTCCTCATTGCCCTTCTCCCTTTTCTCCACCTCAAGAACCCTGCCGCCGTGGAAACAAATTTTCAGGCGGTGAAACAGAGAATCAGCATGATTGACATGGGAACGAATGGTCCAGACAGGACCAGACAGGGCCAGGCAGGACAACGTGACTAGAAAGACGATTGATGGATGGATGATGATTTTGACGTGCTTCATTGCCAATGCATTGAGGTTGCATGAAAAGGCATTTCTGTTACGAGAGAAGTTCGGACTACTGGCATCCCGTCACGGACCACGATGCCATCGGATCGAATCACAGGCGGAGGTACAAGGGGAGAAGTCAAAAAGGAAGAGTGACCAAAAAGAAAAGAAAAGAAAAAAGAGGGGCATCGAGTCACCGAGTGTCGGTATTGCGAGGCAGATGGGGAAAAGAAAGAAACATTGCAGTGAAAAGGGAGAAAGAAGGAAAAAAATTCTAAAATTAACCAAATGAAAGCTATTGTGTAAGGGGGCGGAGAAAAAGATACTTTGTTTCCTTGAAGGGCCCCTCCTCGGTCAAGAAAACCCATCGCGGATGGAAATGGTGTGCTTCATGACGAAATGCGGGGAGAAGACCTCGATGTTGGCCAAGGCAAAATCTCACCAAGGAACGGTGTACATGTGGCCAAGGCAAGATTTGGTAGCCTGCCTTGGTCACCCAGATCTCATCTGCATCGTGAAAAGGGGAGAGAAAAAGGAAAGAAAAAGAAGAAGAAAGAAAAAGAAAAAGAAAAGAAAAAGCTTGAACCAGCCCGGCAGGTACTTGCGTTCCGTCCGTCTTCTTTGGTGAGCTCCTCGGCGCATGCGTGGCTCCAAGTTGAGAGGGTACTAAAATACTCCGGACGTACTCCGTGCATTAGAAGGGTACCCACTTGTCGCAGCCCAGCCAGGTCAGCGCCCAGTAGTACTTCGTATACACAGGGGGCGCGCACGTTTACAAACCTTGCTGGCTGGGGCCCCGCTAGAACAGCCTATTCGTCGTCGTGCTTACAGCAGTGTAGCACTACTTTTGTAGTGGTGCAGCGTTTAGGATCAGATTGATGGACTGGCGGTTCGAGATTTGTGGATGTTTGTGGATGTTTGTGGATGGGGGAGTGGCCCGGATGGATCAATTCAACCTTCTCAATGCGTCAGTGGGCAGGGCAGTGCAAGCTTGCGCGCTACCCTATACTTTGTCGGTACCCTGTGGTAATACCCTGTGATCGAGGTTTGTAATTGCAAAGTACATGGGTCCGTAGCGTATACCGGACTCTCCAGGCGACCGACGGCGCGCCTGTGGGTACAGAGTCCACCGGAAGTACGCCGCGAGAGCCACGATCTGCTTCCACATGACACTTTTGGTGCGGGGCGCGTTGGCGGCTAGACATGGCCTAGATGATGCAAAACGCTGTTACAGGCCCCGGCGACATGTACTATTGAACGCTTGGTAATTAATATCAGATTTAGAAAAGAAAGAAAAAAGAGGAAGAAAAAAAAAGAACGAGGGAAGGAAATGAAAGAGATCGAGGGTAATAGCCAAGGTGATGGAAGGGGGAAATGGAGATGAGTATAATGGAAGAGGAAGTTGAAGGCAGAGGATTTACTTACACACAAGAGTACATCGATTGATGTAAGCTAGGGAAACGTGACAAGAAGCTTGTTGAGGAGCTTCGACGAGGTGCGGCGGTTCATTGAGGGACCACCATAATGAGACAACGAGTCAACTCCAGCTCGGTTCCTGTGTCGCCTCCAAATTTTGGGGCGGTTTCAATGGGTCAGCTCCCACAGCTCGGTCCGCCCCAATGCTTCCAAGTTCCATTCATTACGTTTTTCCCTTCCCCTTTGCAGCACAGGTGACCACGATGGATCCAGCCGGACCAGTCGCTTCACCACGCCACCACATGTACAGGGCCAAGAGGGCCTGCTGGGTTCACGGTTTACACGGGGAAAACGGGGCCCCTGTCTGCCCGCCCCGGCGTCCCACCCCTTTCACACGGCGCCGGCGACGTGTGCGGTGCTTCCTTCGCTTGAAAGTGACTTTTTCTTTTCTTGGTCTTGGCGTGCCGAACTTTTCTTTTCTTTTCTTTTTCTTTTCTTTTTTTCTTGTAGCTTGCCCCTCCTTATTAGAAATGTCCGTCTTGGAGAGCCAGACACGACAACACGATGCGCCACGAGGAAGGGGGTGCGGGACTGTCTTGAGCTTGCCCCGGTACACCAGCTCTTCCTGTACCTTCCTCAACAATTCAGAAGATGAGCCCGGTCAGGGTATGTTGATGAGGAAGAGAAGACTAAACAGCAGACTAGATTCTTTTTTTTTTTAAACAAGAAGAGGGGAGAGGAGAGTAACGTAAAGAAGAAACAACTAATAGAAAAGAAAAAGAAACAAAGAACAAAGAAAGAGAAAGAAAAAGAAAAAGAAAACAAAAAGAACGGGTCGAGAGGGCGTGCATCAAGTGGAAACGTCCCAACCTGGGCGCGAACGGCCATGGATAGATGGCCACACAGTTCGAGTTACAAAGTCTCGTACGACGACAGTGACACATACGCACGCCTCGACACACCTTGATCCGACTTAGAGACACGCCTCGTCGACTTTCGTTTTCCCCAAAGGGAAAGTTTGGAAACGGGTACCTTTTTTTTTTTTTTTGTGATGCCAGTTCGCAATCCGGTGACCCTCCCTGCCTGACCCTTTTTTTCGAAAAGAAGTTTTGGGTTTCTATAAGAACCCGCCAGGAGAAGCCGGCAAATCCAGCCCCTTTTGCTTTTGCTCTTTGAGGCTATCGTCTTTTCTTTCATTCACTGATTTCTCGTCATTGAGTTTATTCCTTTTTCCCCTCAACGGAGACGTTGGCGTTGCCCTTATTCGTTCTTTTTCACCTTGCAAGCACCAAAGCATTGAAAGGTGGTTTCTCTAACACCTGCCCCGGCCGCCCGGCTCCTCCCCCAAGTCCAAGCTCCGAGCTCTTATCGGAGACGCTGCAGGAACCCTATCTCGAGCAAGCAGCAAGCAATCACAATCTCCCCGCGCACAATGCTGGCCCTCCAGGAGCTCCCCACAGCAGTTTTGCTGGAGATATTCGGCTGGCTCCCGGCCACTGACCTGGGTGTCTTGCTTCGCGTTTGCCGTCGATTCTGCGGCATTGTGAGCACCCATGGCTCTCTCTACCGAGATGTCTATCTCACTTTTTTGGTGAGTACGCTTCGCTCTACCACCCATTGAGCTTGCACGAGCTTCAATGCCCTTTTTTCTTCCACCCTCCTCCCTCCATTTGCCCCCCGTGCTCCCCTGTACTCCCTTTCTCTCCTCCTCAATTCCTCTCCGCTCTCCCAGACCAGCTTGTGTGGCATGCGTGTGGGTTGCACACGCCACCCCGGTCAAGCTCGGCAACTCTTGCACAAAAAAATGTTGGTTCTGCCAACTTACACTGTTCTGCTCTAGGATGCGCCCCAACATCGTGATGTCAACTGGAAGCAAGACATACAAGATATCTGCAGACTGCAAAAGATCTGCAACAGGGAATACAGCAAAAAGGTAAGAAACTTCCCCCAAAATCCAAGATTGAAGCGAAACAGGCCGGATTTTCTTTGCGCGCCGCGAAATGATGGGCACATGAGTCAATCCGGTGGCGTTCTGGACCCCAATGCAGACCTCTAGAGGGCATTCGCTAATTTGGTCGTCTTTCGTGACTTCCCCCGCCGCTAGGACGAAGACCTCGTGCACGTCTGCTCAACCATCCTCAAACTCATCAAGGGCGCGTCACCCCACGACAGCGAAAAGTCCGCTCGCCAAGTCCCCACGCACCTCCTCCCACAACATCGAATTCCTCGCGTCGCTCTTTGAAGATGAGAAGAAGCTACGGAAATACATGTGCCGGTCGTCGCTGTACCACGGCACTTCCATCGGGGCGCGCAGCAGGGGGTCGTCCAACGACCCGCTGACCCAGCTCAGCGCGAAGCTCCACTGCCACTACGGCAAGCCCGTGGAGAGCCCCATCATCCCCGCCATGGCCTCCCTCGGCGAGCCCTACGACTTTGCCTGCGCCCAGGTCTACAACCTCCGACACTACACAATGGAGTCTTTCTGGGGTCCCTTCAAGGACGACGGCAGCGGCGACGTCGACTGGGAAAAGGTCGAGGCCTCGGTTGTGGTCATGGCCGTCAAGACCTCGAGGGACAAGGCCAGTCTGTGGACGATGCCTTGGCGTCAACCGTTTGCTGGTGCCTACCCTCAGAGCTACGTCAGCCCCCATCCGAGGAAACAACCAGAACCTCTTGACCCCACAGACCCGTACGGTGTTTCGGGTACTTGGATGAGAGTAAGTTTTTCACCATCCCCTTACACAAGCATTTTTCTCCCATTGGTTTTTTTCCCTCTTTTGTCTATCCGAGAGCCGTTTTAGGTTTTCTATTTTCCTCCCTCTTTTGTTATTTGCCTTTCGGTCCCTGTCTTTCTTTTTCTTTTTTTCGTGTAATGGAGGGGCAAGAACCAAAGGTCGTGTGCTGGTTCGTCCGCACACGTCAAGCACATGTGATGCAGGCAGCTCGGCTGGGGCAGGACCCATTTGTTACATCATCAATTCCGCGAGCCCGCACTTGGACACTTGCATGCATAAACGTAGACATCACTAACACGACTGGCCCCACCCGCAGCTGATTTGCTTCCTCAACTGGGGCGATCTTCAAATGTTCAACTCCACGAGGAGGCCGGAAACTCTCCGAAGCAACCTCAAGTCCCTGTTTTATTGCCAGGGCGCTTCGCACATGGTTATGGACCTCAGGGTCACGGCTATTGAGGATCCCGGCCCGGACGACTCCCCGACCTTCCCGTCGTCCACTTTTCCGGTTTCTCGAGGCATCTCTACCACCCGAACGATCCGGAAATTCCCTCGGATATTGAAGGTTCGTCTCCTATCTCTTGTTACTCCCCCAGTGGGAAGATAGTATGCTAACATTGGATGCCCAGGCACCTGCCGTCTCACAAAGGAAGGCGAAGTTCGCTGGACGACTGTCTCCAACTTCAACAACAATCCCAGATGGAAAACTGAATGCGTGCAAATCGGCGGAGTCCGAGCTGCTGGTCCCGTTGTTGGAAATTGGTTCTCCGCGTACGTACAGAGACAGAGCCCATCACCCTCCGTTTCCTCCTTCCTCCCCGTCATTGGGATTTCTTCGTGGTTTTCATATCGTACTAACGTCTTGTTTTTATACAGAGACTATGACGCGCGCGGACCAGTCGGCCCGCTTGCTTTCTGGAAGCTCTCAGACCAAGAGGTCTGGGATGTTCAGTCCAGGGATGTCTTTCCCCAGGTGCTGGCCAACGTGTTTGACCGTGCTTTCAGGCCCATGACTGGGTAAAAGTCTATATCTACCTCGGTACAATAATCATAATAATCAACGCCCCCAGGACAGGGGTCTAGGAAGAAGATGGGAAAATCAAAGCAATGATTGGGGGAGAAACAAAAAAATTTGGTGTTTGACGATGTAGGTTTTTTGAACGTTATTGGGAACACGGGTCATACGAAACAACTTATGGGAAATGGGCATGGTATCACGACAACTGCAAACTGTTTTCTTCTTTTTCTTTTCTTCTCTCTTCGTTTCGAACTGTCGTTTCTGTTTTCAACCTTTTCTTTTCCTTTGCTCTTGTACTTGCCCCTGTGGCAATCACTTTTAATGATGAAAAAGTTGCTCGATTTGATGGAGAAAATGGGAAAAGAGCTTTATAGCTCGCTCGGCCGATTGAGTATTCCTCTCGGCGAGCTCTTTATATGATTCGATGATGAACCACATAATTTTTTCAGAGTATGGGAAAAAGCGGCTTGAGCTGAAGCTCGCCGATGATGGACTTGGAGGAGGAGGAGGAGACTTGCTACGATAGCTATATCGAAGCTGTACATATCATCATCCGCAGATGTAGCCTTGCAACATTGTCCAGCGTAACTTACGCCAGACAGCAGGTTGTGTGCATGGCGTGCCAACACGATCCTGCCAAACAAAGAAAAACATTCTTTCCTCACAGCTTGAGGCCTTCATTGGTTCTGACTCTTTATTTCACTGACCGAATATTCACCTGCTAGACTCTAAAGCAGGTTTCTATAAATCTATGCTAGAGGAGAAGAAGCGATGGGTAGAGCACCTTTACTACATACAAGAAGCAGCCTTGATCCAACCCAAGATATTGCCAAGAAGAACCAAGAAAAATCGCTCATGCTTATATACACGCCGGCGTCCATCAGTTTAGCCTGCTAAGCCTTGCTGCTGGCGTCCGCATCCGTGCTCACCTTGCCGTGCTCGCAGATGGCAAGCACGGCACCATCGCTCTCCCGGGTCATGGTGGCCTTGATGGTGGCCATCCTGCGACCCACGTGGACGATTTCGCAGACAACGCGGACGGTGCTGCCGACGGGGACGGGGCGTAGATATGTGACGTTGAGGGTGCGGGAAACGCCGAGGAGGCTCAAGTGGGAGGTTCCTTGACGAAGCAGAGAGGCATGGTGGTGAGGTGGTCGAAGAGAGATGCCGCGCAGCCGCCGTGCAGGTTAGACGCCCCGTTGCAGTGCTCGGGCTGGACGGTGTAGATAAAGGTGGAGGATATGACTGGGGAGGTGGTCGAGCCCACGTAGGTTAGGTGAGGAAAGAGGGAGGAGGTCCAGCCCTGTTACATCTCCCATACCGGGGTCAGCCCTGAGGTCTCTTTGGTGGCATTGGCGCTTCCGCAAAGCTCCTCGACAGCTAGGATTGAAAGAGGAAACGGAAGCAAAGAGGAAGAGAGAGAGGGAGAGAGAGAGAGAGAGGATGGGAGGATATCAAAAGGTGAGAAGGGATGTTTCGACGTGGTTGTCACTTACATTCGCAATGGGGCTGCTGGGGTCGACATGGGGCGAGATCCATGCCTTTATCCTCCCCTCGGGATCGGAACTGAAGAGACCCTCGACCCAAGCCTTTGTGTCTTGGGTCATGTTTTCATAGTAATTCTTTTTGGCCATGGTGGAAATGAGCAAGAAAGTGAGAAAGCCTTTGCAATACGTCAGTAAGCGCACCAAGAATGGCGGAGCTGAAAGTTTCGGACGCTGGAAGACAAACAGTATCACAGCCGCGTAATGGGAGTCGCGACGATGTGAGGATGCGATGAAAGGGACTTGATGAGACTAGACCGAGGGGTTGAACGAGATAAGGGGCGAGGAACGGACGGTGATGGATCGATTCAAAATGATGACAAGGTGGGTTCGCAGAGCTGAGCCTTGAGCTGATCCGCTTTAGATGGAGGGGGACTGCAAATTGGTTGCTTATGCCAGCTTATGCCAGCATTTGGAGCACTTGACTGATATCTGGTGTGCTACTTGATGCTACGGAATATCCACCACGGGCCTTCAAGATCAAAATCACCGGCGGCTACCGTTCTGAGAAAAGAGAAAAATAGAAAGAAAAATAGGGGGTGAATCTGGGGAAAACTATCATTCAGAGGCTCCATCCGGGGCTGGTCTGCGCCATTCTCGATAAAGTGGATCGGATGCGGAGGGTGAACGTGCAAGAACCTAGGCTTCATGCTTATGAGGCTGGCTACCACCCGCGCGGGGTCCCGAGGTAAAAAGACCCATGCGCCATGTCCTGCGCGGTGCCGCTGCCATTGAGCGGGCAAGCCAGCGCTGAGTAGTACCTCACGGCAAACTGGGGTTATTACTGTACCTCGGTACAATTGAAAGCCCAATGCCGCATATGCTCAAGGGGAAGCTAGATGGGCTGGTCCGTGCGCACTTTCCGCCGGCCGAGAGTTCTCGCAGGCGGTCGCACAGGGAAGGAACTTGCAAGCTCCAGCGCATTTTGGAGAAGACGCCCTTCCCACATCACAGTCAACTTGAACCTGAGCCTGATCACGTCACGGTCCTGCAAAGCATTATCCACATCGCCCATCCACCTCACGTCCGCGCCATTCCCCCGAATTTCTGAACTTCGAGTCCATTGAACACACGGGACGGAAAGATCTCGGTAGCCTAGTGGTCTGAGCTGGCTATTTGCAGCGCCCTGTCTTCACGAAGGGGTGAGCTTTTGCTTTGTGCCTGCCCTGACGAAATTTCCACGACCACGGGAGTCCCGTAGCGAAATCGATTAATCCCCTCCCGCCTCGACACAGCCCATCCTCCCACGCGCGCGCGCGCACCCCTTCCGCCGCAAAAGCATCCATTCGAGATGGAGTTCGTCACCGCCCTCCAGGGCACCTTTGACGAGCAAAAGCCCTCGCTCTTCGAGCTGCTGTCCGAGCAGGAGCTCGCCTCCTCCTCCCGCCCACCCTCCGCTACTGCCTTGCCGTCGCCGCTCAGCGGTATCCCCGCTACTTCCTGCGCGCCTGCAACTCCTTTGACGAGCTCTACGCCCTGTGCATGCTCGTCGTCGAGCGCCACTACCTGCGCAGCCGGGGCGGCAGCTTCACCGAAAACTTTTACGGCCTCAAGCGCGAAAAGGCCCTCTCGACCGAGATACCCCGCGCCAACATCGCCGCCCCCGAGATCGTCAAGGATGCCCTCAAGCTGTCCACCGCCGATGTGTGGAGAAATCTGGCCGTCATGGTCGGCGTCCCCTACCTCAAGAGGAAGCTCGACGAGGCCTACGAGATCAACGCGCCGCGCGCCTTGCTCGGCGTGGCCTACACCCGCATGCCCCCAACCCGACGGTGCGCCAGAGATTTGTGCATTACTATCGCTGGTTCCTCCTCAACGTGTACCCTAGCATCAATGCTGCCTACTATTTCTCCGTCCTGGCGTTTAACCTCGCCTACCTGTTCGACAACACGAAATTCCATAGCCCCTTCATGTGGCTTATTGGCACGAGGGTAAGACGCATGGTGGCCGCCGACTACCGCGCCATCGACGCCCTGACTTCCAAGGCTCCTGGCGGCCAACCCCCGGCTGGAGGACCGTCCTATCGTCCCCTAGGGCCATGGGGTCAGCGGCGTTGTCGGGCCTCTCCGTGGCACTGCCTCTGAGCATATTCGCCCTCAAATTCCTCGAGTGGTGGCACTCGTCAGACTTTGCCCAGCAGCTGAGCCGTAAGGCTGCCGAAAATGTGGAGCTTCCGCCGCCCATCATCGCCGGCCTGTTATCAGACAAGAAGGCCAAAAAGCTCGCCGGGTCCTCGAACGCTGCCAGGGAGGCGACGGAGGGAGACGCCACGGACTCTGGCGAGACAGAAGGATCGCCATCGAGCGCAGGCCCAGACCCGGACAAGGCGCCAATCGCCACGCCTTCGATGCTTCCCATCCTGACGGTACCAACGCCAGTCGATACCTCGCTTTGTGCCATCTGCGAGGGTGATATCGCAACGGCCACGGCATGCCAGACGGGCGTGGTCTACTGCTACACCTGCATTCACCGATGGATCGAGGGCGTCCACCCGAAGCAGGAGGAGTTTATGGTTGACAGAGTTGGAAAGTGGGATAGTGGCAAGGGCAGGTGCGCGGTCACCGGCCGGCGCGTCCTCGGAGGCACCGAAGGCCTCAGGCGAATCATGCTCTAGAGGGGAGTGAAGTGACAATCTGGGCCGTCTCGCTGTTGATTTGACGGCACCCTAGAGTATTGTATTGAGAACAGTGTTTCTCGCTAGCCGACTCCCAGTGTGCTGTCAGGTCACGGTTCGCGCCCTTGTTTGCTTCTTTTCTTCTTTTTTTCTTCTTTTTTTTTGCCCCCTTTTCTTTTCACATGCTCATCATACATAGAGGATCTGGCCGGACAAGGGGCATGGGGCATAGGGCATGGGGACTCTGGCGTTTTTGGTGGTAGAATTCTTGTATTGCTTTTTCTATTTCTCTTTTAAGCCTCTCATTTCGCTGTCCCTACCACGCACAGTCAACTACATAGCCCAACACCAATGTACACCACACGCGAACAAACTATTCCCTTTCCTCTCTCTTCTCCCCGGAAGGGTCCAAGTGTCTTACTTTAAGAATTGGGTTATGGCTATTACCTCGGGAGAACTACTACGCCAATAGATTTCTTCTCTTTAGCTTCAACCGCCATCAGAATGTATTCATTACCTTTATTTCCCAGCCTCTCAGCACCTCTCGATGACGGGCATCGCAATTAGGAGAGGACACTAAATAGATGCAATGGGTCCATGGAGATGAGAGTAAACCACGGGAAAAGGGGCCAAATGGGGGCTCGAGACAGAATGGAAGACCAAGTCTAGGCCAAAAATGCCACCAGCGTTGCTCACCATCGCATCGGTTGTCTTGCTTGTTGGCCCAGTATAAGTTTCTTTTGGCTCATTTTCTTGCCTCAAGCTCCTCCTGTTTCACTTGTCGCGTTCGCGATTTGGCAGGCTTAATTAAGAGGCAACGTTAATTGGCTTTCCTTTCCTTTCTTTTTCCTGGCCTTTTTTTTTCTTTTCTTTTCCTTTGGCCCCTTTCGTTCCTAGCGTCTGTCCTCTTGGGTTCCTAATATCTCTTTCCCAGCCAAGTGCCGCCGATCGATTGAGCGAACCTGCTAAGTGATGTCTAGGGTTGCTGGACCTAGTCTCGCTCGCCGATGCCTTTGTCTAGCTCCGGCTCCCCTTTTTCTTTTTCTTTTCTCCCCTTCCCGTCTCTTTTCTTCCCTCGGTCGGTGAAATACCACTGATACACAGGGCGCGAGCTCTGAGAGTCGGAACTTGTTCTTTTTTCTTTTCGCGCTTGTTTCTCCCCTTCCACTTGTCAGTTGACAGCGGCAAGTCGTGGGTAATTTTCTTATGGAACCGAGAAGGGCACGGAACGGCGAAGTCTGTGCACGCTGCTACTTTTGTTTGTCTTTGGCTAGTGACTGCTACAGGCGAGCGCGAATGAGATGGAATGGGAGGGTAGGATAGACGAGAGACAGAGAGGGGCGAGAGAGAGCGAGAGAGAGCGACAGAGGGAAAAGAGCGGCAGGCGGGCAGATCGACTATGTTGAGAATCAGTTTCCAGGGACTTGTCTAACAGCATAGTGCATGAGTTTGGTGATTGCTCTCGACCCCATGTAGGCTTTAGCAGAGTGGACATGAAGCCCATTCCTGCTGCAATGGCAAAAGCACTTACACCAGCAGACAACTTGAAGCACACGCAAGGACATCTTTGGCAGCACATCAACCAAAAAGAAGCAGAAGCAAAGGACCACTCCTACCACCAAAACGCCACCTCTCTCACTATACTCTCCATACCATCAGCGGCGGGGAGGAGGTAGGCCACCAGAGACAAATTAGCGAGAGTGGTGTTTCCTTGGTCAAACTGTTTGGCTCACCTACGCGGTCTCACACGCGACTGATGGTCAAGCCTACGCCTGTCTAATTGAACCTCGTCTAGGAACCTGTCTCGACTGACAGGCCATTCCCATCTGAACCTCGAGCTGGAGCTCCATACCTCGTCCCCTCCTCCCCTTAGGAGATCTCCCCCTTTTGGGGGAGGGGGTTCAATTCTTTCCTCTCAAACCATGCCCACCGAGGGCCTGAATTAGGTGTTGTGTAAGACATGCCTTTCCGCGCCGCGGTCTGCGCATCTTCATGCAATATCGCCCCTGGCGCGAAGAGATGCGTGAAGGAACCGGGAGCAAGGGAGGGTGTGCCTGGGTACAGGATCGTGCTCTCCACGATCGAGCCCAGTCCCAAGAGTAGGAAGAGAAAAATGGTATATTTAAACAGCCCTCCGGTCTTCTCATTCCTCCTCCCTTCTCTCTCGTATTCCATTCACTTCTTCACGCTCTCATCCTCTTCTCGCTTTCTTGCTCTTCTTCGTCAACTTAAGCCCTCTTCACTCCTTCAGAGGCACATTCGACCAACAGCTCTTCGCAACGCTTCGAGCTCTTACGTTCCCTTTTTCTTCGCATCGAAACTCTTGACCAACTCTCCTTAACTTCCGACTTTTTGGATTCTTTATTTTTGATTCTTATAATCTTTATTATTATTCTTCTTCTTCTTCTTCTTCTTCCAAGATGCCTTACGATCTCGTCAGCTCTTTCGCCGGAGAGGGTCTCCTTTCCGGCTTCAACTTTACGATGGTGCCCCTAATGGCAACGGCTACGTCGACTACCAGTCTCGCGCTGATGCCGATGCCCGCGGCCTCGTTGACATCACCAACAGCGGTGCCGTTGTTCTGAGGGCCGATAGCCGGGAGCAGGTCCCTCCTGGTGCCACCGGTCGTGCCAGCATCCGCCTTACGAGCAAGGAGGCCTACAACCATGGCCTCTTCATCGGTGACTTTGCTCACATGCCCAAGGCCCAGTGCGGCGTCTGGCCTTCGTGTAAGTTAGACCCCGGCATCCAGCCACTATCCACGAGAAAAGAGAGAGAAAGAGGCGCTAGCCCTTCTTCTACTCACCCCGACTTGGAAAACACGCACAGAACTAACACATTTCTCATAACATAGTCCTCGCTCAGGGCAAGGGCGACGTTTCCCTCATCCAGGGTGCCAACGTGGCTGACCACAACCTCTTGAACAGCCACACGTAAGGGTAGACCCGAAATACAGAAAGCTGGGATCAAGTCGACTAACAAAAGCTTTTCTAGTGGCCCCAACTGCCTTGTCCCCACCACCGACGAGGTTGCTTACAGCGGTGAGCTCATCAACAACGACTGCAACTCCGCCAACTTCAACGGCCTCACTGGCTGCAACGTTGTCGACTATAACCCCGCCAGCTACGGCGATGGTTTCAACGCCGGCGGCGGTGGCGTCTACGCCCTCCAGTGGGACTCGGAGTACATCAAGATTTGGAACTTCCCCGCGGCTCGATCCCCGCCGACATCGCCTCCAAGACTCCCGATCCTTCCAAGTGGGGTGTCCCTGCCTCCGTCTTTGGCGGCTCCAGCTGCGACGTCGACTCGCACTATCGCGACTTGAACCTCGCTCTTGACATCGTACGCCCTTTCCCATCCCGGTCCTTGTTCCCCCACAAAATGGCTATATATCTGGGTTTACTAACCTCGTTGCTTAGAACTTCTGCGGTGATCTCACTTCTCTTCGCTGGGGCAGCCAGTGCGAGGCCCAATATGGCGAATGCCGGGGCTACGTCGGCCAGAACCCCTCGGAATTCTCCGATGCCTACTGGGAGGTGAACTACATCGAAGTCTACGAGACCGCCGAGAAGCCCGGCCCCAAGCCCGGCCCCAAGCCTGATGACAAGAACAAGGGCCAGCCTCACGGAGGCAAGGTCAAGCCTGGTCCCGGCGGCGAGGAGGAAGAGGACGACCACAGCAAGAACGGCGGTGGCGCTTGGGGCAAGGGCAAGCCCCAGCCTGCTGGTAACGGTGGCAATGGCGGCAACGGCGGCAACGGAGGTAACGGTGGTGACGCCGGCGGCCACTGGCCGCGCCCCGCTGGCAAACCGGACTTCCATTTCCCCAAGAACGGCACCCATTGCAAGGGCCCTGGCTGCGGAGCTTGGGGCAGCGGCAGCGGCAACGGAGGCCACGGAGGCAACGGCGGCAACGGCGGTGGTAACGGCGGAAATGGTGGCCACGGAGGCAACGGCGGAAACGGAGGCAATGGCGGCGGCCGCGGCGGTGGCAGCGGTGGCAATGGCGGAAACGGAGGCAACGGAGGCAACGGTGGCAACGGTGGCGGCCGCGGCGGTGGTGGCAATGGCGGCAATGGAGGCGACGGTGGCAACGGAGGCAATGGTGGTGGCCGCGGCGGTGGCAGCGGCGGCAACGGCGGAAACGGAGGCAACGGTGGCAACGGCGGCAATGGCGGTGGCCGCGGTGGTGGTGGCAATGGCGGCAACGGAGGCGACGGTGGCAACGGCGGCAATGGTGGTGGCCGCGGCGGTGGCAGCGGCGGCAACGGAGGCAATGGTGGTGACGGCGGAAATGGAGGCAATGGCGGTGGCCGCGGCGGTGGCAACGGCGGCAACGGCGGCAACGGTGGTAACGGCGGAAATGGAGGCAACGGCGGTGGCCGCGGAGGTGGTAGCGGTGGTAACGGCGGCAACGGAGGCAACGGAGGCAACGGCGGCAACGGTGGTGGCCGTGGTGGTGGTGGCAACGGCGGCAACGGCGGCAACGGTGGTAACGGTGGAAATGGAGGCAACGGAGGCAACGGAGGCAATGGTGGTAATGGAGGCAACGGCGGAAACGGCGGACACGGAGGTGGCCGTCCTCAGCCTCCTAGCCCTCCTGGCCCTCCTACCCTCCTGGCCCTCCAACCCCTCCTGGCCCTCCCAGCCCTCCCAGCCCTCCTAGCCCCCCACCCCGGTCCCGGCCCCGCCAACAAGACGCACGGAAAGCCCCATATCCCGGTCGTCGCCGGCGCTGCCACCGTTAGCGGTGGTCTCATCGGAGCCGTCACTGCCCTCGCCGGTTTCCTTGCCTTCTTCCTCTAAGGGGCTAGGACATGCCTTGGCCTTTCCATTTTTCTGGCGGTGTTCACGGCTTCGCGGGTCTCTGGTGTCTCATATCTGTTGACGGATATCTGGTTTTGGTCTTGTTCTCTTGTTTCTCTTTCATGTCTTTGTCCTCTTTTTTTCTTTTGTCATAAGTCTTCTTCCTTTGCTTAGATTGGCCAATTGTTAGAGAATTTACACGTTCACATAATATTTTCCCGCCTCTCCAAGGTCTCTCGGCGCGACTGCAACATCTGCATTAGCCCTGCGCTGATCTACAAGTAGTCTCTGGGTTAAGAACGCCAAGACCGTCTGGACAGTTCGACAGCACCACATCATACTATGCCGCCAATACCGTTCTCACGCCTCGTCGCCGGCATGAGTCATCCGGCGGGGATGCGGTCCATGGCGTCATGAGCTCAGCGCGACAATAGCGTATGCGAAAGAGATACGGGAACATGAGGTTACACAACTCCGATCAACGATGTGGGGCAATCTCGTTAATTGACCTCAACTAGGAATTTCCGACTTCTTTGTTTGGGCGGAACCGGGTCGACATGGAGGGCGAGGAGACGGGGACTTATAAGTTAAAACATTAGCAGAAAGGCTGAAGAGCGGGGAGTTGGTTGCAAACCGGAGTCATCCCTTCCTTCCCCTTCGCTTTCCCTTCGAAAATTGCCGAATTAAGGTTTTGCTTGGCCCGGCGTGGGCAAGGCAATAAATCCCTTTCCTTTCCTCTTACGCTTTTGTCTTTGGCCCCTCGCTACAACGTTCAATTTGTTTGTGAGACCTCGTTTGTGCCAGCTTCACCCTAAACCCAGCACTCTCAGCTCTCATCCCCACTTCAAAGTTTATGGTGCATCCATTCCCCCAACTCTCCAAAGACGAAATGACCTCAGCAGCGTCCGAGTCTGTGGCAACCATCCTAGTTACCTGCAAGCAAACACGTTTTCACATTGACAGCCCAAACTATCGAGAGGTACTTGCTCCCCTTTTCCTCTTTTATTTCTTCCCGCTGGGAAAGGTGGCCCCTCCCGGTATCAAGAGGAGAACGTCACTTTTGGGACAGAGGCTGATGCGAATTTATAGCTTGATGTCGAGGGGTTAAACATCACCGTCAAAACCGCCGATAAGGCGGCCGGTACTGCTCCTGCGGGAAAGGCCAAGGGCAAATCCAAGCTGAAAGGCGAGGGGACCGAGGTACTTTCCGACGCGAAGCTAAAGTTGCAAGCTGGCCAGAGATACGCTCTGCTCGGTAGGAATGGCTCGGGAAAGTCAAGTATGTCTAAGTGAAGAACAAGAAAGCGAGAGAGAGTCAGAGAAAGGGAAACTTACTCCTGATACGTAGCCCTCCTCAAGGCCATCGCCGAGAAGCTTATACCCGGGATTCCGGAACAAACTCGCATCTCCATCCTCCAGCAGACCCGTGCCGATGACGCCAACACCGATATGCCTCCAGGCGAAGGAGCCCACGAAAAGTCTAGTTCTGCCGCAACTGGCCGTACTGTCCTAGAAGAAGTCATCGAGAGAGCTACGGCTAAACATGACGTCGAACAAGAAATCAGAGGTTTGTGGTATCCTCGGTTTTGATTTACACTGCTGACGCGTAGCCCTAATTGACGTTTGAAATAATTAGCCCTCTCTGGTAGTATCAATTCAACAGACCCTTTTGCCCCCTAAGAGCAGCTAGGAAGCTGAAGCACGAGCGTCTTCTCAAGAGGCTGTTTCTTCTCGACAAGGACGCGCGACTGAGAAGCGGCGCACGAGGACTTCAGGCGAGAAAGGCCCTCATTGCTGGGGAAAAGGCCGTCGCCGAGTCCACTGAGCTGTAAGCATTTAGCCCCTGTTTTCTTTCCCTCGATCGTTCGTTCATTCGTTCATTCAATCGATTATTTCCGACATTTTTCTTGCTCCCCGGCGGAATCTACGGTTTTATGGACCAAGCCCTATCCTTCCCGCCTTTACTTTTGTATATCTCTTCCGCTAACTCGCCTCTCTAGATTAGAACAAGCAGAAGAAGCTATTGGTGCAGATTCCCTTCAGACGGAAACCCAAGAAGCTATCGATATGCTTGCCGAACTTCAGCTCCAGGTGGAGCCAACCCGCCTCACCGAGGTCGAGGCCAAGGCCAGAAAGATCCTGACCGGCTTGGGGTTCACCGAGGCTTACATGGCCAAGCCTGTCGCTAGCCTCTCCGGGGGTGGCGCATGAGGACGGCCCTGACCGCTGCCCTGCTCCAGGATACGGACATACTCATCCTCGACGAGCCCACCAACTTCTTGGACTTGCTTGGAATCATCTGGCTCCAACGTTACCTGCAGTCACTACAGGACACACCCGAGCCGCCGACCCTGATCCTCGTGTCCCACGACAGGGACTTCATCTCACTATGCACAGACCTGATGATCCTCAAGGATAAGCAAATCACCTACTTCCACGGCGACCTTCCGAGCTATGAATCTGCGCAGGCAGACCGAAAGCTTTGGCTGACCAAGATGAAGGAGGCGCAAAACCGCCAGCGTGCCCACATGCAAAAATCCATCACGAACAACATCAAGGCGGGCAAGGCGAATGATGACGAGAACAAGCTGCGCCAGGCCAAGTCACGGCAGAAGCGTCTCGACGACCGCATGGGTCTCAACGTGAGCGCCCGCGGTGGCAGATTTAAGCTGAATCGGGACCTCGAGGGCTACCACTACAGCGCTCGTGACGAGATCGAGGTGCCCCAGGACGAACGCGGAATCACCATTGTGCTCCCAGAACCTACCGACCTGCGCTTCCCCGGCGCGCTCATCTCGCTCGAAAATGCGAGCTTCCGGTACGGTCCAGCATCCCGTACCAAGCCACAGCCGCACGTCTTGGAAAACATTACGCTTTCCGTCGGCATGGGGGACCGTATTGGGATACTCGGTCTCAATGGTGCCGGTAAGTCCACGTTGGTCAAACTACTCGTCAGTGAGACAAACCCGTCAAAGGGCGCCGTGAATACGCATCCGCGCCTCAAGCTGGGATACTATTCTCAACATGCAGTCGAAGAGCTGCAGGCTCGGGGCCGAGGTGACCCATCTTTGACCGCTCTCACCCTCCTCTCCAAGGAGGTCGAGGGCGAGCTGGATGAGGGTCAAGTGCGCGGGCTTCTAGGCTCCCTTGGCTTGCCCGGTCGCCTATCGTCAGACGTACCCGTCGCGAAGCTTTCAGGTGGACAACTAGTCCGCCTCCAGCTGTCTCGCTTGCTCTGGAAACACCCGCACTGTCTCATCCTCGATGAGGTGACGACTCACCTCGACTACGAGACTGTCACCGCTCTGCGCGAAGCTCTACGTTACTGGGAAGGGGCTGTAGTGTTGGTGAGCCACGACAGGTGGTTCATGCGGGGCGCAGTGGAAAACGTAGTAGAAGATGAAGGGGACGACGGGAGTGACGCGGAGGAGGAGGACGAAGAGGAGCAGAAACGCCGGCGCGTGGTGTACCGACTCAAGGCTAGGGAGCTTGTCGTCCTGAAGAACGGTGTCACGCAGTTCGAGGAGACTTTGGAGAAGCGTGTGAAGAAACTGCTCGCGTAGATAGGCGTGTATCCTCAAAAACCGGCTCTAGATGCTAAGAGAGGCCATTACCACAATAGCTCAGGGGAAGATGGAGCTGAGGTTCATGAAGTTATGCTCTCTTGCTAACCCATTACGTCTTGTCAGCCTATTGCGATTACTTTCTGGCCTTGGCATAGGTCCCCTCCAGCTATCTCTTAGCTTAGACGTAACGTTGAAGTCGTTGAAGCCTATCCCGAAGTCTCGGGCGCCCCTTCTTTTTTTTTTTTCTTTCTTTTTCCTTCCCAACACCCACAGTTCGGGATGTACGTCTAACATACGACCACTTGTGATCTATGGATGACATTAATACTAGTTGTCGAAGGAAACGGCGTGTCGAGAGGCCCATCTACCGATAGCACTCGTAGGATCGGGTAAAAGGCCCCTCCAAGCGAGGGCTGTCCTTACCAAAACCAAGCCCCGCTTAATGACCACGTACAAATTCAGGCGAGTTTCATGCCTGGTGCCTCGAGGAACAAAAGGGCCCCGAGAAGGACTTTTTCTTCTCCCAGGCTGAAAAACAGGTAATGAATGATCTCTAGCCCCGTAAATGAGAAAGGGGACGCGGCACATTAGTTTCTCGGAAGCCACCATCTCGCAGGCTGACTGGTCATTCCGCCGGATGAACCGTGCCATAGGTTGGGGCAACCGAGGATGTGGATGAGAGGGCGGAATCTATATTAATAGGTATAATCGCTAACCCGGCTAATTCAGCGTGTGCTGCTGAGTCGAGCGTGATTATTTGATCAGGAGGAGATCCTGGAGGTTGTCCGAATAACAGCGTCTACACTAGGTAGTTTGGTAATACAGAGGTAGTGCACACCAGTGTACATTTACACTTTGAGCAGGAGGAGGTGTTGAATTGGCAGGTATTGTTAGTGATCCATGGATTGCTTCTCATTTCCTTGCCTCGTTTCATTGACGTAGTATTCTCGAGATCCGTTGGACGTTCAGGTTAATCATCCAATTGGGCGTCGAAGCTGGCAATCACCGCCAGACAAGGAAGAAGGGGGCCATGTCGAAAATAGCCACGCCGATTTATTATTAGGGTTATGGCATTTCAAGTATCAACAGAGCCCTGGTTCCTTCAGAATCCTCTGGCCCCAGCCCTCCTCACCTTGTCATTATTCGAGACTTTGCAGGGTGAGGGCAAGCTTTGCAATCTGACATCTATGGAAGAAGATGGTGGTCACCTTATGGCCAATGGATTCGGTTGACTGCAACCCTTTTTTCGAGAAAATGCAGTCGGTTCGACGTGGCGTGGGCGCCAACGAGTGCTGCTAAAAATGGGCTGCAAGGTACCGACTAAAGTTGCATGGCTGGCCTGGCCACCTTTGGCTCTGGCTTGGGGCGTCTCTCACAAGTTGCTTTCGGTCTTGAAGTGGCACCCACCAGGCCCTTCTCTGGGCGTCTCTGGGCCAGGCCAGGCACTTTGCCCGAAACAGGCCAATGCTATCGAGGAACAGGGCATCCTCATTTCGCTATTCCTGTTTGAGTGGCTGAGAATGCACGGGCGGTGCCTGGATCCGGCCTGGCGTGGTAGTCCACCATTGCACCTATCGCGTTTGGGCAAAGCTCAGGGTTTCTGTTTTGGCCCCATAGTCGCCATTGGCTTCTGCTCGACTGCCAGTTCATTCGGGTAGGGAAAGTCAATCACCGCTCCCGCAAAAGGAAAGTTGATCACCCTCTTAGTTGCTTTTTTATTTCTTTGATGGCTTCTGTTTCTTTTTGATTCGGCAACAACAGGGTTAGCTTGGCCGCGAAGGAAAACAAAGAAATGAAGAAAAAGTGGAAGATGGGATGGCTTATGGGGAAGTGCAACGGAAATATTTTGAGATTAATGTCATCAAATCATCCTTCTCCTTTCCTTTTCCTCCCCTACCTTCGCATCTTCTACTCACGACCGCTGGTTCTTGAAGGAGAGACGGAACCGGTTATTGTTAGCAATAGCATCATCTACCTCGGTATCATTTCCTCCTTTCCCAGCCAGCTGGCTACTGCCCGCTCCCTTGAGCGTGAAGGCCAAACAGTTGTTATGAGCCTGTGAGAAATGGTGTTTCCGCTTCTGACTCCGAATAAATGTTTGGGATGCGCGGATTTTCGAAACATCGGCAATCCAACTCGCTGACCCGCCCTTGACCACGAACCAGCGCAAAGACCGAGTTGGGGCCTGTCTATTCAAGCCGAACCCCTGTAATGATGAGGGGGCCTTGGGGTCGTGCGTGGGCGATAATATTCTTTGCAAAAAGTTTGATTTGGCTGCTTGCGCTCTTGTGGGAACCAGGGCGAGAGGAGGCAAAGTGTGACTGACGATGATTTCAATGGCTGGGGGAACTAATATCGGTAGGTTATTCAGATGGCGGACAAGTGGATGCCAGCTCATTAACCAAGTCGTGAGTACCTGGGAGTCCATGCTCAGGCGCGCTTGGTTTCCTTGAGTTTCCACGCATGCCAGCAGTACTGGGTACGACAATGGTAATTAAATTATGCACGATAGTCGCTGCCAGCCAAGAGCGGTGCGGGAGGTGGGTCGTTGTCACTAGACCTGTGATTCGCTGTAGAGAGCTGTATTTTCCTTAGTACAGATACTTCTTGATGACTGGGTTCGTGCCTGTGCCTGAGCCACCGCGTGCCTGGCGGGGCGGCACTTCTTTAGAGCCACAGGTACCTCGTACCTACCGTTGTACCGCAACCGCTGGGTTGCTCCTGCGTCTCCTGCGTGGACCAAGGCTGCTGGCATGTAAGATTGCAATCAAGCCCAAGATCGGTTGCTGCAACCCCGGCCGGTGGGCGAGGGAAAAAAGTGGTGTGTGCACGAAGCAAGGCCCAAGCCCCCCAATCCCAGTCTAAGCCCAAGGATGCAGGTCCTTGTCCCTATCGTGCGTTCCCGTCGCCTCCCAATCCGTTGATGAAAGCCCCGTTCCTCCCCCTTCTTTTCTCCCTTTCCCTTTTCCTCCCAACCTTATCCTCGTTTCCACTCCAGCACATCGCACCCTCCTCGAGTTGCAGGCTTACCAAACTGCGTTCACTCTTTTAAACATCAAGCATCAAATCGGACTCACGCTCCAGACGCCCCAAGGGAACCTTCGTTAGCTTCTTCTTTTCAACAGCATCCGCTACTCGCCGCCATCTAGCACGCCTTCGAAACCGCGACGAACCCTCGTTTCTCGTTGTTGAACAATTCGTACTTTGCGAACCGCCCCGAACCTCGGCCGTATCCGTATCTTTGCGATTACCTCTTTTTCTCACCTCGAAGAAATTCTCTCCACCGTAGCCATGAAGTTCACCGCTGCCGCCCTTTTGGCCCTTGCCGCCACCGTCGCCGCCGACACCATCAAGTTCACCCGGGCCAGCCCCGGCCAGCTCGGTATGCTCCGCCGCCAGGAAGACGGCGGTTATGAGCCCGAGGTTCGCGAGTGTGGCGATGGCAACACTTGCGCCGAGGCCTGTGGTGCTGGATACGAGCAGTGCGACTCTGATGACACCTCCAACCACTGCTTCAACCCCAGCGCTGGCGAGACTTGCTGCCGATTCCTCGGTCTTGGATGTAAGTTGTTGATTGTTTTCTCTTCTTCCCGCCGGCACCCCAACATCCCGTCTCTCCTCGACGCTACCACTCAGTGCGCGTTTTATAAGGCTGTTTCAGCAGCGAGGCACCTCATCTGGCGTGATGTGATTGTCGGCTTTTATATCATTGGATGTGTATATACTAAGTCTCATGAACCACAATAGCTTCTTGCAACGCCGGTTACTTCTGCGCTCATGACTCCGACAAGAACACCGTCTGCTGCGGCGAAGGCAAGTCCCTCGAAGAGTGCGCCGCCCTCAACGACTCGGGTGCCCTCGTTTCCGATGTCCCCGTCACCTCGACCGCCGAGCCCACCGCTAGCGAGACCGGCGCGTCTAACAGCACGGCCACGCTCCAGCCCAGCTCGACCAGGGGCGTCGTGTCCAACAACACGGAAACCTCGACTACGAGCCGCACTGGCGGCATCCCCGGACCTACTCAGGTTCCCCGAGAGCGGCGCTGCCAACTTTGTGCCTGCCGCCGCGGCTGCCCTCCTCGCTGTTGGCGCCTTCGCTGCCCTTCTCTAAGCGTCCATCGCCGACTCTGATTGATCAGAGGATGATGCGTCCCAAGTTGTCGACCTGGGACGGACGGCCGGACCGAAAGGGATGAGTGTCGACATTGTTTGGTTTGGTCCTCTGGGAGGCTTTTTTCACGAGGATTCCCGGACTACTCAACATCAATCAACAAGCGTGCCATGAACGATGCTCTTTTTGTTAACGACCCTCACGACGACGGCTGGTTGCTTTCATTCAAAGGGAAGGCGAGGAACTGGTTACCAAGCTCAGCTCCCAACCCAAAAGAGGGAAAACAGGCGAAAGAATGGGAACGAAAGGAAGGCGAGGAAAGCGCGCACGATGTGTTGAGATGGTCAAACCGGGAAGCCGGGAGGTGTTTGAGTGTTACGCGCCGGGTGTGCATTCTCTTTTTTCTTTTCCGCATTTTCTTGAAATGATACACCCGCGATTTTTGCTACATTTTTTTGATCTTGCTCCTGCAACAACTTGTTCTGAATGGTGGTGGCTTGCGTCAAGCTAGGCCTCCCGCCCCCTCCCATGATTTTCTTGGCTTGCTTGGTTAGATTCTGGGAGTTCTTTTTCTTTCTTCATTTCTCGAGCTTTCTAGGCTCTGATATTTCCTCGCGGAACGATTCCCCCTCCTTCGTCAAGAGGCTTTAGGTAGCGATTTTTGTATGGGTTTTGTGGCTTTTTCGTTAGGTTCGTTATGCGACGGTCGGTTGGCCTGAGGATCTATTTACAATAGAAAAGAAATTATTTTCTTCTTTATATCTTTCTTGTTCACTTGTGCATACATGTATTGCGAATCTCGAGAATGGCGTTTCTAGGCCGGAGTTTGATGGATGGGAGGAGGTTGTCTTCACCATGGTAGAAGGACGCCATATGGTTCAAGCCTCGAATATCTTGCGAGCCCTCCTACGTTTGGATAGGGAGATGGATAGATCTATGTCTCGGGCGAGAACGCCATGGCCCCTCCCGGCGCACCGTTTGCTAGCACACGACTGTCTTGGTTGTCACCGGGCTGGTAGGGTCGTTCCTCGGCAACTAAAAGGTCTCAGAAACCCACTTCTCTTGGTTGGGGGAGATGGTGTCTCGGAGCTTCACGAGAAGTCGCCAGGGCCGCGATGGAGATGTTAGGCCGGCGCCAAGGATCGCCATTCCGATGACCAGCTGGTGCAGATCACTTGCCGTTTTTTCATAAGGCGGCATCAATGGACGAGCAGAGGAGCAGCCCCTCGTTGCTTTATCACATCACCTAGCTTCCCCCATCCCCCAGATTCGCGTCGACATCACGGAAATAGAGAGGGTTTGCATTTGCGACGAACCAAGGGAGAAAGAAAAAAGCAGAAAAAAAAGGTCTGAAGAAGGGTGACAAAGCCCACAGCTGTCAATCTTTGAAACATGTATCACCAGCCCAGAGACTTTTGAGGATTGGTTACCGGTGCTACGCAAGGATGGCGAGCAGACCTCGACGCTTGTCAAGGATGGACTATCTAGTTAAATGTAAGTGACTCCAGGTTGCGTTTGCATCGAGGACCCGAGGACCGGGCGATTTTGGTCCCCCATCTCTCGCCCCGTTAGCTAATTCGTGTGCTGGGAGGAGAAATGACGCGTTCAAGTGGAGGGGAGGAGGCCGGGTGGTTCGTAGTTCGCATCCACGTATGTCATTTGCTTCCACGCCACGGATAACGAATGGTCCAATATTGACTAGTGAGCCGGACATGGCCCCCGCCTTGTTAGCCTGGTCGGTTTGGTGGGGCAGAAGGGTAGGCAGACTCGACGTCAAGGTATTATGAGAGGGGGAAAAGAAAACGAACTGATTGATCCTATGTACTCACCGTTGTCACGGTGTGGGAAACGCGTAACGATAAGGCAGACCCGAAGAGTCAGAATTAGTGGGAGAACAATATTAGAGACCAAAGGAAAAGGGCCCAAGAGGATCTACTAGTTCTCGCACGCTGCGTCTATCGGCTTACAATACAAGAAAACCCCTACCTGGAGAGCACAGAGGGCGGATAAGTAGGCTTGATGCGCTCCCACCGGCCATCACCCGCCAGAGAGACAGACCCATGGATGCATAGGCTCGGCCCATTCCATTCCTATATATCCTCGAATGATGAGCCGAGTGGATTGATTTGTTGCCCGTTTGAATTAATCTGCCTACCGTTTGGAGAGGTAGACAGGAGATATATTCGTATTGGCACTTTTGTGTCCTACTTCTCTTGTCCTTTCTTTCTTTCTATTTCTGGACTGTAAATGGCCCATGTAGGTTCAACGTTCAGCGTTGTGAGGCAAGTTGTGGGGCATCGTCATCACCGGCATTTGGGCAATTGAGGGTCCACGGGTGCACTCGATTGATTTTCGAGTACATGTACGCTAGCCCCGGGCGCTGTGCTGACCCGGTTCTCAAGGCAGCCGAGACCAGCGCCGGCTCAGCTCCTGATCAATGAGGATTGAAATTTTTAGGGACACGACCACCATCAATTGATCTCGACCCTCACCAATTTCCATTTCCCCACCATCCCATCCCATCCACCCATCCACCCACCACCAAGATCCTTGGGCCCAAACAATCACCGTCAGGCGTCCACCAAACGAAACCAAAGGTCGCCTATTTAGGATCTCGCGTGCCTCGTGATTCCGCCTCAAGTCCCCGTCCTTTTCTTGTCCGATAACGATTATCTCGTCGACTGGATATCCTCCACGTCATCCCTTGGCGAGTCTTGTGCGTGCTTGGCGACAATCCCCCTTTTTTTCTTTTTTTTTTTCTCGATAACCCCCGATACCCGCACGCGTCCTCTGTTTTCACACCTGATAGTCTCTGCGAAAATCCACTCACAAACGAACGGAGGAATAGCCAAAAAAAAAAAAGGAGAGGGAGAAGAGAGAAACCCAGCCCAGCTTTGCAGCGTGAAGCGTGGAGAAAGAATGAGACGCTACCGCGCACCACCTCAGTGATGGTGTTCTCCAGTCTTCTCGGCGGCGACCGATCCCACCACGCGAAACTCAAGCCCTCGCGGAGTTCCACGTCCTCGAGCAAACCCGTTGCGCCGCCCCGCCGCTCCTCCCCGAACCCATCCACCCACTCCTCTACCGCGGCCGAGCAAGATGCCTCCCACGCCGAATACATCTCCGACGAGTCCCAGCTCCTGGGTGTCCCGGACGAGTCTCCCGACCTGCGGGAGTTGAATAACAGCCTCGAGGCTCTTGCTGTCGTCTTTCCAAACGTGCAGATTGAGGTGTTTCGGGAGATGCTGGCGAGCTTCGAGGGCCAATCTAGGTTAGCCCTTGTGGCCGATGCGCTGCTCAAGAACCGGGTTGCCTGGGTCAAGGGCCGGTGGCGCGTCGTAGAGCCTCTGGATGCCCAGGAAAAGCAGGTAGCGACGTCAGCGGTGAACGGTAGCGCCGCGCGGGGTTCGCTCCTGGTCCCGGCATCCGAAACCTTTAGAAGCGGCCCGTACAAGGATGCCGTCAAGGCCCTCGCCTGGCACGAGTTCAAGGGCTTGTCAAGGTCCACCATCAACGCCGTCCTGGCCGAGTGCAACTACGCGTACCTCGACGCGCGCGTCACCCTGACCAACCTATCTTCCCGGTCTTGGCGATTTGCTATATCCTCACTGTTCTTCAGGCGCAAGCCCGTCACATCTGCGGAGGCGCAAAACCACCCGCTAGTGACGTGGAAGTCGACGGGCAAGGGCTCCATCATCCCGACCATCAAGTCCACCGGAAACCCTGAGCTAGACAGGAGCTCTACGACGCGCTCGTCCGACCCCTGCGAGAAAAGGCCAGGCAGGACCGCGAGGTCAAGGACAAGGAGCTCGCTCAGTTCCTCAACAACGAGGAGGCTGCCGAAACCGATGCGACCCACGAGTGCTGCTGCTGCTTCACCGACGGCGCCTTTGAGGAGTTTACCAGCTGCAGCGTGGCCGGCCACCTCCTGTGCTACAACTGCGTCCAGCACTCGCTCTCCGAAGCCGTCTTTGGCCAGGGCTGGCACAGCGTGGACGAGCCCACGGGCACGCTCAAGTGCATGGCCGTCGAGGGCGACGGCTGCACCGGCCGCATCCCCTCGGACCACCTCCACCGCGCGATGCTCGACATGCCCAAGGGCGCCGACATCCTCCACCGCTTCGATCGACGCCTCGCCGAGCAGAGCCTCGTCGGGGCGCAGCTTCGCCTCGTCCACTGCCCCTTTTGCAGTTACGCCGAGGTCGACGACGTCTACCTGCCCCAGACCGCGCGCGACCTCACCCTCCGCCCCAACCGCGTCCTCCACGTCATCGTCTTGTTCCTCTGCGCAACCGCCCTGCCCCTCTTCCTCCCCTCTTCCTCCTCGCCACCCTCTTCTGCCTCGCCCTGAGCCTGCGCTCCCCGCCAGGCCCTTACCTAGCCGCCGAGTGGCAGCGGGCCCTCCAGCGGCGCTACCGCCGCCGCCGGGGCCCCAAGTTCACCTGCCTCAACCCCGCCTGCGCGCGCGCCTCGTGCCTCTCGTGCAACAAGTCGTGGGAGGACATCCACGTATGCAACGAGTCCAGCCTCGTCTCCTCCGCACCCAGGTCGAGCAGGCCATGAGCATGGCCGTCAAGCGCGTGTGCCCCGCTGCAACACCTCCTTCGTCAAGAACGCCGGCTGCAACAAGCTCCGCTGCCCCTGCGGCTACAAAATGTGCTACGTCTGCCGCAAGGACATTGGCGAGGAGGGCTACCGCCACTTTTGCGACCACTTCCGCCCCGACGGCGACCCGAAACGCTGCACCGAGTGCTCCCGCTGCAACCTCTGGGAGGCCGACGACACCGAGCTCCTCCTGCGCAAGGCCAAAGAGGACGCCGAGAAAAAGTGGATGGAGAGGGAGAAGCGGGCCCTGTCCGGCGCCGAGCGCAAGTTTCTCGAGACCGGCTTCTCGGGCGCCGGTGGCCGCGCCGTCGTCGAGACTATGCTCACGAGGAGACGGATCCCCACCTTGCCCGAGTTTCTCGACACTATTCTCGAACTCATGTTTTACTAATCTCTCTCATACTTCTTTTTTTTGGGTCTTCTACCGCGTCATATTTATCTTTTTTTTTTTTTTTTTTGGATATCCTCTTTCAAAGATTCACCGCTTCTTTCTCTTCCCCTTTCAGTCACGCCGTCGATGAGTATATGGCATGGGTAGAGGTAGCACACTAGAACATTCGCCCTTCCCATGCCTCCCTCCCTTTCTCTTACCGGGTTATCCTTGGATCAATATTCTCTCCCTAATTCTCTCTCCTTCTTTTCTTTTTCTTATTCTTTTGGGCTAAATCGGAACACGCAAAGACGCCTCGGAATGTACACGCAATGGATCTAACGTAGAACGGGGGACACCCAGAGGCCGATAGAGCCTAGGAAGAACAAATAGGTCCACATCACTGCTTCTCTCTTTTCAGGGAGGGGTTTCTTTCCGTTTTCTCTTGTTTCCTATCGTTATCGGGTTTTTTTCACTTATGTCACTCTCTTCACTTGTCCAGACTTTACAGATCCTCCTGCATAGATACCCTAGAGAATGAGACATGTGCTCCCAGGCATCACATATAAATTGGATCAGGGACGACGACGGGGATAATGTGTAGCCAAAACGGCGGTAGTGACCCTTAAAAGAACCATGGGAATCTGAAGAAACTCGGTGTTTATTGAACATCACATATTCAAACAAAAGGAGCATGGACCATAGCAAAATGAACAGCCAATCAGGTCCCACTAGTTGACATCTTCTACTCTAATCATACAGTTCCACTCCCACTTGCCGCTCCTCGATATCCATTACGGTTGGCCTAGCCTCCCCTTTCTGCCTCTCTCTCGACAGTACGAATAACCCCACCAAATTTCTAAATAAGCTCGACGGCAGCGCCACCAATGGCGAGCTTGCCCGTCTCCTTGACCTTGGCCTGAAAATGACCTTGTTGCCCTCCTTCCACATCTCGGTGACAAGAGTCTGGCCGGGAAGCACGGTGCCGGCGAAACGGACCTTGATGTTCTTGAACTGGCCGAAGCGCTCGTAGACGGCCTTACCGGCAATACCGAAGAAGCAAAGTCCGTGGAGGATGGGCACCTTGAAGCCGCCCATCTTGGCGAAGCCGGGATCGACGTGGAGAGGGCTGTTTTAGAGGAAGGGGGCACAATCGCGTTAGCGGATCCGTCGTGTGTATCTGCAATGTGCACATGGCTCGGTGGCCTGGGAGAGGTAAAGAAAACTTACTTGTAGTCTCCGGAAAGACGGTAAACGGCGGCTTGCTCCTCCGTCGTCTTCTCCTCAACAACTGCATCGGGGGCCCTGTTGGGAGGGGCGTTGGCCGCAGTGCTCGCGCCGCGATCCGCCGCCTTCTTGGGTCCGCCGAAACCGCCGCAGCCGCGGAGGAAGACGGTCATCTCGTTGTAGAAGACTTCCTCACCCGTGGCCTTGTTGATGGTGGTGACGGCCGAGCGCACGACGGCGGCGGCACCCTTGTCTACGACCTCGAGGAGCTTGGGGTACGAAACGAGAGTGCCCGAGGTGGGGATGGGGTACTTCTTGACCTCGAGGAATTGCTCGCCGTGCAGAAGCATCATGGGGAAAAGTTGGGCACGAGATCGTCAAGGTTGTAGGGAGATTCCGCGTTGAAGGGCGGGATCACGCCAAAGGTAGGGACGGCCTGGAAGTCGTCGGCACCCTCACTATGCGCGGCGGAAGGCCGGGGTGGTCAGTCCAACAATTCTCTACACCCTAGTCTAGAAGGTCCCTTCGGCACCTCTACATCCTACCCTCCATAGGATTGGAAGGTGACTTACTAGATGTACTTGAGATCGGTGCGCTTGGCTCCAATGCCAAGGTTGTAGAGCATCACGTCGCGCTCTTCAAAGGTAAACTCGGTACCCTTGGCGGTAGCTTGCTTGGCGGCCTCGATGGCCTTGAGGTACTGGGAGTCGCCAGACTCGCTTGAGGAGGAGGCCTACGGTGAGAGAAACAAAATTTAATAAAGACGAAACGGAACCCTCAATCGAGCTTTCTATTGTTTTTACATATATACAAGACGGATAAAATTTCATTCATGAAATCATGACAGGTGGACAAGACGTGCTGTTCTGTGTGGAATTTTGGTTTTCAAGGTTGCAAAAGATAGACAAGGAAAAGAGAGAAGAATTTTCCTCATACCTTCTTCGACTTGTTCTCCATGTTGGCCATGATCTTCTTGAGACCATCCTGGCCCTTCTCGGGGTGGTCAGCCCTGCCGTCAAAGGTGACAATGTCCTTCCAGTACTTGAGGACCTCCTCGGGGGTGAGGGTGACGTCGACAGGGAAGCCGTGACCGCCAGTTCGCTGCCACCTGGTCTGACCGATCCAGCCACTGCCAACCTCGTAAAGGCCGCCGGTAGGGTTGGGGACCTTGTCGCTGGCGAGGGCGAGGACGAGGGGCGCGACATAGTCGGGCTTGAAGGCCTGAACAAGCTCCTCGGGAAGGATGGTCTTGGTCATGGCGGTACCGGCGTTGGGGGCAATGGTGTTGACGTAGATGTTGTACTTGGCACCCTCAAGAGCGAGAGCCCTGGAGAAACCGAGGATACCAGCTTTCTAAAAGTGAGAGAGAAGTGAGTGTTAGTAGTCTGCTGCGACCATGGTAGACGGCATACTAAGCCCATGGAGAAAGGGGGAAGAGGCGGAGATATTGTGCAGGTTATTGACTTGACGACTTACAGCAGCAGCATAGTTGGCCTGGCCAAAGTTGCCATAGATACCCGAGGTGGAGGTGGTGTTGATGACACGGCCGTACTTCTGCTTGAGGAAGTAGGGCCAGGCGGCCTTGGTAACCTTGTAGGTACCACGGAGATGGACGTTCATGACGGGGTCCCAGAGCTCATCAGTCATGTTGGTGAAGGCTTTGTCGCGGAGGATACCGGCATTGTTGACAATGATGTCGACACGGCCAAAGGCGTCAATGGCGCCCTTGATGACGGCCTCACCGTCCTCGGCGGAGGCCTTGACACCGGCAGCCTTACCACCAGCAGCCTTGATCTCGGCGACGACATCGTCGGGGTTGACGAGATCGTTGACAACGACGGAAGCGCCGTGCTTGGCAAAGGCAAGGGCGTAAGCGCGACCGATACCAGCACCTCCGCCAGTGACGAGGGCAACGCGGCCGTTGAAATCGAGGGTCTCGCCGGCAGGGTTGGGGCCGAGCTTCATGGCGTCCTCAAGGAGAGAGAGGAAGTCATTGGTGCCAGTGGGGTGCTGGGGGTTGGAGAAGTCGGTGACCTTGTTCCACTGCTTGAGGACGGCGCCGGGGGTGTAGGTCTCGTCGGGACGGAGGAGGAGACCGCTGGAGCGCTCCCATCGGAGCTTGGCACAGTGTCCAGCGCCGGCCTCGAAGATGGAGCCGGTCTCGGTGGTGTTGGACTTGTGGACGAGGCAAGCAACGATGGGGACAATCCAGTCGGGCTTGAGGTTGGCGAGCACATCAGGGGCATGATGGTCTCGGTCATGCGGCTAGCAGCTATAAGAGGAGAGGAAAGCAATACGGGTTAGCGTTCATTGCCTAGGCAATAAGAGGATTTCCTGGGGATTCCTTCTCTTTTCCCCAGACGATTGACTTACCAATGGGAGCAATGATGTTGGCGAGGATGTTGTACTTGATGCCCTCCTTAGCGAGGGTCTCGGTGAAACCGACAAGAGCGAGCTTGGCAGCTAGGTGGACATGAGGTGTTAGCTGTACTGAATCTTCTCCAATTATAGCCTGCACTTCCTATCACTTACCGGAGTAGTTGGTCTGGCCGAAGCTGCCGAAAAGACCGGCAGCGGAGGCGGTGTTGATGATGCGACCATACTTCTGCTTCCTGAAGTAGGGCCAAGCGGCCTTGGCGCACTTGTAAGAACCCTTGACGTGGACCTTGATGATGAGGTCCCAGTCCTCATCCTTGATGTTCTTGAAGCTGATATCACGGAGAATACCGGCGTTGTTGATGAGGACATCGATGCGGCCAAAGGCCTTGATGGCAGTCTCGATGATGCGCTCGCCGTTCTCAACCGAGTCGTAGTTAGCGACGGCCTTGCCGCCAGCAGCCTTGATCTCGTTGACTACAACATCGGCAGCCTATACAAGTCAAATAAGAATCTGCGTTAGTTTCTGTTTCTTTAGAGCTTTGCGACAGGGGCAAGCCAAGGTCCCGGTGTAGCAGTGTTTGCGGGCGCGGGGGAGGCTGAAAAGAGACAAGTGGGATGGGTACCTCGGCACGTGGAGCGGAGCCACATGCGCGGAAGGTCAGGATCGCTAAAAAGCGGTTGGAGAGGGCGGAAAGGGGGACGAGGCCAAGAGCAAGATGCGCAATCGGGGACGAGGCCGAGATGATCATCGTGGAAAGAGAAAAAGAAGAAAAAAAAAAGAAAAGCTAGGGACGTTCGGTTTTGTGGCAAACTTACCCTAGTCGAGTTTCCCTCGCCCTTGAAGGAGCCGCCCAAGTCGTTGACGACGACGCTGGCACCGCGAGAGCCGAAGAAAGTGGCATAAGCCTTACCGAGACCGCCGCCGGCGCCGGTGACGACGACGACCTGGCCGTCGAACCTCAGATCTTGAGACATGGTGATGTGTATGTGTGTGGTGGTGGGGGTACCGGAGACGAGAGGCTTGATGCTCAGAAGCTCGGCGCTGGAAATATGGCGAGCTTTGGATGAGGGGGTATATATCTCGCAATGGACAAGAAAAAAAGAAAAAGAAAAAGGAAGCACAATGGGATATGTAGGGAGGAGAGAGAAAGGTCGCGAGGAAGGGAAGGAGCAGGAGGAGGAGGAAAGGTAGTGGTGAGGGAGAAGCACGAGGATACGTTGATAATTATAGCGGGTACGATTTGGGGTGCGTCGAGCAAGTTGCTCCTCGGCAAATGGCAAGAGACTCCAGCTACATCCGGCGTTCAAGTTTTGGGGTTCAAATGTCAATTTTGGCCGTCGGCCACCAAAATACAGCTGCGTTACATGGGGCCGGTACCAAAGGCTGCGTCGAGGGGTCACTGCGCCGAAGGTAGCGGGACAAGGCCCCCTTTGTTTGGAAAGGAACAGGCGGCCACTACCGTACCTCTCGTCCGTCCCTCGGTCTACCTTGGAGCTACCTCAGGACAGCCGGCCTGTCTCGATCAATTTTGGCGTTGCTCGGCCGAGCTGCCCCACGAACAGGCCACTCATCGGTACCCGTTTCCACGAGTACACGTCTCGTACTAGCGTCCACATCAGCAAAGAGTATCGGGGTCGTCTTTTGTTCTCCCCACAAATTTCTCCAACGCCCGTGTCCAGTAGACAACCCAAAAAGAAAAACAAAGGCAAAAAGAAAGAAAGAAAAAGAAAAAGACAACCGCCTGCGTCAATTTGGCTGTAGTTTGGCGTATTCTATGCAGAAGACATCCTCCCCGATGCAAGAGCTTAACCCCGCGGCTTCCCCCTTCTCCCCTTGGATCAAAAGTGGAGGTTAATAAGAGGAGGGGAGAAGGTGTTCGCTTACCCGCCCGTCCCCGAACCTAGGAGCCGAGCTGGGAAGAAGAAAAGAAAGAAAAGAGAAAGAAAAATGATGACGAAGGAGCGACCAGAAAACCCCCAAATTGAGCTCAACCACAAGACAACAACCATCCAACGTTACTGTAGTCTTTCGGCCCAGCAACCCATAAAGACGCAGATCTCCCTCATTCAATAGCTCGAGTCAATGTGCAATGTACAATAATACGGGGTAATGTCTCCACAGCCTTTTTGTCGTGCTGTCCGTGTTGTGTGCAAGTAGTCGTGTAGTGTAGTTAGTGTACCTCCTCGACGGCCCCAAACTCTCAACTCGCTCGGCACCACCACGCAGCCAGCGGCCATGGCAAAAACTCCCGCCTTCTGGATTGCGCCCCTCACCGGGAAGCCGAGGCTCATGCTCGCAAGCTCCAGCCGTTGCCCGATTGGCCCTTCCGACTGGCCACCTTCACATGCTAACTAACCCGCAAGGAGTGTAACCTGACTTTTTGTCTTTCTAGCCCGATGAGGTCATGGATTCATAACTCGCACACCATGAATGTACAGCCAATCGCTTGTCCTTGGAGTGAGGACCAAAAAAACTGGGGGAGCCTTGAAGGGATTTGTTGGTCTCGCTGCCCCCACCACCTCCGCCCCCAATCCCGCAAACAACCCTGGATTCCCGACCATCAGTCGGCTCACATGAATTCTAGCCTCGGGATGACTAAAAGCGGGAAAGAGTGTATATAGACGGCCTTGAGCAACGAAAGTGCGAAAGGCGTTGAGGGAGATGGGTAGGATTCCGGAATATCTGGCTCCGGAAATCCAGAAGGGCTTCCCCTGGCTTCTTATTGCCTTGTTCTCCCAATCAAACACTCTCAGTCCTCCCTCAGGTCGAACCCAAGCTGACCAGATACTTAATAGACAAAAGATGCATGTGAATAAATAGATATCCAGCGCCGACGAGTATTCGTTTGGTTTAACCTCTTACCTGCAATAGCGAGTAGAAGATTCTGGAGAGCCTGCATCCCCATCAACGAAACAACCTACTGTACTGGCCCATTCACCTAATAATACCAGGTGTCCGTTGCGGTCTCTGCCGCTCAGTCCGACAGGCAAGCGAAGCTGAGTTGCCGAGCTTGAAAACCTGGCTCCCCAACAACCACTGAATCCACTTTCGGCAGCTGAATCTGTGGCTCCTGCCCTCCCCCTCTCCTCCCCCAAAGCCCCATTTTGTCCCATCCCCGCCCTCCCCCGGTGCCTAGGATTTTCCGTGTCCGGCCATAGATACAAGGATGCACCCACGCTTGTCATGACCTGCCATGTGCCTGAACACAACGGAATTCGAGCTGATGCTAATATGGAACATTGGATTTTCGACATGGCCCATATCTCCGACTTTCCGATCTTGCGCCACATGGCAATCATTTCTTCAAGATGACCATTTCGTTTTCCCACCTGTTATTCCGGTAACACAGCTTCTCGCTCGTCCTTGACTTCATCTAGACCAAAGCAAGCGAAACCCGCCAGCGTCTGTTCTCGTCAATCCGTCCCCGAGTTGTGCAATTCGAGAAGATTAAAAAAAAACGAAAAGGAAGAAAAAAAGATGAGAAAGGCAGGGCGAGAGCTCCAAACCTCAGGAGAGGAAGGAAGTCCAATAATTGGACCTTGCCCGTTTTCGGCCACGAAACTGCCGGCAGAGCTGATGTGAACTTCTTAGTAAACGCTTTCAAACTCGGCGCTAGATGCCTCCCAGCAATAGTTGGAGCGAATCCAGCAAGGAGAAACTATGGGGAAGAAGAACAAGCTGGAAGGGGTCAAGCCGCCGCCAAAGAAACCACAACCAGCACGAGCATCGGAAAGGCATCCGACAGTTGCCCCCCCATCTCCAGCTCATTTTTCCATGAAAACTTGCATCGCAAGAATCCATTTTCCATAATAGAAACTGGCTCAAAAGCCAATGGAACTGCAGGCAGCCCTCTCTGCCCACACATCCTGTCCCACAGCAGATCCGCGGGCTTCCTACCCGGTCATGGAAAAGTTGCTCCCGTGTTCAATGCTGAAATCACTTCAACGTCACGCTTCCAACTATCACTCTATCACTTTACCACTTTTACGCCCTGCCGCGCCAGCTTCTCTTTTCCTCCCCGGTCACGCCCCCTCCCTTAAACGCTTTGAGTCGGATTTCTTTTGTCCCCTTTTTTTTCCTCTTCCCTCCTTTACCTTAGCTTAATTGGCCTCCCCGCCCTTCCCGCGCGCGCTTTTTAGTTCCGTAGTAAGGCCTGCCTCCCACGCGCAGCTTCCCAACCCGGGAACGGCGAGGGTCGCCGCTGTGTAAATCCTTCGAGTCATCTTTTGTAACCAGCGTGAATCGGGCAAACCCCTCTCCCGCCTCTACTTCCCACTCCTCCCCTAAACGATATATCTTTAATCCCATGTGTCGCCTACGACCCGGCCTCCGTAGACTTTCTCCTCGTAACTCTCACCACCTCTCAACCATAACCCCTCTTCCCCAACCTCGCCTAGATCGCGCCCGCCCCGTCTACCGCGACCCCGCCGGAACCAGCCTTATCCCGCCGCGATCCCCTCCTCCCTTGTCGTCCCCCTCGCCGCCCCGCCGCCGCACCTTGACGACCAAGCCCTCCGCGCCATCCACCATGGACGCCCCCGCCTCCGTCCCGTCCTTCACCGACGACAAAACCCCCATCTGCACCTCCTTCATTCTCAACCTCGTCCAGTCCCTCACCACCACCACCACCACCAGCCAACAACGACCCCGGCCCCCATCATCATCGGCCTCAACGGCCTCCAAGGCGTCGGCAAAACCACCCTCGTCACCTCCCTCGCCTCCACCCTCACCTCCTCCTCCGGCCTACGCACCCTCGTCCTCTCCATCGACGACTTCTACCTCCGCCACGACGACCAGCTCCGCCTCGCCGCCAGCCACCCCCGCAACGCCCTCGTCCAGCACCGCGGCCAGCCCTCCACCCACGACCTCGACCTCGCCCTCTCCGTCTTCCGCGCCCTCTTAGACGGCCGCGAAACGTCCGTGCCTTCCTTCGACAAGGCTGCCTTCTCCGGTCGCGGAGACCGCCGCCCCGAGAGCGAGTGGCTCCCCGTCAACCGCCCCGGCGAGCCCCCGGTCCAGGCCGTCATCCTCGAGGGCTGGTGCGTCGGTTTTCGCGCCCTCGCCGAGGACGCCGTCCGCGCCCGCTGGGAGAGCGAGAGCCTTACCCTCCGCCAACACACCCTCGAGGATCTCTTGTTCGTCAACGACAACCTCCGCCGCTACGATGCCCTCACTGCCCTCTTCGACGCCTTTATCCACATTGATGCCGATGATCTGTCTTATGTGTACGCCTGGCGTCGCGAGCAAGAGGTCGCCCTTAGGGCTGAGAAGGGCACCGGCATGACCGACGAACAGGTCGTCAAGTTTGTCGACGCTTACTTCCCCGCCTACGAGCTTTACTGCGACGGTGTCAGGGCTGGCGTCCTCCCGGACAAACCGAGGCACCAACTGCGCATCGTAGTTGGGAGGGATAGGAAAGTGAAGGAGGTACAAATATTTTAAAGTAGCTGAGGGACATGATGATGGGGAGAATAGTACTGGCAGCTCTTGGGCGTGATGAAGAGAAAAATCGTAGATTTAATCAAGATATCTTCATAGGTTCTGCTCTTGCGTTTTACACCCACCCGGCTCCTTTTTTCCCATGCGCCCGTTCGTGAAACAAGCTGATATATAAAATAAAAGTCGAAGCAGGTCACTCATCACTCATTCGGGCAACGGGCATATTACAGCAAGTACACTCGGGACGCGGCTTCAAAAGGTAAAGATATGCACACCATCCAGCTACAGCAGAAGGGTAGAGATAGTACGGAATTTTCCCGATCTCGGTACTGATATTCGATCCTCCTCGCATGCTTACATGCGGCTCCCGTCCCCGCCCCCCTTCCCCAGATTTGCATACCCGATTAAAAACCCTTCGGATTACCGTGCGTCTCTCCTGTTTTCGGATTCGCTCAGTCGGTTCTAAAAGTAACTATTCTGACGGTTCTGTATTGCCCGAGTTCCCGGTCGCTGGCTGGCTCTCAGCTTGAGTAATTGTGAGAGCATAACAAGATGAAGAACGGGGTACGGTAAACTCATGCAAGAAACGATACATGCCCCTAATTACGGGGAGAAAGAACATGAAAAGAGGGGAACGGAGAAGGAGAAGGAGAGAAACAAAGGCCGTGAGAATGAGAGGAATTCGGAGGAACATGAAAAGGCAAGACGGAATGGGGAAAATAGAAAGCATGACTCGAACTTGCATCTTCGCGGGGAAAAGAAGAACTTGATGCCTTCCAGGCCACTCGAGGGAAACTGGACAAGGCAACATGTCCTTATAGTTCATCATAATCATAAATATTGTTGTCATAATACAAGGCGCAAATTCGAGGCTCAAACGAGCCAAATTAAGAAAAATCCCGAGCGGACTGCTCGGGGCAAGAGCTGCAACACCCCGAGTCCCGTTAAAGAAGAAGATGGAAAAAGAAAAGGGAAGTAGTATGAGTAGGCCTTCACCTCGTAAGCGCTAGGTCATAACGGCCTAGGCTGAATCCCCGGCCGAATGTCGCCTCTTTTCTGGAGAGCCGGCTCGGGACAGCTAGTCGTCGCCGTCGGTCACGACTTTAAGGCCATTCTGTTTCATCTTGTTGAGCTTCTTGTTGACCGAGTCTGTCTTGTGCCGCACGGCCTCTTCACGCGCGGAAATCTCCTGCTCGTACTTTTCGACTACGGCCCTCCTTTCCTGCCGGCTTTCCTTCATTCGCTGGATCAGGACGCCAAACTGTTCGAGAAACCAATCGCCTGACCGATTCCAGTCTGTTACCGACATTTGGGTGAAAAGGGTGGCTTGATCTCCCGACTCCTTGGTCTTGTAGTATTCGAGTTTGGAGATGAGGTCGTCACCCCGTTAGCTCGAGCAGAAGGAGGAGTGGCCTCGGCTGCGGGGTCGTAATCGAATGGCTGCTTCTGAAGATCAGTGAATTTCATGGAAGAAAGCGCGTTATCATCGTAGTCACAACTCTGACGGCGCCGCTTCCTCCCTCGATCTTCGACAACGCCGGGCCGATAAGGTGGCATGGAACTCTCTTGGAGTTTCTTCACAGGCTTCTTGGCGCGGGGCGTGACTTGGCTTCCCCTCCCTCAATCCGTTCAAAATCGTCGTCGTCGTCGTCATCCGAAAACATGGGCGAAGACCGGCCGAGAGGCTCGTACCTGGTCCTATCAGGCACACGCCGGGGTTTTGCAAAGGAAGATGGCACAGCACCCACCATCTCGTCCTCGTCGGCAAGGTGGTTCGCGGCGTGGTTCGCTCCGTAGGACGATCGTGCAAGTGAATCTCGCTGCTGCTGCTGCTGCTGCTGCTGCTGTTGCTGGGTGGCACGGGGCTTGGGTTCGGTGGACGAGGCCTCGAAGGGGTTCTCGGGGACGTGATTGTTGACGTGGTGAAGGAGGTGCTGCGGTTGAGATGTTTGCTGGCTTTGCTGGTACTGCTGCTGATAGGGGTGCTGACGTTGATCGTTGGGGATCGGCTTTACTTTCATCATTCCATCATTCCCTATTATAAACTCGGAGAACTGACTGCTCTGGTGAGGATTCCAAGTGGGCGGGGGCCCCATATTGGAGTGTATCTCTTCCGTGATAGGAGGGTGGCGGTTGTTGAGGTCGCTAGTGGGGAGTTGAACTCGGAGTCGGACAGGATGGAAGGAGCCCACAACGTGGCGGCCCCTCCGACGCGGTCGTTTGAGTTTGTCCTTGCACGCCGCATAGGAGGAGACGCCGTGATGTTGGGGCGGGGAAGGGTTCATGCCGGAACCGGAATGGCTTCTTGCTACCTGATGGTGGTTTACGGAGCCAAACCGTGTCGGCTTGGTGGCAGGCACGGGCAACCTGGCACCATCGACCACAGCCTGCCGAGAGCTAAACACTTGAGGGGTATCGGCCCTATTGGTGCCCCTTCCACCCGACACAGGGACACCGTTAGAGGCAGGTTCGGGGCCATTAGCCCTGGCAAAGGATTGCATTTCGTCCATGTCTGGGGTACCAACAGACGTGGCGGCGGGCATCACTTCGGGGGCCGCGTCGAGGCAGCTATCTAAGCTGGCAGCGGGGTCAACCACGGTGGCGGCCGTTGGCTGGGTGGCAGCTTCTGAGTGGGTAGGCTCGGAGGTAGCGATGGCCACTTCGCTGGCAGGAGCAGAACCACGTCGTTTATGAGGTCGGGACTGGAGGGCACATAGAATACTACTAAGCGGGCGAATGCGAGACGACGCGGGCATGAAGGGGCTAAAGAAGAGAGTGTGAGAGAGTGGTCGCTACGGCTCTGGAAGCTCTGGCTGTTGAGGCTATAAGGCGAGCCCTCAAATTCCGGTCTTCTCGGGAGGAGAGGGAATTTCGGAAGCGGGGTGATTCTGTGTGTAGGGGACGCGCATCAGATGTGTCATTTCCCGCGTGTTATCATTTGCTTCGTTTCGTGATCGGACTTGTTCATTCTTTGGGCGGGACTCGGGTTCTGTAGGCGACGGGTAGGGATGAAGTCGAGCAGCCACCCAGAAATCGATGAATCCAGATGGATTGGTAGGGTATGGGAGAGTAGGGTTGAGTAGATGTGGATGGACAGGAAGGAGCCCACGACGAAAGAACTAAGGTTCGTAGATGCGACGCGTTCCCTCGCTCCCTCGTTGGGTCTGGGAGGTTCTCGGAAAGGGGAAGGAGCCACTTTACTGGCGGAGGTTGGGAGAAAGATGCAGGTATCCGCGTGAAGGGCTGCGCTCTGGGCAGGAAGGACCGGGAATGATATGCGATTGCGTGGTCAATCGTGCTCGTTATCGAGTCGGGAGCTAGGAGAAGAAAACGCAAGAGACAGTCCACGACAGCAAGCCAGACGTGGAGGTCTCTGGGGTTGTGTTGGTGAGGAAATAGCACAGGCAGTCAAGGCAGCGGTCCAAGATAGGGGAATCGGACGTTCCTTTTCTCCCACTCGTTATTTTTATTTTTCCCTTTTCCCGCTTCTCCCCCACTAATAATATTTCCTTTTCCCCGTTGGTCTTTCCCACCCTGCCACCCCAGCTCGGTGCCTGTCGCGAACGTCTGGGCCCACTCGGTCAGCAAGCGAGATGGAAATTGAGAGGAAAGGGAAGGCGTGGGTGCAGGCTTGGCCGTGTGTTGGGTTGCGACGTTCAGAAACAAGGTGCGAAGGAGTGAGGAAGAGAGGAAAGCCACGCCCTCAGATGCAAAGACATCTGCCAATGGGGGCCTTCCCGAGATGCAGGGTTTGCTTGTGAGGGCAGGTTATTGGGAATGGCGGTCGGCAGAGCCCTCTCGAGAGACAAGGAGGGGATACAAACCCTGGTGCATGCATGCATGCAGTGGACCAATTTGATGGGAGGATGGGAGAAAAAAACGCCCTCGGGTCGAGACGACAGGTTGGGAAACGGGACGCTGACATTGGGCGCCATCGCAGCGCGTCGACGTGCCAGTACAAGGCTACATCAGAAGTCGTCCGCAGCGTAATAGCTCCAAGTTGTCTATCAATCGTCAGCGACGCTAGTGCCTACCCACCCCACTCTTGCAGCCCACCAACCCAGCCAACACTGAACCCAGCCAGCCAGCCAGCCAGCTCGCGAGCGCTGGAGCTATTGAACCATTCAGCCCGCGGTCACCGAACCAGCGGCGCGGCCCCAGAGAGCCAGAGACAAATGAATTCAAGTTGATCACGCGCGAGACAAGAGGGATTGGTATCAAGCTACAAAGTATCGTCAAAGTAGTCGCAGCCACCGGAATAAATAGATCAATTGGTTCATTGGCAACTCCATCGAAAGGAAGGCCCTGTCCTATCAGTGATGCCGGGACCTGTTACCCCCCCACCCACCACCCACCCTCCTTAGCTTCCGTGCTCTTTGGTGCATCGCCAAATCTGTATCACCTTCCCCGGGCACTACCCGTCATGGGCCCCGCGAACCCGAACCCACGGCCTTTGAAACACACCTTCACCTTGGGGACTTTGTGCCACTGCGGGAGTTCGCACCTGTTAGCCGCTCTCCCTTTCTTGCCATTCGGTGGTGATGTTCCAAGACAACCGCCTGAATGCCTCAGTCTACGACGGACCCTTTCGTAGTTCAAATCGGAACTAGCACGGGGTTTCCTAAAGAGAAGACGGGGGTGGCTGTTGGCGGGTTGGGGATTGGGGAAGACGGTTGATATGGTGGGGGCAGACGCTGCAGGTATCAGTTCCCCAGCATGCTCGTCTCTCTCGGCAGCTTGAGGTCAAGGGACGCCCTAAAACCCTGTCAAGTTCCTTGATATAAGACAGGCTTGGTGAACTCAGCAGATATTGTGTGTCGCAGCTATGTATATCTCAACCCTCGCTCTTTCTCGTACACAAGTCAAAGCGACAGCGCACGCTCAATCTCTCTTCGCAACACACACCACGCTGCTGCCTATTGCTTCTTGCTCCATCTGTTTCTTTTCTTTTTCTTTTTCTTTTACACCATCTCAATGAAGGATACATGCCCTCAGTCAGCCGCCTCGCCGCTAGGATTCGTCTCTCCTGCTTGGTGATTTGTTTCTGCATGGACGCTGTTCAGTCGACGCCCAATAAGACGGCGCCGACGGTTCCCCCACATACCCCAGCGTTGCGTTGCCTTGGAGCCCAACCTATGGCAAGGTGAGGCAGGCATGACCAATGAGCAACACGCCGCATACAAAAGATCACACCATGGCAGTTTTTTATCAACGCAGGCTCTGCGAAGAGAACAACGACGGCCCCTCTCCATTCTATTCGGACGTCCAGCATTTGTGTGGGCGAGAAAGTCGGAGAGACGGGGGAGGGGGCGTGGTGGCTGCTCTTGAGCCGTGCCGTGGATGCAGTATGTGCAGACGATGTCATGCCATGCAAACATTGCAAGGCGTGGGGAGGAGGGCCGACAACCGGCGGCAGGGCCGCTTGCCTTTCATGGATGCGGTAGATAGGCGCATGGTTGGCGATCGATCTATTGTGGGCGCTGAGTTGGTCCTGGGGAGACATGAATGTGGGGAGTCCTACGCCTCAAGAAACAACCTACTTCGCACATCCATGTGTAATTCACTTGCGTATCATGAAAAGTAGAGTCAGTTCTTCGTCGACGTATACCTACTAAGAGCCGAAGCGACTGGATAGTCGGCCCTAAACCCCGCCCCCAAAAGGGAGAGATAGATCAAACAAAGGTCGTCAAGTTAACCAAGGCACAACCCGCTCTAATGCCCACGCCTCTTGTGCGCCACAGCCATTGCTCATGCCAGCTGCTTCTTCAGAAAGACCAAGGGAATGTCAATCTTTTCACCATCCTGAGTAACCCAGGGATACCCGTCCGCCTTCCTCCGCACCACCTCGTACCCCTGATGCCGGTACCACTCCTCGTTGGACCTAAGAGCCTAGGGACCAAGCAAACACACAGGCCGTTAGTGATAGATAACTCTCGTCGCGCACCCCCTTTGCCACCGGGGGAACGGAAGTCTCATAAACGGGGAACCCACCTCGGGCACAGCGTGGCCCCGCTCCGTATAAGCAGCGTGAACCACGTGTTCCTGGAGCTGAAAGCTCTTGTCCGTCGTGTCTAGATACGCCACACGCGCTCCAAACGGCTCTCGCGCGAGAGCCTCCTCGGCCCACCTCATGGCGTCCCGGCCCAGCCCGCGGTTGTGCATCGCGTACGAGAGGTACAGCGAGGTGATCCACGCCACCTCCCCGGCGGCCAGGCCGAGATACTTGTCCTTGGCCGGCTGCCGCTCGATGGCGATGTGCCCGACGGGGAGGATCTCGGCGGCCGTTGGCGTCCGGCCGGAGCCCAGCACCGAGGCTGATGTATCGATCAGCGGAAACCGTTCCTACCGTCACGCAGTCAGTCTTTTGCTTAACATATCGCCAAATTCTTTCTTTTTGAGGTAGGTACTTACGTCTGGATACTTGCTGCGGTGCTTCTCAATGAGGTTGCCCGCGTCTGGAAGGTCGTCTCTCAATACCTAGCAGGCATCAAGCCGAGGCTCAGTCACCAAGTTCCGCCTGCTCCGTCCTCCCTCCAAAAATAAAAATAAACGACGAACTTACAAGCCAGTAAATCCCCTTTGTCCCTGCCTCGTGCGCCTGCCTCCATGGCTCAATCATGTCCTCGGCCCATCCGCAGGCGACCCGTTGCAGCCGCAGCCGTTCCGCGTGTTCAGAGCTCCCGCTATCAAACGGGACGAACCTCAGTTTCTTTGATAATAAATCCGACTCCATCGTGTCCTCTTTGTTGTGGCCTATAGATAAAAGGTGGGGGAGAGGATTGTTAAAAGTGAGAGAGGAAACTCAATATCCTTGTAACAAACGTTATTTCGCTCAATGCAACAATGGGCCTGGCTCTCAAGTGCTCAGGGTGTGTAAGTCGCGAATCAAAAGAGAGGCAGTTTGTGAAGGGTGTCCTAGTGCAAGTTATAACACATCGCCGTTGGCATCCCGGGCCAACCTTCTTTCCGTCTAGATCCTTCGAGGATCAAAGGAAGAATGGCAAGTCCCACATTCACGCACTTTATCGCTATCTGACTCCACCCGGCTCTCCTCGCTCTTTTCGGCGCACTCGCCCGTTATTACGGCGTATTTTATGGATTTAGTAATTGGTGGCCATGAAACGGGGGCTAACGATTTCCGGTCTTCCCGTCTGCTGCCTACAGATTTGAGAAAGAAGGGGGAAAAAGAAGAAGAAAAAGAGAGGCCCTTCCCCATATTTTTATTCCTTCAAGCTCCTCAATGTTGTGTTTTTATGGCCTATAGATCTACGGTGAAGGTACTGGGAATACTCGGATATGCCCAACGGCCCCGTTTGCCTTTGCCGACATCAATCGATCCCACTTGTAGATACCCGTTGTGTCCCCTCCTCCCGGCCGGCCTCCGCCCTTTCATGTAGGTAGCAGCTATCCTCGCTCGTCCGAATTGCTTCCCGTCTTCCTACAAGCACCGTCATTTTGAAGTGGTTCCCTATTGGCTTGCCCACCAATTGCTCAAATAGTAGTCTCAGGTGTTGGCCGTCGACTTGGTGTGAAAAATATTCGCTTCCGGGAATGATACTCTTGTTGCTCTGCCCTCTGCCTTATGCCTTCTGGCCTCCTTAAATCATGCTACCAAGAGTCGACGCGTTCTTGATCCTCGCAGCCATTGTCTCTCCCAACCAGATCCGTCTTCCCACGTGGCGATATTTCAAAGTCCCAAACCTCCCTCCCCGTCCTCCCCACCATTTGATAGCCACTATGCTCTCATTTGTCCTGATATCCTTGTCCTCATGCTCTTTTTTATCTTCTTCACGCCCGTAACGTTGCGTCGCCGAGTTCCTACCCGCCAACCTCGGCCTGTCCCTTCCATAACTCTATTAAATCGTCTATCCACATCTCATAACATAAAAGAAAAAAGAAAGGCGGAATAGAAAGCAAAAGCCCTGTGCAAACTTAGAGCCATCGATATGGCGCTTGCAAAGGATTCCGCCTACTAACGGGGCCGTTTCGGCACGTTGCAAACAAGCCCCACGAGTGCGATTGTTGCTGCTTCTTGCTTGTCAAGATTCCGCCCATAAGGACCTCTGCCGACTATACCTCTTCCCTGGATGCCACTTGAGTTGTTGTTCTTTGATCTTTTTGATTTTTTTCGTTCCCTTCCTTCTTCCAAGGTTCGTTTCTTCTCCAATTTACCCTGCAAACTGGAATCGTTGGCCGCTGAGCTGGCCGAGTCCGTCGCGAGGTGCGACGTTTCGGCGGCGATAGCTATTTGTAAAGTCCTGCAAGAGGGCCCTGACCTGCCTAATGTTGTTTTGGTCATCTGCCTGAAGCTTTTCCTTGATTTTTCCCATCAGGCGGCTGGACTCGACGGGAGAAACGGTTCCCTGGGGGAGTAGCTGGATCGTCCGCTCGACCCACGCCGTAGTCTCCGTGGGGAATAGCCGGAACATGGCTAGGAGCACGCCGCTGCCGTCAACAAAGCAGTCGCTTGGGAAAGTGATCATCATGCCCGCCATGACCTGCTTGATAAGGCTCTCGCCTCGGGTGGTGAGAAGGGTCCTGACAATGCCTCGAAGCTGAACCGCTACATCTGGCGGCAGACCCTCGCCAGTTGCTGGGTTATCGCCCGCATAAGAGATGAGGTCCAAAAGGAAATGGAGTGTCGCAGAGAGCGGATCGCGCTGTTCTAGCTGTAGAGCATAAATCGAAGCTTCGAATATAGGCGTAAGAAGTTCCGAGGGCAAGAGCTTCTGAGGGTAATACAGCAGAGCATCCACGAGCAGCCGGAAGAAGTCCTCGATGACGTCGGGCAGCTCCTTAGGTTGCAAAGTCGCCATTTCCCGTAGGAAAGTCGTGGCCTGCGCTTCGAAGAATTTGTAGATGCTTTCAGTGATGCTCGGGTTGACGTGTTCCCGGTCCTCTGAGAACTCCCGGAGGATGGCTGCTGTAACCCAGAGGAAGCATCCCTCCTTCGAGGCGACAAACCCGCTCGCCAACTTGTCCGCCATCGCCGGCAGGAGAGGCGTCATGGCCGTCCGGTACGAGATCACCATATGGCGCCAAGATCGACAAACCCGTTCACAAATTGGCACAAAGGTGATGAACGTCTCGAGAATATTGGCTAGGACAGGGAACACCTCTTGCCAATACTTGACCGCAGGGTTGTCGGTGCCACGAACATATGGCTTGACATTCTGAACAAAGACCGTGATGAGTTGGACCTGGTCTAGACATTTCCATCAGTGCAAGGTTAGCATGAGAACTGAAAAGCCCCCAAAAAATATTAAGATGGGGGATGCGTAAACGTACCAGCCAAAGCGAGCTTCTCTTCATCAGTGTTCGCTTTATAAGCCTTCTCGGCTTTTGCTACCAGGCGCTGCACCAAGGGGTCGCAGTACAGCTTGAGGAGCTTGTAGATTTCGCCCTCGGGTTGGGCAGCCACCACGCTGGCAACACCCTCAGTCATCTCTTCCTGGCTGAGCTCGGGTAGTTTATCTAGGATCTGATTGTAGAAGGTGTGTAGCTCGAGAACCTGGCCGCTGAGGAGATCTCTGCAGTCTGTGCAGAAGTACTTGATGGCGACGGCGGCGGCTCTGATGATCTCCTTGGACTCGGTGTGGAACGACGAGGTGATGTACTGGAACTGCCGCTCGAAATATTCCGGATGTGCGGCGGTCCATTCCGTGTACCTTCCGAGGACCATGATGGTGGCAAAAAGCAGCTTCTCGTGGCTAGGAATCTGGACAAGCAGCGGCATAAGCTGGGGCAGAACAATGTTTTCATCCTTGTCGACCATACGGCCCAGGGCACGCATGGCGAACAGGGGACCCTCAAGCTGCTGCCAGTGAGGCACCGCTGTGCCGGATACCTGGCTAGCGTACTTCTGCAGCCAAATCTGGATAGCAGTGAGCACCTTGGCGAGGCAGTCCGTGACGCCCATGACCTCGCAAGCATCCTTCATCGTGTCGCCCATTTGGTGCCTAAACTCTCTAAATTTCTCCTCCTGCTCACGGTCGCCGTCAAAGAGATCCTGCTCGTTCGCGCCTTCATTTTCTGGGTACTCGAGATGCTTAAGGAGGATGTCGACAAGCTTCGAATAAACATCGACAAGCTCGACGCGGGACTGGATATATCGCTCAATGACAAGATACTGCTTTAGCTGGTACCAGAACTCGAATGTGTGCTCAATCACCTCGCGATCCGTGTCTCGCGCCGCGCACTCAAGCACTGCATCCACCAGAGGCCTAAACTGGATGGGCTCACGCACAATAGCAATGACCCAAGCTTCGGCCGCCACGGAGAAGATCTTGGTGAGGGCCTTGAGCGTCTCCGTATCCTCTTCATCAGCCGCCTTCTTGATACGCGGCCTCAGGGCGATGACCCTGGGGAAAAGCGCCTTGATCACACCGGGATTCTCATCTACTTCGGCAGTTTCTCGGAAGATGGTGCACAAGCATTCAGCGGCCTCTTGTGTCGACACATCCTCATCAAGGCCGCGAAAGATGACGTCGAGAAGGGGCGAGTTGACAATGGCTTCGAGAGGCACTTCGCGGAGCCAAGACGTGATGCATTCCAAAAGCTGGGGGTTTTGCGCCGCGGTGGCTATAGTTATGTTTGAGGCAAGTTAGTCAAAGGTACGACAGACGTAGGCCCCCAAGTTTCTGCTTCCGTTTGTCCCCCGCCCCGCCCCGCCCCTCTTCTTCTTCTATCTTGCAGTCGCTTTGTTTGTGGGTGCAGGTACTTACGCGAAGATTGGGCATAATTGATTAGGAGCCGGATGACTTGTTCGGCATTGTCTCCCAAGAGCTCTGTGGTTCGTTGGCTGAGTTCCTCTTCCTGTTATCGGGGATTAGACACCAATGCCCTTTGCTGCAGAAAGTAAAACGTTCCGAAGGTATCGACCCGTCGGGACTAGATGCGCATCTCGAATATTGTATTGTTATCCACGTACAGTCAAGGTGATTTTGCGGCCCTCGATCACTTCTTCGGGGAGAACTCTGAGGAAGTCGAGGATGGAGGCGTGGCTCTCAACGTTGTCCCCGAGTGCCGTGACAACGGTCGAGAGCACATCTTTCCAGTCCTTCATTTGTATGGCTAGTATGGCCAAGCAAACGCAGAGCTGAACCCGGATAGGCTTGGGGCCGGCAGAATAGTGTTTAAGCAAAGAAGCACCTGCTGCTGCAGGGCAGGTAGCTCAGGCTCAGGCACCTGAGTAAGAAGGTCGTAGGTAATCTAGTATCGGGGGCATGCGCCCGTTAGTGCCATGGAAAGGGGACGTCGAGATATCAAAGTCGAAATACAAAACTAACCTTCCCGCGCAGGGTGATGGCAGCAAAAGCTTCGCCTCCGGCTCGGCGTCGGACTGCAGTATTCCAATCACGGTACCCCAAGAACCTTTCTATACGTCCAAGTTAGTCGGTCGCGAAAAGAGGGCGGAAAAGGCGCGGTCATTCGAGGGGAGGGGAGGGGAGGCGGGTCGAACCGATTTCTGGAAATTCTCAAGGAATTCGTGCGCTCGCTTCTTGGTGGCTTGATGCTCAGATCCCCGCATGGTCGCGAGGGCAGCGAGGACGTCGGGGAGCCCGTACGCCTCCTGGGCGCCGTTCGTCGCCATTGTGTGTACGGGTTAGAAAAGGAGACGCCGAAGGCAGATGGGAGACAGAGGTGATCGCTGTGAATGGAAGGGTCACCGTTGCGGTCCCGATGTTGAGATATGGCGGGGTCTGGTTGGGAGGAGATCACAACGACCTTGGGCGAGAGCCGATGGTGGGGGCGGAGCCAGGCTTGCAAAGAAACAAAAGCCCGCTCGCAGCCTAACGAAAGCGTTCTCGACGCAAGAGTTTCCCGGATTAAGGGACTGAAGAGACTCCGACTCAAAGTCACTTATTTGGGACGATGGAGCGATGTCGTCTGCGGTTGTGTGGAGGTGCGATGGGGTAAGGGGGATTAATTAAATAGTGTTGATGGGCATTTTTGGTTGTAGACGTCAGTTTGTTCGGCGGGGTCTTCACAAGCGTCACTGCGCAACCGCAGGACTGTGAAGGAATACAAGGCAGCACGTCGGCGTGTTTTTTTTGCAGAGTGGGACTCGGTGCCGGATTTCGGTTAAACTATTTTCCCAGTCCACCGAACCTCAAAGTACCCCTCCATCTGCCTGCCCCACCCTCTTCCCGGTGAGGTTATTCCAACAGTCGACTTGGGATACCTGATACTCTGGTTTCAATGGCTTCCTTTGATCTCGAAATGGTTGCGCCCTTATACGAGGCACTGTGAGGTGGACCCATTTCCGCATTTTCTTTATGATTCAAACAAACAAATATGTGGCGCTAAAAGAGAAAGAAATGTGCCTTAGCCCCGTCCAGGAGCCGTCTCCGTCTCTCCTGAGGCCCTTTGCAGATGCATGCTTCTTCCCCGTAATCACCGTCGCCACTTCCTCACGCGAGGGCAAAGGGAAAACCAAAATGAAGCGGAGTTTTGCGGCACAGTCTAGATCTTTCTAACCCCTTAGTCCTCACGACAGCGGTACTAGAAGCCCACCAGCAAGATCCGGCAAAGATACATATTCTATGCCCTGGCCAGAAGTATATAGCAGGTGCCCTTCCTGCTTCGAGATATTGTCACACCTTGCTCATTTGGAGCGAGGAACCTGTGAGTTGGGAATATATGGGGCAGAGTGTAGTGAAGTTAGGCACACGACTTTGCCTGCGCCCCGTGCAAAGTGAGAATGAGGGTAAGCCGGCTAGGTGGTGACGGCATTCGAAATTAGAGTGGAGTAGAGGAGACATGATTCAGTATCAGCGATCTGAAAACTCTGTTTTTGTTATCTTGATGACACCGTCCCCGAGGATAACTCCGTGCGGAGGCTCGTCCAGAGGGCCAACAGGGATGCCCTCCTCCTCTGGGTGCATGAGAAACTGTTCCTTGAGGGCCAACCCATACAACAATACGGAAGGCCGTCCAAACTCGTCCCTCGCGGGATACATGTGAGAATACCGAGAGATGAAGAAGTCATAAAACCCCTCCCATGGCCTAGTCGCCTGATGTGGCCCGAGAGCTCATCGTAATCGAACGCCACACCTGGCATGAAAATGAGATCTAAGCCCAGCAAGCCTGGCCGCGCTTCCTCAGTCCCGGAGCCGAGAATGCGGTTCCTCTCGTTCACGGTAGCGGGGTCTATGCTCGGTATGCCCCATTTATCCGGTTTAAGAGATTCATAATCGGCTAGTCCCGAGAGCTGGACCATGTCCATGACGCGCGCCGGTAAGTGAGGGTTCTGAGGGTCCGGTTGCGCCTTATGCAGGTAAGGAACGAAGACTTGCTTGCCATTCTGCAGTGCATGGCGGACGATGGCATCTGTCTGAATCTCGCCACCGGGCATGGAGAGGTAAACGCTGATGCGTTTCGCCTCCTTGTAGGGCTGGAACGACTGGAGTGACTCAAACAGCACGCGGCCTATGAGGGAGATGATAGTGAGTAGCTGCCGGCAGGGCTCCTTGATTATACTACTCACTCTGTGTTGCGATGGAGTCAGATGAAAGCGTGGCAAGCTTCTGCTTCATCATGACTCGAATGCGCTGCTTCGCAGCAACAAGCGGCGCTGCCATAGCGATTAAGAGCTTGGGATAAAAAGAACGTCAAGTGGAGGGAGGAGAAGACAAGGGACACTGGTGGGAGACGAAAAGATTGAAGGCAGAGAAAGATGGAGGTGAGGCGGGCCGGTGTTGGTGAAGCCCGCGCAAGATCTAGCCAGCCTCTCTAACTCTGCGGTTGTGAACACTTTCGCTTTCCGTCTTCCGCTTCCTGCGTTCCTTTTTTTTTTTTTTTTTTCGTCTATTTCTCTTCGTCTTCGCTGCCACGGCAGCACCAACAATAACGACCGTGGTAGAGGTGGAGATAGAGGTCGGCGTGGAGGAAAAAGCCAAGGATTAAAGCCAGAAAAGAATCGTTCTTTGGGTCGATTTTGGGGTTTAATTGGTGTTGGTTCATCCTGCCGCACGCCACTATTTCAGCCTCGCCCAGAGCTGGGACTCATCAGCGGAAATCCCCGGAGATGCCTCACCCAGCCCGCTTAAAACTGTGCACGCCCGGCAATACCAGACCACTCTCCATCTCCATCCCGAGGTACCTCCATGAAAGGTTGCGTGGATGAGCCATATAGAAATAATGCTTCTACGCGTACTCAAGATTCATAAATCCATAGATTGATATTTCCCCTCCTGAAGAATTCCATATGTTGTACGTGGTGTGGCGATCCTTCTTAGTTGACCTCACTGTTTCGATTCGACTTTTGAGAGAACAGCATTCAACCCAAAGACAAAGGACCGGAGTGCAATACTGAGGATTTGACCTGAATTCAATGCTAGAGAATTTTTCTCTTCTTGGTATTTTAGTACACATTTGGTGTCAACCCCTCTTCTCTCATCCCCGCCCCGTCTCCTACTACCCCACTACTCACGTCCAATATGGAATGCATTTTTGTCTCCCTTGTTTGAAGTCTCGTTGAGAGGGGTATATGGCCTCTCCATCTCTCACTCCTATTAGTGAATGAGGAGTGACCCTGTTTTTGAATGGCTATACCGAGGTACTGAGGTATACACTTGCTGTATCAACCGTCGAGTCTATGGCAACAGGCTCTCTCTAAACTCACTTGATGTGATTGATCCGTTGCACCCTCTTCACAAGGGAATCAACTTTCGGAGCGGGGAATAGCTCATCTTATAAAACTGCAGTGGCACTCAAAACAGCCAGCGACAGCTGTGCTCTATCAGCATGAGCGAGCCTATTTTCCACTGGTAGGCCGGAGAGCATTGATGTACCATAGTAGCCGACTTTTGTCGGAAACGGCCCCCAAACTAAACATAGAAAAAGAAAAAGAAAAAAAGAGGAAGCAAGGGCCCACGGGGTGTTAATGCTGATATCCACGCGTGCATGCCTAGCTCAACTAATACAGACCGCCTATTGTGCCGTCTCTTTCACGCCCACGGAAAGTTGCCCACTCAGCGTCGGAAAGCCGCATGATTCCCGATGAGGCGGGACACGGGACCGCCAAGGATGCTGGCGCGGCGCCAACATCCGTCATCAGCGCTGAACAAGGGTCGCTGAAGGTGGGGACCAAAGAAAAAAAGATTTGAGAATCGAGTGTGAGGCTTGCCTAGTGATGGCTGCCGAGATTTGGGAACAAGACGGCGAGAGCGGAGGGGTTGTGGAATGACAAGACCGTAGTGTCAGTGACAAAGAAAAGGGAGGGGCCGCCATGAAAGAGACTAGCAACCCAACAACCGACGAGACACCATCCGAGGAGAGAATTGATGAAGGGAGAGGGGCTGGGCGCGAACGGAGGCTAAGGGATTGTGAAAGGAGTCGTGGTGGGGGACTATGACTTTGGTGAGCTGAACTGATGGCGACAGACTATTGTCCCGTGGCCGGTTCACCGATCGTCGGTTACATCCCGTCTCTCGCCGCTCCTAGAGATCTCACTCGGCCTTGATTACCAACAAGGGAGGCAGCACACGCTATACCATCGGTGTTAAGCTAATGTGACGGTCGTCGAATCTTGCGGTCAAGGATCTATCTGGATTCATCCGAGACGACCTATAGGCCCAGAAGATTCTTTTTAGGGCGTGTCGCGCTGTTTGAAAACATGGGCTTTGAGACTAAAAGCCCGCTCCATCCATCCATCGGTGTATGCATGATGGCTCTTAGACCGTGTTCGTCTCATGCTGCCGTCCCAGTGGCCTCGGGCTGATGGATACAATGTTAAGCAACCCTCCCAGCACGACTACCCTGAGCCCTGAGATTCACGTTCTGCCAAAGTTTTGCTGTTGGGCATGAAGCTAATGCAAGAAACGGCTGTTGTATCCTGGGATGGGGATATTCATAGCCGGCCAAGGAATATACCGTCGTCTCCTCACACCCAGCCCCCCTTCACAAAAGCTCGCAACCTTGTTTGGTAGGACTCTTGCTCCTTCCCCGTAGAGTAATCCTTGCAGGAGGAACTTTCGTTCAATTCCGTCCTCGTTACATAGTATCATTCGAACAGATATGGATAGGAAAGAAAATGAGAAAATAAAATGGCAAGGATGTCCATCATTCGCCCATGGACGTTGACTCCTCGCCGGGTTTCAAGAAGGGAGGGTGCGCTAGCCAATCGTGGATCTTGTATTCTAATCGATGGATGCATCCACGGATCCATCTCCGTTGTCAGAAGTCCGGAAGGTGGGGAGGGGTGAGCGTTGGGAAATCTTGCTTGTTGGACTTTCCTGACGAGAAACAGAGACAACACGGCCCATCCAAGTTGCTACACCTCAGGCGTTAATTCGACCGTCTCCCAGAAACCAGTCATTCCATGTATCCTTTTGGATTTCCCTTGATCTCACTTCTGCCTTGTCGTCTTGATGCCGTGAAAACCTCTCGCGCACTTTACGTCTCCATTTTTCAACGACGTTGCACGTTCAGCTCTGGAACATCGGGGGCACAACTGCGACGAGATCTCGATGCCCTGCAGCCCTGGATGAACGCCCCTCCCCTGCCGGCCGATTTAGTCGCTTTTAACCCGGTATCAATTGAATAGAATGGATCCCTCAATACCGCCGCTGCCTGATCATGAGTATCTGCAGTCTGTCGTGCGTGCGCTTGCGGGTGGGGTGGGTACAAGCAAGCCGGTGCTCTCATGAATGTCAACGAGGTGCATGGGCATTGGGACGTCCGAGTCCGAGAGTAGTGCTCTCAAGTCCGGCTCAAATGCATCCATCCAGAATGCACCGAAAAACCGTCTCAGTGGCTTTAGTGTAGAACTCCATTCGAATGACCACCTCAGCTGAGTATCAAGAGACTAGATAGATCCAACGGATCTTAATTACCGTGGCGAGGGGTCCACCATAGTCCAGTCCCCTTCGCTCATCCGCTCGGGAACGTCATAATACTCTCTGTGCCGCTTGGAAACAGCTTCCCCTGCTCTTTTGACGGGAGATATGACCCTCACGCCAAGTTTGATGGTCCTATATTTCTGCCAGATCTTGAGTCGCTTTTGATACTGAGCCTGGATTATTCCTCTTTCCCACCTTATTCAAGAAATGGGGTCCTTATAAGGATTTGCTCCTGAGGGCCATTGACATGTGCAGACCAAGATCCAGAAATGTTGCAGCGACTGGTTTTAGCACTAAGGTTGGACTTGGGTTTGGCAAAGTCGAGTAGTGGCACTATGGTGTCTGTTCAGGCCTTCACTACCGAACATCATCATCCGATGTAGTATAGTGGTTAGTATACTGCGCTTTCATTGAAAGGCACCGCAGGGGCCGGGGTTCGATTCCCCGCATCGGAGCTTCTGGTTCTTTTTCTGCGCCCACATAATAAATATCTTTTTTTGGTCGCATTTGTTCGTCTGTCTTCTTCTTTCGCTTTCCTCTTCCCTTTCGTGATATTTGTGGTGATTGATCCATGGCCTATCTATATCAGCTACATCCATTGATGGAATGGATGGATCAATCAAGATCAATACTATTGTAACTGATGTCGACTATTGAGCTCGCACTAGGTTGTGCACTCTTCTTGGGTTATGTTGCTTAACTATTGTTAACTGAGTAATACCTAATGGTTGATACTCAGTGATACATCAGCCAAATGTTATAATTTGGGGAAGGCCTCTCAGGCTGTTGACCTTCTTCCCGTGCCTCTCTCCCAATCGAAATAATGCACACACATTTGGGCGGGTTGTCAGTCTTGTTTATTGCGAATGAGGATCAGCATGGATGCATCACGGTAGCTATCCGTCCACCAAGTCCATTGTAGTCATCGATACAATATGGGTGAGCTTGACCTGCAAGGGCTTTTGAGGTTGGATTATTCCGTTGCTTACGGCCTCAACTAAACCGGCTGGAGAGCTGAATTGAGCCAGCAATGTGACACAACGCCTGGAGTGCACACTCTGACAAAACCACACAGAGGCAGCAGAGGTAGTAGGGGCGGCCGCCCCCACTCATTCCATGACCAACCCACACCATTGTTGTTGCCAGCATCCAATGACGGTGGATTGATCCTCCCGACCCGATCCGCAACCGTCCTTTTTCCCTCTGTCACAGCACATCACATCCCCCTCCAACGCCCCAAACAGCCTTTTGATTGACTCTATCCGCTTCAGGAAAAGGTCCCCCGAAAAAAAACTTTGCTTCAACGAGCCCCTCTTGTGTACCCGCTGACGTCGTACCGCTTGCACCTTGGTGCCGTCCCCTGCTCACATCACTCCGAACTCCACTTGCCTGTGGGCACTTGCATTCGCACAGGGCCCAATTACTTGTTCAGTTCGACTGTCCGGGTCCTGTATGGGCCTTATGTTCTATTGAACATTATTAGAACATCCCCGAAAAGAGAAACGGCCCAGTAGAGAGAAGCCCGTGGCGTGGCGGCTGGGTTGTGGGAACGGCGCTTGTCCAGTCACCGCCTCTGCTGTTCGCCACAAAAATCGGACTACCTTTTGACAGGGAAGGTAGAAGGTCTGTTCTGGGCTGGGCTGGCTTCTATTATTAACCCCCACACCTAGCCAAGGTGCGAGGTGCACCAAAGGTGACCTCAAGGATTCTTTGTTGCGCCCTGCACACGCCCCCTTCCCCCACATCACCACCCCGGGATCAGAAGCCCTTTCCTGGCACCATGGTTTCCGGCCGGCGAAGGGAAGAAGGCAATAGATCCGATCAATCTGCATCCGGTGACTCCCCGCGCCCATCCTCCCCCGCGGGGACCCTGCTCTTCAGTTGATACCGTCAGAAAGCCATTCAGCCTCCTCTTCACACTCCAGCGCGTCCCAGGAGCAACCCTTAATTGCTCCCCTCGACCGGGACCCCCTCCCCTCGAACCCTTTAACCCCTTCCGCCGCTGCCGATCCGGCCGACTACCAGAGTCCAAACCTCTCGAACGATGACCTACATACCTCCCACGTCCTCCTCAGCACCGATAACCCTTCCAGCTCTCTAGCCCGACCTGACCGTCGTCTACCGATGCCGCAGCGGTCTCCCTTTCTCCGGACAGGCCAACCGTATCCCGTCTCGTACGGGTCGGTAGTGTCAAGTCCAAGTCAGGAGATCACCCCCATGGGCACTGATGCCGAAGCTGCCGACTCGCTCTCCATGAATCGGGCCGCCGACCAGGCACATACACTCGCCCATCGGCCCTCGCTGACGGGCCTACAGCGGGAAGCGCTGGACAGCGCCGTTCTGGTGACCGGCATGGAAGGTCGCTTCGCCGTGGCTGATGCTGCCATGGCTACTGGCATACTAGAAGATGGCAAGTCGACGTACGGCGGAAGCATCGCCAATACATCCTATGCTGAGACCGGCAGCGAGATGGAAGAAATGGACGCCGAGGCCCTCTCTGGCCGCGATTCGGACGACGACGACGAGGACCAGGAACTGATTGATAATTCGCCCCACGACGCCGTTCGCGCCTCTGTCTCCCCTGTAGACAATACGACTCTATCTATAAATACGCCTAGAATGTGGACGCTCTCCATTCTTTTCTCCTTCTTAGGATCATCCACCAATCTTTTCTTCTCTCTGAGGTACCCTAGCGTTGCCATAACCCCCGTCATTGCCCTGTTGCTGGTGCACCCATTAGGCCATCTATGGGACTACTTTCTCAAACGGGATGGCGACCCCGTCGACGAGTTCGTGGACGGTGTTCGCCGGGGACGGATCTTTGATTCGCCCAGCGATGTTAGCCACCGCCATGCAACAAGATGGGACAAGCTACGGTTGTGGCTTGCCCAGGGGCGCTGGAACGAGAAGGAGCATACCTGCGTCTACGTTAGCAGCAACGTCTCATTTGGGTTTGCGTTCGCGACAGATGTCATCGTGGAGCAGCACAAGTTCTATGGGCAAGAAGTCAGCATCGTCTACCAGCTCCTCTTAACTATATCGACCCAGATGCTAGGATACACCTTCGCCGGCATAACAAGGCGTTTTCTCGTTCGCCCAAGCGGCATGATCTGGCCGGCGACGCTCATGTCGGCCTCCATGTTTTCGACCTTGCATAAAGAGGACAACAAGCCCGCAAACGGCTGGAGAATAAGCCGGTGGAAGTTCTTCTTGGTCGTGTGGCTGTCAGCATTCTTGTTTTACTTCCTTCCAGGCCTCCTGTTCCCTGCGCTGAGCTACTTCAACGTCCTCACTTGGTTCGCGCCCGACAATGTCGTCGTTGCAAACCTGTTCGGCGTTGTCTCCGGCCTCGGCCTGTTTCCAATGACATTCGACTGGGCGCAAGTTACGTATATTGGTTCGCCATTGCTCGTTCCGTTCTGGGCCGCCGTCAACGTCGTGGGCGGCCTCATGGTCGTCATGTGGATCATTGCTCCCCTCGCTTACTACAGCAATGTCTACTTTTCCTCCTATATGCCTATACTGTCCGCCTCCGTCTTTGACAACACAGGCCATGTCTATGACGTCTCCAAGATTCTATCACCCGACTTTCTCTTTGACCGAGAGGCGTATAGTAATTACAGCCGAGTGTTTTTGCCCATAACGTACGTCTTGAGTTACGGCGTCCAATTTGCCGGACTTGCCGCCCTCCTAACGCATACCTTCTGCTGGTATGGCAAAGATATGCTCATGACCTGGAAGAGCGCGCTTAGGGAAGCCAAGGAAGGCGACAAGCCAGCGTATCAGCCGGTATCGGGCTCCGCGGATACTCTCTCTGGGGGTCTGGCAGCGGGACTCCCCGCGAAGGCCTCTCTCGGAGCACCACGATCAGCATGGATGGCATGCTCGGCAAGGAGGACGTACATAACCGGCTGATGAAGAGGTATAAAGACGCGCCGATTAGCTGGTATCTTTTGACGTTTGCGTCAATGACTGCCATCGGCATCTTCCTCGTCGAATAGTGAGTTTCAGCCTTCCCAAGAAAGCCAACAAAAGAAAAGAGGTGGTTGTTTCCCGTACGCTAACACTCGGGTTCCTTAGTTACCCTATTCATCTGCCTTGGTATGGGCTGCTCCTCGCACTCGGCATCTGCGCCATCTTCTTCATCCCTAATGGCATCATTATGGCCGTCACGAACCAGCACAGCAGCATCTACCTAATTTGTCAGCTCGTTTGTGGAAGTGTTTTTCCTGGCCGGCCAATAGCCAACATGGTTTTTGTTACGTACGGATACATTTCGTCTGCACAGGGCATCAAGTTCGCGTCGGATCTGAAGCTTGGCCATTACATGAAGATTCCCCTCGCATCCTGTTTCTGGTGCAAATCGTGGCCACTCTCGTCTCCTCCTTTACCCAAATCGGCGTCCTCAACTGGATGTTTGTCAACGTGAGCGGCATCTGCACCCCGCAGGCCCTCAACGGCTTCACGTGCCCCCTCGCCCGCGTACACTTCAACGGCTCCATTCTGTGGGGGTCGTCGGTCCCGGCGAGTTCTTTGGTCCCAACGCCCTCTACCGGCCGCTCGTCTGGTTCTTCCTCATTGGCGCCATCCTCCCGATCCCGCTCTGGCTCTACAGCCGCAACAAGAAGCATAGCCTGCTCCGAAAAGTCAACTTCCCCGTTATTTTCGGCACCATGAGTTGGATCCCCCGCCACGGGCCTCAACTTCTCCGTGTGGGCGCTGGTCTGCTTCGTGTTCAACTTCCTCATCAAGAGACGCGCCAGCGCTTGGTGGTCTAAATACACTATGACGCTTAGCGCGGCGCTTGACTCGGGACTTGCCTTTGGCATCGTCGTCGTCTTCTTCGGCTTCATCTACCCCGGCTGGATGGAGTCGTTCAAGTGGTGGGGTACCGAGGTGTACAAGCAGGGCTGCGACTGGCAAGCCTGCCCATACAAGACCGTGCCCGAAGGCCAGCGATTCGGGCCCGATACATGGTAGTTTAACTTCCAATCTCCCTCACACACACACACACTCTCTCTCTCTCTCTCTCTCTCTCTCTCTCTCTCTCTGCGTGGACTAGTCTCAGTAGCTTGTCCAGCATTCACACATAGTTACGCCCTAGAGTTAGGGTAGGCATACGGCTTCGTTGTTTTGGTTAACCAGATGTTTCTACTATCTGGAAGGGAGGGACCTTGCGTTTTATATCGGTTTTAAGTAGGGGCTTTGGGTTTGAGTTTTTGGGTGGCATGCATGTTTAGGCGGCTTCTCTTTCCAGTTCCAACTCATACGGACATTGGTGAATCGAGCAAGATGGCCTTGGATTTGATCCTGGTTCTGGCGGGTATATTCTAGCATGGAGAGGCGTCGGGCAGCACTGGGTTGGGATATTTGGATGATATGACCTATTGGGCTTCATTTCTCGAGGATTTTGCTTTCTCGCCTGCTTGATTTCATTTTGCCCTTTTTTTTTTTTTCCTCTTTCAGATAAAATCTTAGATTTCCTCTTGACCAGGGTTCTCCCGTCCCCTTAAACCTTGGCAACTCTGCATCTTAGACATCTACATCAAGATTCTTTACCACCTGTAACGCTAGAAGTGTTCAAAGCTCCCGGACGTACTATCTCTGGTCAGGCCCATGTTTTGTCATGGTCATGAGTGAGCTTCTGTTTGGGTTTCGGCACTTTTCATATACACTTTTACCAAGCGAGAGCCTCATTACATAGCTTACTAGACGCAGCAAGATATTTGAAGTTTGTCATTATATATTGATATTGTAGATAGAACCCTCATCTCGTCTAGAAAACCAACGACCGCAACAAAACATAAGCAATGGTAAACAAAGAGTCTGGGAGACCCAAGATATGATAACAGTATTTAAAAAGGAAAAAAGTGGCGTTTGATAACTCCTCCCCAAAATTCCGGGAAACAAAATAGCACGTATGCGCCGCAACTCTTCCCATGTGAGCGAAGAAGAAAAAGATCCCATAAACCGAGTATTGGGAGCGAAGGGGATGACCGGAAAAGAATGAAGAAATGGCCGGGTCAACCAAGGGATGGCATAGAAGTATAGAAGTCCAGCAGAAACGCTGAGAGAAAAGGTGAATGGATGAAGTGTGTATGTACTGTGGAAAAAGAAAAAAAAGAAAAGAAGAGTTATATCGTTTTGGGAAGAAAATCGTACTCCAAACCCCGCCGAAATGATTACAATAAAAGCCAAATGTAATGTCGTCGATGATGCTTTCGTGTTCGTCTGAATAAGGGTCGTCTTCGTGCTAGTAGGCCTGGTTTATTTCCGCAGACCGCACCAAAAGCATGGGTTGTGCTTTTTTCATTAATTCTCATCGGAGCCGCCTGGGAGGGACTCCCAAATGAGGACGACGACATAGTCGGTGCCGGCCTTGTCCTCGTTCCTGCGGTTGTCGGTATATTCACCAGGCTCACCGCGCCTGCGCACGTAGGCCTGCCATACCTCACCATTTGAAGCGTCGCTTCTCGAGTCAATAAACTTCCAGATACGGCGACTACCTGACCACGTCGTGACGCTCCAATTGTGAGGATCGCGGCCTTCATCATCGACGGCGAGGTTCGAATTAAGCGGAAGGGTGGCGGCCGCACGGGCTTCAAAATCGGGCGAGAATACAGCGTCACTACCAAGGAAGGCAGTTCCTTGGCCGTCGGGATAGTGGGACAGGGTGTGACCGTTGACGAGGACCCAGTCATCGGCGAAGCGGTAGCGCTGTAAAAACGTGGCCGGGTTGAGGTGGGGGTGAAGGGCGGTGGCCTTGCCGGGATCGAGGAGGTGTCGGTTGCGCGATTGGTGAAGAGCGAGAGGGGCGATGCCGAGATCGTAGTTGAAAAGTAGTGACCGTAGATCTCATCCGAAGGGAGATAGAAGCTCGGAAGGACGTGCATGGTGAGATTGGACTCGCTGGTTACGCAGTTATAAAGCAGATGGTCCCACTGGCTGATATAGCCTTGAAGGGGATTCTTGGACTCCTGGGCTTTCATGCATGGGAGCTTGGAGATTGCCGTCAACGCAGGGGGTGAGGAAGACGGCACCACCCCCAAACGTCACCGTCTGATCAGGGTCAGCGACCCAGTCGGCCCTCTCGCTTGGGGCACCAATATAATACTCCTCTTCAGGGTTGTATTTCTTCAGGCGCTCCACCAGATGCGTCATATCCGGGAAGAAGACATCGTCATCAACAAGAGCGAGGTACTGCTTCTCTCCCGAGTTGTGAAAGCCAGATCCAGATTTTCCGAGCTCAAGCTGCTCGAGCAGGTCAAAGTACCTCGTGGGGCTATCGGCGGCATCATCTGCACGGACCAATGCATCGATGCCGACATCCTGAAGCTTCTTTTAATGGTGCGAACTTCGTGCTCGGTGCCGAGACGCAAGGTAAGGATGAGCGAGGCACCATTGCTGCTGCCATTCCCGTCGGTGAGCCACCTGGTCCAGTCGAGGATGAAGGCACCATCCTGGCGGGTGATTCTATCGTACGAGGATGAGATGCCAAACAATATCTGGGACGCATCGATGCTGGCCTGCCTAGGGCTCTCGGCGATAGGCAGATTCAGCGAATACTCGGCGTTGAGCCTGAGATTGTACGTGTCCGAACGAACCCCCTAAAGCCATTGTGCATAAAGTTGCTCTCGATGTCGGACATGGTCGGACGCGAGGAGTTGAGGTGCGGTTTTATGCGCACCGAGTAGTACCGAACATCCTTGGAGATGACGTGCTTGTCGGCAAGCTCGTCGAGCCAGGCGGCTTCCGTAGACGGTTTAGAATGGAAGAGGTCCGTGATGGGGCGAGGCGGCCTGTTATCCGTGTAGGAGTAGATGTTTGGAATCGGATTCGTCTCGGGCGGAGATCGCGTAAGGACGAAGACGACGAGGATGATGACGGCTGCAACGGCATGGACGGGACGAATGCGTCGAGGCGTTGCGCGGGAGAAAAAGCGGCCACGGCCGGAGGCACCGCGACAACAGGTTTGGATAGCATGGCGAGTAGTTGGGGACAAAGTTGTGTATTATAAGTAAAAATCAAGATAAATGTAATTGTCGAAGGAGAAGAGGTTGCGAATGAGCCGTCTAGAGGGACGCGGTCCAGCGAGGCAAGAAGAGAATGTTATCAAGCGAGCGTGGGTTGTAGAATCATTGAAATTCCATCAAAAATCGGTTATCGCGAAGGATGAAGAGGCATAACGGACAAGGGGAGCAAGACGAGCACGCGCACGAGACAGCTCGCCTACTCCTCGGGATGAAGAAAGAAGCTATTCCTGTCAGAATTATTGTCCCGGACACCGTAGATCGCGGGAAACTCGGGCGAGGGAGTTGAGACCGGCTTCAATGGTTGAGGAGAGGGAAGGGTGGGTTCGCTGGGCGAAGGGCGAGGCAATGGGGCGGAAAAGGTTGAAAAGGGATAAAGGGGAGCAGGTAATAGTAGAAAGCAAGAAATAGAAAAAGAAAAGGAAAAGGAAAAAAAAAAAAAAAAAACGGGAGGAGTTTTTTCGCCCCGGTGTTGTTCCTTAAAGAGGGTCCAATCTACTCGGGAGATGATGTGAGAATAAAGAGAAGGGGGTAAAAGACGGATCTATGGATCTATGGATCTATTGCGAGGTCTTCTTGCTCCCGCAATTGGTTTTTGCTAGAGCCCGTCTTCCCGAAGCCGTCGCTACTTTGGGATTTTCCCTTTCTTTTCTCCCCTTTCCGCTTATCGAGACTTGCCTCGCGTGCTAATTCTCGTGTTGGAATAATTGATAGCTTAAAGTGTTCTCGCGTCTGCGCTGTGACCTGGGACTGACCCCTAACCCCTGCACATTCTACCAGTAAAGTGCATTACATTGGAAAGAGACCCACTGTCAAACGGCAAAAATACTTGGCCGGACCTCGAGCTGCATGTACCCAGTACCTGACCCCTGGTGGAAGATGGCTTGGATGGCAAGATAGGCACCCCAACCAGCTACATGACTCCTTCCGTTTCGAACGCCTGTCTAGAGGTACCAAGAGGGAGAAGCATTCGTGTCATTTGTGATCTCTCTTGGCTGAGTAAGCCAGGCCAGTGATTTCGAATAGTGAAATCGCTTGGGCTAATAATCCGAGCTTGCTGTATCAGAACCAAGGATCCATTAATGGATTGCAATAGATTCTTTGCCCCGACGCTCACAGGTCAGGAAACTATGTACACGGGCGGTTCGCATCAGACTGCCCTTGACGTTTGGTTGTTTTCCGATACTATGGGTATCACCAAAGAATATTTGACGCATACCGAGGTTGATCTCGTTATACAAGAGTCAGCCAGCCAGGTTCAAGCCCCCAAGGGCTGTGGTGGGGGTTAAAGGATCCCTGTAGTCCTGTTCAAGTTGATGGATGCTCTCCAGTTCCGGCAGGTTCTGGTGTGCATCAAGTCAGTGAATCTGCGCGACGAAACCAACTCGGAGCAGTCAAGTACCTCATACCTCAGTACTTCGAATCAATTCCACTCCAGCAGAAATAGGGTACACTCTCAGACTCTCCAACGTTACTACCATCACGCTAATATTACAATGGATGTATTACTGACCTTCCAAAACGATCAAGAAGACCATACCTGGATCAACAGTGGACAGCGAGGATTACGCGGACCTTGAGCGGAGTCTGTCGCAGAGCGCCACTAGCGCCTGATTAAGAACTAACCTTGAACGACACCAATGGCGCAATGTACTTGTACTCGTTGGCGGCCGATTCTGAGTGGAGGAATGAGTAGAACTGGGATTGATAGGCGCGCATTGGGATCGTCAAGTCCCCCTTCAAGCTCCCCATGTAGATAATTGAACTTGGTCGATGGCGACTTCACTCACGGGCTGGTCAATCTCAACCCCTGCCTTCTTTCACCGACGCGATTGATGTGATTTATATCATCACAAGGAGACACGACAAGATAGCCTCCACTGTCTTCTTCAGGGCGTTCTTCAGAACATCCAGCACTGACCCGGTTTGATTATCTGGTGTTCAACGGAAAAAGAATATTGGGTGGGCTTGCAGAAATGACCAGAAACTGCAACTCGACATACATCGCTTCCGTTCTCCGTCCTCCGTCCTCCGTCCCCTTCGCTGTGCGTTAATTAATACTATGGACCCATTGATGTGAAGAACGTGTTGCACGTCCGCCGCCAGTCCTGGAAAAGGAGCGTGATACACCAAGGCACCATGTCGGACACGGAAATAGTATTACGGCGCACTGCCAGGCCACAAACTCTTCCTTCTCCGGACTCCATTATCTGATCTATTTGAGGAACAGATGCTGTCATTGCCCGACTTATTGCACCCAGACAATTCCTCCGATCCTCCCTAGAAACTGGTTTTTCTTCCTCCCCTCCCACCTTCCACCCTTCCGGATTGATCCTCGACATCGGTTGCAACACTGCCCCACTTCTGTCTTCCCGAACTATTCAAGCTGGTGTTGAACTACCGATGGAAGCAAAACTGGCGCTGGGAGTCAGAGGCTTTTGTACACTGGATGCGACAGTGAGACTCTAGCCTAGCCCAGCACTAGTGGCACCAGGCCTTGAACCGACTTACCTTCATCCTGTCCGACCATTCCACGTCGAGAGGCAAGGACAACCGATGCCGCGTGCCGCAAGAAAGAGAGAAGGTTGACCTTGGCCGAGAACCAGGCTTCTTCATATCAATGGAAGTATTCCGCTCGCGCCTGGTAGGATATCTAGCCCACATCCGCCTTGCCCGAGCGCGTGTCGAGCAGCTTTGACCAACCTCCACCTCGCCCATCTCGCCCATCTCGCCCCGCTCCGCCTGATAACACTTCCGCGAGCGCCGTGCTGCGGACGAGTGCGAACATGCCCGCATTTACTGTGTTCCACGCTGCGAGAATCATGGGAGTATGGTCAGCACAGCGCTGAGCCACGACTGCAGTATCAAGGGGATCCACCTCGCAACGCCAATCGCCCGATAAAGGTGCAAAGTAACAGTACGTCGTCCTTTCTGACACCGCGCCTCGACCGAGTGCAGACAGAAGGCAAACCCTTGGCTAGCCAATGATACCCGGAACACCGAATGGAGTGGCCGAGAGGATCCGTCTCTAGTAGCCCCGCCGATCCCGCGGGTAACGCCCCTCATCTTTCCATGAAAGCTTTTGGGCTACCGTTCCCCGCTACGCCTTGGGCAGCCGGCAGCCCACTCAGTCTTGCGAAGAATCAGCTTCTGTTATTACTTCGTGTACAGACATACTGAGGAGTGAGTAAATCGTGTGAGACACTAGGTCCAGCATGTCTCTTCAACCTCCGCTCGCCGATGGAGGCTAAGTTTGGAGTAATATAAGCCGGAGGCTATCCTACTTTGTCCCCACCAATGGTCATATACTAGGTTGCCGCAAGCGCAACTATCAAGAAGACGCAGCCAAGGAGAAGGCGCGAATCGTTATTTTGGGCGGTATGCAAAGCCAATGCTTGCGGTTGTCTTCCCACCCAAATCGAAGAGCAGTCGCACATTGGCGATCACAGGACTACAAACACTAAAAGGATCTAATGGAGCCAGGAGCCCCATAAGGGAAGGGGAAATGGTGAGAAGACAGAAAGAAGGCCCTCCGGTATGCCTAACCTTGTCGACATCTGGTGCCTGGAGATCCAAATTGTGATTTTGATTTATTTTCCTTTTGAAAAAAAAAAAAAAAGTCGGGCACCTGCCGTCGGCTGCAAGCACTATGTTGCTCTCCCCACTATGAGCGGTGCGGGAGAAAAAAGTTTGGGAGAGCTTCATCCACATTTTGCGTGCGAACTTTAGATGCAGCAAGTGATCCACATCTCAATCCCGTAAACGTTTGGCGTACCTCGACCGAACAAAAATTTTCGCCGGATATGCTCCCACGCCGCGGCGGGCGATTCGACTTCCAACACTCTTTCGAAGCGCTTCCCGCGTGTACATTTTGGCCCAATTCGCCTGCACACCCGCCGTCTACCTCCCGACGCGACACATCGCGACGACGAAGAGACTGAAGATGACGAGCAGTCCCGAAACGGACGCAGAAACAGGGGGCGTGGAATACCATGGCAAGAAGTACAGCGTTGTTCAAGAAGGTCTTGCCTCGATATTAGTGCCAGCGCAAGCGAAATCGGACACGACCAAGAGCGCGGCCGAGCACCAGCAAGTCTTCTACAACCCGATCCAGCAGTTCAATCGAGATCTCTCCGTGCTCGCCATCAAGGCATTCAAGGAAGAGAGGGCGGCCAGGATCAAGGAGACGATAAAGACCAACAAAAGAGAAAGCGAGACGAGCAAGGCGACGCCGAGGTCAAGCTCTCCAAGGCGCACAAATCCGATGCGAACCCCGATACCCAGACTGCACCGGCGGCCGCCTCCGCAGGCCACCAACCTCAACCCACCCCCGCTCCGGCCCCGGCCCCGATCATCGAGGACAATGTTGCCGCTCAACCCGAGGTCGCCTCCAAGCAGGACCGCAAGCCCGACGCCCCGAAACAGGCCCGCTTCTCCATCCTCGATGCACTCTCCGCCTCCGGTCTGCGCGCGCTGCGCTACTCTCACGAGCTACCCTTTGTCGATAGCGTCACGGCCAACGATCTTACGGAATCGGCTATAAAGTCTATAGCGCTCAACGTGCAGCACAACAAACTAGAGGACAAGATTTCAATTTCACACAACGATGCCATCGCCCACATGTACCGGCGCATCGCTGACGACCTCTCGAGGAGGGACAAGCATGGCAATCCCTCCAAGGCGAACAAGTACGATGTCATAGACTTGGACCCCTACGGGACCGCGGCGCCCTTCCTAGACGCCGCCGTGCAGTGCGTCAAAGACGGCGGCATGCTCTGTGTCACCTGCACGGATTCGGCCGTCTGGGCCGGGCACTCGTACTGCGAAAAGTCGTACGTGTTATACGGAGGTATCCCCGTCAAGGCCTTTTACTCTCACGAGGTTGGCCTGCGCCTCGTCCTCCACGCCATCGCCACTTCGGCCGCCCGTTATGGACTCACTATTGAGCCTTTACTATCCGTATCCGCAGACTTTTACGTGCGCATCTTCGTCAGGGTCACCAAGTCGCAGGCGGCGCTCAAGTTCCTCGCATCCAAGACCATGGTCGTCTACAACTGCGACCACGGCTGCGGCGCGTGGGAGACCCAGTATTTCATGAAGAACAAGACGCAACCCACAAAGAGCGGCGCCAGCTCTTATTACAAACACAGCATGGCCCAGGCCCCTTCCTGCGACATGTTTTGCAAGCACTGCAATTCCAAAATGCACCTTGGCGGCCCCATGTACGGCGGCCACATTCACTCCCAGCTTTATCCAGCGCATCCTCGACAATCTCCCCACTCTCGACAGGAGCGTCTACGGAACCGTGCCTAGGATCGAAGGAATGCTTCAGACTGCCCTGGAGGAGCAGCTGCCTGAGCCGGAGCCGATAGAGAATGTGGACCCCAAGGACAGAGAGGCTGCAAGGGTTGACCCGAATCCCTTCTACTTCAACACGACACGTCTGGCGGGTAACTTTCACGCTACCGTTCCGAGCGAGGACATGTTCCGTGGCGCGCTACGGCATCTCGGGTACCAGGTGACGAGGAGTCATTGCAAGCCCGGAAGCATGAAGACGGACGCTCCGTGGTCGTCCATCTTTAGCGTCATGCGGGAGTGGATTCGACAAAAGGCGCCGGTGAAGAAGGAGAATATCAAGAAGAATAGTCCTTCGTGGAGGCTGCTAGGTTTTGACCGCGAGTCTGCCGAGGAAAACAAGACTACCGAATGCAGCGGGGGACCACAGGACGTCACGGGGCAAGAGGACGGCGCACCGCGCTCGGAAGAGGACCTTCTCAAGACTCTTGTTTTTAATGAGGACCTGGAAAAGCTGGGAAGAGAGAGGAGAGAGCGAGGATTGGTGCGCTACCAGCTAAATCAAAGGAGAACTGGGGCCCGATGTCCAGGGCGAGGGGCAGTTAGAAAGGAATCGGGGAGTCCCCGTACATAGATTCGTATATAAAAGGCGTCATCGCGGAAAGGTGGCTTCAAGTGGATGTGTACATATTCCATACCACTAAAACGTGTTGGCCATACCTCTCTGATAAATCATTTCCACACTATCTCTTACAAGTAGAGGCCGTCGACACCTCTTCGCCGCCTCACCTCATTGCGAGTCAACAAGTACATCAGGAAGGGAGACCAATCGTATAAGTAATCATTCTCATGGGAGCGGTTAAAATATAAGCTGTGGCTGCATGGGGTGAAGGGATTAAGCCCCCTCCTTATAATTGCAATGTTCCACCATGCTACTGGGGCCAACAGCCTCGCTGCAACCGAGCTCGCTTGATGTGGCGCTGATTTAGCTTGTGAGTGAGTGACACCCACTGACTAATTATCGCCAAGTGGGAGCCCCGATTCCTGCCACCGAGAAGGCGTCATCGCACCTGGACTAATAATCCGGCACCCCGAGCACCCGCGCCTGCCTGGCCTACATGCACTTGCTTATTTCCCGCTCCGGGCGTTGTCATACACAAGGCGCGAGGGCAAACGGGGCTGCAGCATCTCCCTTCCACCAAAGAGTTGCCGAGGCCGTTCTTCATCCCTTGCCTCTCTCCTTACCCTTTCCGGATTTCGCCGCAACCCCCAGTCGGCAAGCGCCGTTCCTTAAATTTCCGCTTTCTTTCTTTCTTCTTTCTCGCATTCCTGTAACACGCTCAGAATGGCTGCGCTGGATGCCAAGGTGGACGCGGGCTCTATAATAAGCTCCGAGCTGGAATCGAGCCTGCTTTTTATCGTCGATAAGACGGCTAGCGGCCAAGGCTACGTTGCAACATGCCTTCGTGAGGGCGAGTTGGACGCCGACCGGCCGTACGAGTTACTTCACCATGAGCTTGATACTTTAGCGCCGAGCTTAAGGCCCCATGTTATCAAGAAGCGCCCACAGCACCTGGATCCCTCGACGGCAGCTGTCCACGTCATTGTATCTGGGAAGTCCGGTATAGGACTTGCCCCCAAGGCATGGGATGCCGTGATTCGACCTCTCCTAGAGATGATTCAAGGCCTGGGACAGGAGAACGAGTCCACCGCGTCTAGGCCCGGCTACGAGGCGCTCATCACAGACAGCGCTTCAAGTATAAGAGACTTTGCACGATCGAAGCTGGTCTCCGGATCAGGGGACGGTCGCCCGAAAACCGTGATCCTGCTTAGCGGCGATGGTGGTATTATTGAGCTGCTCAACGGGCCGGATGATCACATTTCCACGTCGGTCCATCCTGTCATCTCAAACCTACCGTTTGGAACGGGTAACGCTCTCTTCCATTCTATTCACAAATCCCTCTACGGCCCCACATCTCCCAGTCCCTTGGTTCTCGGTCTTCGAACACTTTGGAAAGGCACGCCATCCCCTCTGCCGACCTTCCGGGCTTCCTTCTCCCCGGCGCGCGGCTCATCCGCCCCGCTGACGAATCGGGCAAGATTCCACCCCCAAACGAGGCCGAGGACAGTGTAGAGCACCTCATCGGTGCCGTGGTGGCGAGCTACGGATTTCACTCCAACATAGTTTGGGAGAGCGACACCCCCGAGTACCGCAAGCACGGTGCCCAGCGGTTTCATATGGTCGCCGCAAACCTCTTGCGGGAGAACCATGCCTACTCCGCCACCGTCTCGACCAGGTCATCAACGGGGGCGGCTCTACTAGTCTGCAGCCCCTCCGGAACGCGCCGGAAAAGTTTGGCTACGTCCTCGTGGCCCAGGTCTCCAACATGGAAAAGACGTTTGAAATCTCCCCGGCAACCAAGCCGCTCGACCAGGCGCTACGACTCGTCTACTTTGGCCCCGTTGGCGGGCAGAAAACCATGGAGATCATGGGCGCCGCGTACTCGGGCGGTCGGCACGTCGAGATGGATGAGGTGGGGTACGAGGAGATTGACGGACTGGAGGTACGGGTTGCAGAGGAGGATCCGAGGTGGAGGAAGGTATGCGTCGACGGGACAATTGTAGAACTAGGACGCAATGGCTGGATGAGGGTGGAAAGGGTTAAGGATCCTTTCCTCGCGGTGCTGAGTCCGCGAAAAGAGCACTCTCCAAGATTATAAGATGTCTTTCTTCATGGTTATAAACATGCATGGTTGTCATTAATATGCTTTTCCGTCCCGATCCCGATGTGATGCGCCCTGTTTCAAAGTTTGCGGACAATATTATTAGCCGTCCACTTTCAATTTCCCAGCGTCCTCCGCCAACGGCTCCTCTTGTGCTTCTTCCGCACCTATACCACCAATCACGACCGGCTCGCTCGCACCATCTTCATCGTCCTCAGATTCGTCATCGCTCTCATCGTACTCTTCCTCATCAGATCCGGCACCCTCACCGCGGGACTCGATCTGTTCCCGCATGGCCACCTCGAGATCCTTCGCCATCTTTTTGCTGAACCCGGATGCCGCCGCCGTGGCATCCAACCGGGTCGCGCCATCCTTTGCTACTAGTTTCTTGGCATCTTTGAAGAATGGACCTGGGGTCGTGCTGACGAAATGAAACCGTCTCTCAAAAACCTCTTCACACAGGCAACATCTCGATCAAAGTACATTTCCGCATTTCGGTGGTCCATCGAAACCATTTGGGGGAAATCGATGAGAATAGGAACAAGATCGATAGCCTCTTCTTCCTCGTTCGTCTCGCTATTCTTCTTCGACGTCTTGACCTCCTTGATCAACAAGTTAAACTCGTTGAAATCACCGTGAATTAGGCCATGCTTTGCAAGTCGTAGGATGAGCGCTATCAAGTCAGCGTAGAGACTTGCTGGATCGGGCACGGAAGAGATGCCACGGAGCGGGAAGGCGTCGATAAGAGACATTAGGACCGTGTGTCGTGACTGTCCGAGAGGTTCGGGTACAGGGAACCCTTCGTTCTGCAGCGCCTTCATGAACGCGTACTCGCGCATGGCTGCTAACCGGGACAGGTACATCCAAGATCCCGATGACCTATTTTTTAGGTAGTCTCGGTTGGATTTGACTGTTCGAAACGAGATTCGCCCCAGCCTGTGGATTTTGAGCACTCTTTGCACGCCACTGTTATCTGCCACGACCATGATATCGCTCTCCTTGCCGACTCCTATCCGAGTGCCGACGCTGTAGATCTCCTTTCGCGCCGAGTATGTGTGGAGTGCGAGATAATCCATGCCGCCGTAGGTCAAGCGGTAGCCATCGTACTTGGCCTCCTTGACGCGGGCGATCAACCCAACCTTTGCGAGGGCTGAAATACTCCGGTGCACGCCGTTGGCACCGCCGCGCAACCTTGAGATTCTTTCGATTAGGGGTGTGGGGACAATCTCGTGATTTTTGCTGCCCATTTCGACCTAGAATCCGCACGCGTCAGTATAAGCTGTTGTTCTCCTTTCTCGGTAAGCACGCATCGCATTCTTGCGTTGCCACAGGTCGTAACCTACCGCCGTGAGGACCCTCCAGTCCTCTGAGGCCAGGTGGCGCATGGCCCTAGTGTCGAGCTTCATGGCTGCAGATTCGAGGGAATTTCAATATTTCGATACGCGGCGATGGTTCCGTCGTTCTAAGCAAAGGGGCGCGACTTGTTCAGTTCCGTTCGACGACGTGGGGTTGAAATTTGTGCCCCTCCACGAGAAAAAAGCCGATAAGATAAAAGATGCCAAGACGTGCGATAAGATAAGAGAATATTCATCCTTGAGCCTGGCGCCTGAAGCGGGAGACTTGACCCACACCGAATGCACGGTTCACTTCACGTGACCATAAAATTGCTGATCTAAGCAGAACAAGGCGCTGGTTTCCAGGCGGCAAAGCCTCGCGTCACCATGGCAGAGAGCTGTGAGCTTGCAAACAAACGAGCAGAACCGCTGACAGCTCCCCATCTTCCCACCGACAAAAACTCCCCATATCATACATCCGACCACCTCCCATTCTATCTCCCGGGAGGACGCTGCCCCGCTACACCTATATAATCTCCAATCCATCATTTTCTTTCATCTTGGAATTTTTTATTTGATTGTGTGTCGATAGCGGAAGGCCGGGTTCTCCACTATTCCGCATCAAGTTCAAACCTACTCCGCCGCTCACACCTGTCAACATGGCGCAAGACATCGACATGACGACGCCTGAGGACAAGGGAAAGGGCAAGGCTTCCGATGCCCCTAACGATGAAAAGCCCGTACTCAATGGCAAGAAAGAAGAAGACAAGGCTGACGGTATGTTTCACTGGTTCGGCCCCGATAGCTGCGAAATGCAGCCCCCGCCTCGCAAACATGCCATCCATTCTTTTCTTTTGTATTCTAACGTAAAGACTTCCTTTAGCTGGCGAGGAACTCAGTGAAGAGGACCAGCAACTAAAGAGTGATCTGGAAATGCTTGTTGAGCGACTGACCGTAAGATGCTTGTTGCAAACATCCGCCTGCCTTGTCTGCTGTTCTTGTGGATCTAACCCATAGCCCGTGTAGGAGCCCGACACCTCTCTGTACAAAACCGCACTCGAGACTATGAAGACCACCATCAAGACCTCCACTTCCTCCATGACCGCAGTCCCCAAGCCTCTCAAGTTTCTCCGTCCGCACTACGAAACCCTTACCAAGCTCTATGAGGAGTGGCCGGCAGGTGATGACAAGACATCATTGGCTGACGTCCTGTCGGTGATCGGCATGACATTTTCAGATGAGGATAGGCAAGACACCCTCAAGTACCGCCTCCTCGCTCCCACATCAGACATTGGCTCATGGGGTCACGAATATGTGAGGCATCTGGCTCTCGAGATTGGTGAGGTTTATGGCAAGCGATTTGCCGGCGAGGAGGATACCGATGACCTTGTTGATCTCGCACTCTCACTGGTGCCTCTTTTCCTCAAGAGCAACGCGGAGGCTGATGCGGTCGATCTAATGAGCGAACTTGAGATCATTGACCGGATCCCCGAGTTCCTAGACAAGGATACCTATCCCCGGGTCTGTCTCTACATGGTCAGCATGGTCAACTTGTTGCCGTATCCCGAGAACGAACTCTTCCTAAAGACGGCGCACAAAATCTATACCCAGTACAATCAGTTCACCCAGGCCATGGCGATCGCTATCCGCCTGAACGATGTCGAGCTCATCAAAGCCGGCTTCAGCCGGTGCAAGGACCCAGCCGTGGAGAAGCAGCTCGCTTTTATGATTGGCCGCCAACGGATAGCCTTGGATGTTGATGCCAACACGGCGGACGAGCCGGACCTCCTCGAGTGCTCCTCCAACATTAAGTTGTCCGAGCACTTCAAGGCCCTGGGCAAGGAGCTCAACATTCTTGAGCCCAAGACGACGGAAGACATCTACAAGAGCCACCTCGAAAGCAGCAGGGTCGCGGGCATGACCAACCTCGATTCTGTCCGGCACAACCTCGCCGCAGCCTTTGTCAACGCGTTCGCCAACGCGGGCTTCGGCAACGACAAGATGATGTTGGTGGATGAGGACAAGGAGAGCTGGGTGTGGAAGACCAAGAGCGATGGACAGGTATCGACAGTCGCATCAATGGGCATGCTGCTCTTATGGGACATTGAGAATGGGCTGGATCGCATCGACAAGTACACGTATGCGCCCGAGCCGGAGATCGCGGCAGGTGCCATGTTGGCTATCGGCATCATGAACTCTGGCGTGCGTATAGACTCGGAACCCGCCTTCGCCCTCCTAGGCGATCCCGAAAAGCTTAATCACAAGGATCCCATCATGCGAACAGCTTGCATCATGGGTCTCGGTCTCTCGTATGCCGGCTCCAACAAGGACGACGTGCTCGAGCTCCTTCTCCCCATCATCCAGGACTCGTCGCAGTCGATGCAAATCTCGGCCATGGCGGCGCTCGCGTGCGGGTTGGTATTTGTAGGTTCGTCGCACCCCGACGTGACGGAGGCCATCATCACCACGCTCCTCGACGACGACCGCAAGAGCCAGCTTACGGACAAGTGGTCGCGCTTCCTCGCCCTCGGACTCGGACTCCTTTTCTTTGGGCGTCAGGAGGAGGTAGATGTCATCCTAGAGACCCTCAAGGCCGTCGATCACCCGGTAGCGCGGCCGACGGCCGTGATGGCTGAAATTTGCGCCTGGGCGGGCACCGGGGCGGTGCTCAAGATCCAGGAGCTCCTACACATTTGCAACGAAGAGATGAAGGACTCGGAAGACCGCAAAGGCGAGGAGCTTCTCCAGGCGTACGCGGTTCTCGGCATCGCCTTGGTGGCTATGGGCGAGGACGTAGGGCAAGAGATGGTACTCCGGCAATTTGGACACCTTATGCACTACGGGGCGCCCAACATTCGGCGCGCGGTGCCGCTGGCGATGGGATTAGTCAGCCCAAGCAACCCGCAGATGAAGGTTTACGACACGCTATCCCGGTACAGCCACGACAATGACAGGGACGTTGCGGTGAATGCCATCTTTGCGATGGGTCTTCTCGGAGCGGGCACGAATAACGCTAGGTTGGCACAGCTCCTCCGTCAGCTGGCGGGCTTCTACGCGCGGGATCAGGAGGCACTCTTCATGGTGCGCATCGCGCAGGGCCTGCTGCACATGGGCAAGGGCACGCTCTCGATCAACCCTTTCCACACGGACAGGCAGATCCTATCGCGAGTGGCGACAGCGGGTCTCTTGGCGGTTCTGGTGGCGATGATTGACGCGTCCAAGTTCATCACGCTCGATTCACACTACTTGCTCTACTTTATCGTGACGGCCATGCACCCCGTTTCCTCGTCACGCTCGACGAGGATCTCAAGCCGCTCAAGGTCAACGTCCGCGTCGGTCAGGCGGTTGACGTTGTCGGCCAAGCGGGCCGGCCCAAGACGATTACCGGGTGGCAGACGCAGAGCACGCCGGTGGTGCTAGGCTACGGTGAGAGGGCAGAGCTAGAAGACGAAGAGTACATTACGCTTAACGGCACGCTTGAGGGCCTCGTCATCTTGAAGAAGGTATGTTGTATAGAGTGTAGGAGTGGGCTGTCACCTCTCCCGCGCGACTTCCTCCCCTCTTTCCTCCCTCACCCCCGAATCCCTTTACAATGTTGACGGGCTGCTCTAAACCTCTTATACTAACGCTCGTTGTCTTACAGAACCCTGAGTGGGAAGGTGGAAAATAAACTCTGCACGGCTTCTTGGAGGTAGAAAGGGAGCAGGGCAAAGGCGGAGGCGGAGGCGGAGGCAGATGCGAATGCGGCCTTGATGTCGGTAGCTAGGCTTGGGCCGCAGTAGACAAACTGTATAGTAATAACATTCATGGATGTCGCGTTGCATTGAGAGAAAATTGAACATTGCAAAACACGGGGGTAATGGGGAGGATTCTCCATCATGGCACACCTCAGAATGCTAGAGAAGGCTCAATATTATCACAATAGACATCGCTCATTGTTCTTACCCCTTTCGTCCTCTTCCCTTTTATATGTGTGTGGGTTTCGTTTCTTGTGTCTTTTTTCCTCTGCTTCCCTCTGCCCATGCTCATGCGCAGCCAGGCCTTTTTGCTGCTAACAAGCCATCGACCTTGGCTGCGAACCAGTACTTGACTTGTATTATTGGTGCATCGTGTGTGGTCTTGGGACGCGTTGGCTCATTATTATTATGACCAGGGGCCTATATAGATGGAGAGATTGATGCCCTGTGTGCACTGAGATGGGAAGACAAGGGCCTACCCGCACACTTCTTCAAGTGTTGGCATTGAGCAGTGCAGTGCCGGCGAGCACAAAAATGCCTGGCCATGTTTAATTGCATTATATTACCGCTTCTCCCTTATCCCTGGTTCCGTTTGATTCGATGCTGCAGCGCTATCTTGCGTTGGAGCATTACTCCGTGATGTGCGGTAATCTCCTTTGGAAGCGCCTCTTTCTGTGTTCATGGTGGATGCACTGATTTTACATGTAGTCCAAGTGCACCGAGTCAACACCGAGGTATGGTATTCCTCCCTTTCGTTGTGGTCCATGGTGCTTCGCGGAAATCTTTGATGCGTATAACGCTGGGTGTATTATGACTCGGAAGAGACATGACCCATCAATGCATCAATGATGGATCCATATGCCGTACATTCGTTCGTGTTCCCAGAGTCAACATTGAAGCCTCAGCCCACGGCTCTGGCAGCATCCCGAATACAGCCTCAGCTGGTATCACGAATTCCATGTAGCATTGCTTATCTGGCCCCACTCCCGTCATCCCAGAGCGACGGACAGAGAGAAAGGAAACAGAATAAAAGGAGAGAAACGAGAGAGTTGAAACTCGGTATAATAGCCCAGCAGTATTATTCGGTAGGTGGGACAGGTGCAAGGAGTATAATAGATGGATGAAGGGTATATGCTATATTTCCGGATGCTGCATAATACAGGTAGTACATCAGCTGGAGCAGCCAGTCACATCTGTATTATTACTCCTCGACGGACATATAGCAGAAGGAAATGATACATGTGAAAAAAGCGCGCCAAGGTCCCAGCCGATGGTGAAGGGGAAAAGAAAATCTCCGACTCGGGGATTTTATTTCGCAGGCTCCCCACCCTCGACGGAGGCGCGGGATTCGATAGATTGGATCAATACGTGGTGCATGTAAGATAATACTTGTGTGTTTCCTGCCCATTTTCGATTGCAAAGACAGAGAGTATCAAGCAAGGGAATGAAAGGGAGAGAGAAAAAGACAGAGACAAAAGGGAGAGATAGAGAGATGGAGATATGGAGAGATGCAAGATGTGTTGCGATTCCAAATGGTGAAACATCTGAAATGATGATTCTGATTGACAGACGGTTGATCCCCCGGTTTTGGTCATGTTCGCTCTTTCACAGTCCACGATGGCTAATTCGTAGATCTCGGTCCGGAAAGAGGGGGCCAGCCAGAGCATGACTCGGCCCATTTCGTGGATGGTGGATGCCATATCGCATTATTACAATAATAGACACGTCTCTTCATCGTTGATCTGTTCTGTTCGATCTTGCGTTCTTCCCATCTTCTTCTTTTCTCTATTGTGTTTTCTCGCTTTCTCTTTTCCCTTCTCTTCCATCTTTCTCTCGTGCCTAGCCCGACTCTTGTCAAGTCGGTTCATGAATCCCTACCTCGGTATAAGCAGAATAGTTAGCGATAGCCGGAGGAGCTGGGAACTGGGAGCCTGGAGCTAGGGTCAGGAAATGCTAGTCAAATGATCTGCACAAATGCGACCACGACGGCGAACAAAGGCCCAGCTTGCCAGCCTTCATCCATGCCCTCCATCTATGTATTATTTGTCAACACAGGAAAAAGTTGATCACCTGGACTGGAGGAGCAACAGAGATCATGCACGGATATCTCCACTCTAGATGTGTCGTGTGGGGAAAGAGAGGGAAAGAGTCTGCGTGTTCCTCTCTTTTCTTGGAGGCCGGATGGAGTGACCGGCGTGCGTCCAAGGTGAGACGACGAGTCACTCCGACCCCAAGCTAATTCGCATTGATGGCATTCGAAGCTCTATGTGCACCAAGCACAGCACATCTTGACGGAAGCAGCAAGCCGCCTAATCCCAATGCCGGCGAGCTGTACAATCACCACCTCATGTTTTCGTCCTCAACCGGGCCTACTTGTGATAACACATCTATGCAGCAGCTCGATCGAGCTTAGCTGGCCAGGTTTAGTTTGTACTCGTATTAGGGATGTGGCGCCCTGGAAAAGGGAGATGAAAAGAGAAGAAGAAGAAAAAAAGAAAAAAAGAGAAAAGTAAAAGAGGGAAAGAGGGAATCAACAGAGGTTCCCGGTAATTTCACACAGACTCGCCACGCAATATCCGAAAGAAGGCAGGAAGAACAGGAAGAGGAAGGAGCCGTCAATGTCTGTGGCGGAAGCTCCGTTCATGAGCTGGAAGCCCTGGTCTGGCCTAGCCTGGCAACCTGGGCCTCTGTACCTGTACCACTGTGCCAACCTTGATTCATCCTGGTCGCCAGCACTTGAGGCCTTCTCTCCTCCCCTTGCTCTTTACATCTGGCTGCTATTATTATTTCTCATGCTTGCACATCGCGCTAAAGGAGAATACCGAGCGGTCTGCAGCCTGAAACGGTGGCCACGTCGTATTATTTGATCGAGCTAGCTGGCACTGACAAGAACGTCATATCATCGATACCATTTGAAGTGACAGAGGATGGAGAGACAGCCCTTGTGAGAGGTACCAGTGATTCTTAACGGCCTTTATAGCAGCATTGATTGTTTTCCCCTCAAGCTCCGAAGTTGACCGATGCTACCAATGGAGGGAGGAAGGGCGAAGAGGAGGGGGAGGGGAAAGGAAAGAATGAAGAAAAAAAGGGAGAAAAAAAAAGAGAAAAGAAGGAGGAAAAAAAGAAAAAAGCTTAATGATGTCTCTTATATCACATCCACCGTAGGGTACACACTAGTGCGGGAATCCCGTCTAATGTCACGTCTGGTCGGGGTATAACTGGTGATTCTCCTTCGATTACAATTGCACCGATCTGCATTAAACCATGGAAGCACAGGTCTCCTCCGCCCCATCATCTCTCTCCACGCCTTCCAATTGTAGCGGCGTCCGTTAGCCATCAATCCCAAAGAGAAGGGGACGGGGAAAACAAAAGTGTGTGAGAGAGAGAGGGAATGCGCCCTTGTTAGTGGGGACCAAATGGCATACAAGTAGGATATACGCCCATCCATCACCCGCCGTTTCGTTTCCCCTCCCTCCCTTCAATGTTTCCTCGCTTACCATCCCACCTGTTCCAACCCTGTTCCCGGATCACCCTATCGATCTTCACACAACCCACATGCGTCAGAACTCGCCGGAACTTACCTGACCCTCGATTCCCCTTCCACCCCCAGGCCGATGATCAGGGAAGCAGGAATGATCGAGAGGGGAGAACAAAGCTTCATCATCCCGCCCCCGAATCCCCCGAATCCCCTACCCCGTTTCCATTGTGTACTCTGTGGTATCCTGACAGCACCGAGACACGACACCGCCGCCCTCCTTCAATCCCCATCCGACCTTCTTCGCCCGGCGTTCACCTGCTGAACCTCACCATGGCTGCAACGGGCATAGGGAGTGCGCGAATCTTTGACAAGGCCATCATGGCTCCCTCCTACTCCGGCCCATGGTTTCGCTGAGCGTCCAGGCAAAGGAAGACCTTTCCGCGAGCTCCGAGTAGCCAGTGACGACGTGACGACGAGAAGGCTTGACTCTCATATCATGCCACTAGTTCTATACTGCCATGCTGGCCTGACGAACCCCAAACATGGGGGAGGGGATCAACCCGGAAGCTTGGCCTAGGACTGACACTTCGTCCCAGACATCTTTTGGCCCGCTGGCTTTTAAGCTTGAGTGGACTCCCAACACTCGCCACATCTTACCCATGGTTCCGACAAGATATAGACGCTGCCTGGTGCGGAAGGCCGACCAGAACCCCCACCAACACACGGCGCTTCTGCTTCCAATCTTCATTTTCGGTCCCGGTCACGACGTCCTGTAGGCCAAGCTTTGTCCGAACCAGCGCGTTTGCCTCCACCCTTCTGCCCTTGGGAACCAGATTATCCCCCGAACTGGGGGTCTGGTCGGCCCCATTTGCAACAGATTTCACGGCATGAGACTTAGATGAGGCTGGGATGAGACCAAACAATTCTTCAAAAGAAAAAGGTAACCTGAAAAGCTTGAAGTAAAGATACTAAGAAATGCACCATGCAAAACGCCGCTTTGAATTTCGACGCTCTCTCACTCTCTCTCATACATGACCTTTCGGTGTTCTCGCCATGGTATCATGTCTCTGTCAAGCCGCAAAAGAGGAAAAGAAACCCTAAGAAAACGAACAATGAATCCCCTCTCACTTCGAAACTTTTTTCCCAAATCAGTTGTTGTCCATGGTCTTAAACAAACACCACCCAATTCGTAAGAAAACGGCCGTCAGCACATCAACTTGATCTCACAGCCCATACATGTATCCTACAGGACTTCGCCGCGCACCTTCTTCACCCAACACCCACACACGCATCACTGCGAGGGGTGTTTGCCGTCTGGTAGTCTGGTGGCTTTGACCCCTCGAAATCAAGGTCGGCCCGCCCTTTCCAAGAAGAAGAAAGAAGAGAAGAAGAAGAGAAAGAGGAAAGGGACTCAGAAAAAAAAAAAAAAAAGGAGACTGATGAAATGTGAACCAACGCAAGACTGAACCCAAGACAAGAGAAAATCGAGAATAAGAGAAGAAAGAGAAGAAAAAAAGGAGACAGATGAGATATATGTGATGTGAAGAAAAGAAAAGAAGAAGAGAAGAAGAAAGATACAGGTAGAGGCCATGTCTATCCGACTGCCACGGTGGGAAAATTCAACACCACCATATAGAGGAGAAAGGATGGCGGTCCACAACGAGGGGACCGGAAAAGAAGAAGAAAAAGTCAAGAAAAAGGGAGTCAAGAAAGAAGAGAAGAAAGGAAAGGACAGAGGGAAGTGTTGAAGTGAAAGAGTAGGTAGGTAGGCACCTGGGGAGGTTCAACGACGCTCGGGGTCGATGGTTCCAGCAGGACCGTATCCCGGGGACGTGGCCCTAGGATTTTGAGCAACACGCAACTGCCCTTCACAGACGGCAAAGGAGCCCAGGGCTTAGCGCATTTGGCCGTGGTCTTGCCGGTCAATAAGTCCCCGATATCGACCCGCCCCGACCGCTCGTCTCGGGACAGAACTGCTTCACTTGGCGCCATCGTTGTCGCCTGAGGATGTGCACGGATCGGTGGAAGTTGGAATGAAGCCGTCAGAGGGGCTCGGCCGGAGCTCGTGAGCTCACTCCGCGGAATTTGGTACGACGACGATCCACTCGCCGCGTACTCGGGGCGGCTGGGAGATGGTGAATACGCAGGAGCACTTGGCCCTACTCCTGGGCTGTGGCCCGACAAGAGTTGGCTTCCCGGAGGAGCAGTGACTGGGCGGCCCGTCATAGGCCCTGGGTCAAACCTGGGTCGGTTCGGATCAAACGTCGCTGACACCGGCGTGTGCTGCATATAATGTTGCTGCTGATGTTGATGCTGCTGTTGTTGTTGTTGCTGTTGCTGTTGTTGGGGGTGAACCTGGGGCTGGTACGGATACGGGGCCGCTACCTGATCCCTGGAATGCGGAGAAGGAGAGGGATAGGGATACCGAGAGGGCCCGCTCAGTCTCAATACCACTACGTAGATGGATTCTACCTTGGTGAGGCCAAACTGGAACGGCATCGACCGTTGCCCGTCCGTCGAGAGGAATGTTAAAAGACCGTGACGTTCGAGCTGGACTCGCGAGATGTCCTCAGCGCCGAAACCCAGAGTCTGGATAACTCTCTCGCTTTCTTGTTTGTTGAAGATCGGCGGCAGATAGCGCGGTTCTTGGCGCGAGCGGTCTTCTTGGAGGGCGGTCTTGTAGCCCGCGATACGTTCCCGCTCCACTGGCAACACTACGTCGAACAAGGACCGGCCGCTTGGAGCCTGAAGGCCAACTAGTTCTAGGAAGGTCGCGGAAGCTTTCACAAGCTCCCATTCCATCGTCAGGTAGGCCACCGGTTCGGGTGGCCGCGTGGTGATGGATAGTGGTGGTGCCGGATACACGTTGGCATCGCTGGCCAGTGCTCGCTCGATATACCTGGGAGCCGTGGATTCGCTTGGTTGCGATTTTAGAACCCGACGCGACGGACTATTACGACGGAGAGTGGCCTCGTACCCTGAGAGAACGCTGCCGCCTGGGTAAGCACCCAACGGTCTTCTTAAGCTTGTATCTTGTCCTGCGGCGAACCTGGATCCTTCAAACCGCGCATCTCGATCATCGCGTAACCGCGGCCGTCCTCGTTTCTTGTGCTGAACATCGATACAGGAGTCCTCTTTGCCATTCATGAGGCAGCGCGAACAGGGCCGTTGGGCTAGATAACGAAAAACGCATGTTAGCTCTAGTGCACAGGCTCTCTAGCACGCTCACCACATTTTGTTTTTCTTATCACGAGCAGAATCCTCCTAGAGGAGATCAATCATTCGGTGAGCAATACATACCGTCGCATCTACGTTGAAAATTAGCAAGTGTTCTAGGATGAACTACCGACAGTAACACGCGCCTGAGCTGAGAGGGTACATACCTGAGATGGGCCTTTTGCAAGGGACGCAGGCGGATGCGACATGACCTTTGGCTTTCCTCGCAGGCCTAGGAGGTTCGAAGCTAGTGGGCGCTTGGGTAGGGGGTTGACTTGACGTCGGGTAAGGATGCGGTTGGCCTACAACCGGTGGGAGAGAGGCATAGGGAGGCTGTTGTTGGGCGAGGTTGGAGGGCCCTGGAGGGGGATACGAGAGTCTCCTTGGGAGGGGGCTCGGTCGGGCGGTAATATCCCATTCTATCGGATGTATCGGGCGGCGGGGGTAGGATCGTAACGAAGGCGGCGGAGGCAACGAGGTTGGAAGATGGGATCGGATGTCTTCAGGATGGCTCTGGTGGTGATGGGCCCGATACGCATCCTGCGGATTGTGAGGCGGCTGCGGCGGCAGGGAGTATGAACCATGCACTTGGCCTCGATCACCGGCCTCTAATCTCGATTTCGGCGGAGGAGGAGGAGATCCTGACATGGGCGGCGAGGGGTAGGCCCTTGACCGAGCAGCAGCCACGGACTCTGCTCTTTTGTCGGCCCAAGTCAGATCTAAAGAAAAGCTCGCCAGGTCCGATATTCCTCGGCGTTTGCCGAGAGGTGAAAAGGATCGATAAGGGGTTGAGCTTATGCCTGGCATGGATGAATCAGTTCGCCCTGGCGAGTGTTAAACGAGTGACTGGGGTCGAGCGCCTTTGAATATCGCCCACCAAGACGACAGCCCCGACTCTCAGCACGAAAAATCGTCGATAAGTGCTCGTTCGAAGGGTCAACTCAAACCCGTTCGCAAGCTCGTGGACGTCAAGCCGGCATGGGTTGGCAGTACGCACGGGGTGAGGAGACAAAGAGAGGGAGAGGAATGGAAAGGAATGTGGATGGCCCTCTTGGACGGGGAAGCGCTAAAGACCCGGGATTCAAGATCTCTTGCCAAATTCCAACCAATACCGTCCCGCGCAATGGTCGGAAGCCCAATGGGAGAAGAAAAAAAAAGGAAAAGAAAGAAAAAAAGAAGAGTTGAATAGATGGGGAAAGGGATGCGTTCAGCTCGTGAGCAAGGGGAGGACGGGAAACGAAGAGAAGGAGAGCAACTCTCCAAAAACCCCAAAAGAGTCCTTGAGAAAAAGAAAGAAAAGAAAAAGAAGGATGCCCGCGCAGGCGAAGGGGGAAAAAGAAAGAAAGGAAGGTAGGTTCCAACGCCCCAACACGGCTAGCCGTGGTGATTCGCGGACAAAAAAGAAGGCCGGCCGAAGAAAAGCTGGTTGACAGGATGGGTACGGGTCGAACCAAAGACCTGGTGTCAGGGATCGCAATCGGGAGGTGCAAATTCCAATAAATCGGCGGCGACAGGCGAGTGCACGCGGGTAGGACAAGATGCTGCACTGTAATACCGGTCAAGAGAAGTCGGATCTTGGGGCCAGTGGCACCGTGTCCGGCGGTGATCGCTTGCTGTCGAGGGTGTCGGGCAACTGCAGAGGCAGCCACCAGGGAGGGCGCAGGTCAGTCGAAGGGGTCGAAGCCGACTGATGCACACGGAACCCTCGCTCAAACTATCCTGCTTGGGCCGTGGAATGGGATTGCTGCAACTCCGAGCCGGGGAGGGAAGGAAAGAAGAAGAGAAAAAAGAAGGAGAAAGAGAGCGAACAGCAAGATTGGTTGAGATCTTGTCGAGGTGTTGAGAAGGGAGAGGAAGATCCAAGATATATCTTCGAGCTGCCAGGTGGGAGGCTTTTAAAGAAAGTCTGAGCAGAGACGGCTGGCTAGTGGCCGGGTTTTGTGCAGCTCCTCTTGCTCGTCAAGGGGGTGGACAATTGGCAGCGAGGGATGGGGTAGTGTGTGCTCGGGCAGGGTTGCGCTGGGAAAAAGCGGCAAGGGGAGGGGGGCGAGCAGGAAGAAGGGGGGTAGGCTTCAGGGTGACCCCGGTTCGCTTCTGAAGCGGGTGCTAATCAAGGGTAACGAACCTAGACCACAATAGTCATTTCTGGTGAAGGAAGAAAGATTCTGGCAGAAGATGAGATGCAAGCGGAAGACCCCAGCCAAGGAGCAGGCAGGTCGCGCACTTGCGTCTTGGTGGTGGAGATGGGCCCACGTTAGCTTCCACTCTCCCGCTTAAAATAAAACCGTCCATGGACGTTTACGCACACGATGCGCTTCAACAACACATTTGGCGTAACAGGTGTTCCCTCCGTGGGCCGTGGGCAACGCACAGCCATCAAGGCTGGAGATCGTTCCTGGGTCCTTTCTTGGGACGAAAGGGGGCGTGTGATCCATTTCCGAGTGCTAGTGTGTAGTGTGTATTAGTGTGTAGTGTGTGCAGTGTGTAGTTGTAGTGTTGTAAAGGTAGTGTAGGTCGGGGCAGGGGATTGGCGATTACGGCAGGGGTTCAGGTTGATGCGCGGAAGGGTTGCTCTTGGTGGGAGTTGAGATTACGAGGGATCGTGGTCCGGTAATAATCAGACTTGAGAACAGATCGGCGAGCTTGAGAGATGGGACGAAGCAGGCTGGGGTGAGTTGAAAGGGAAGGGGGTGGGCAAGGGTCGCCGAGGGCCCAAAGGACAAACCCACGAGTTGAGCGGCCGGCATGAGAAGGTGTATGAGGAGTGCGCCAGAGTTGGGGTTGAGGTGCAGGGGTGGAACCGGAATGGTTGCACCAGTCTGGTTTATTAGCACGAGTGTGTGCGCGCGCTTGTCATTACATCTAATTCAGTATTGATCGGTGATGTCGGTTGGGGTTGGGTTTGGGGGCGCTTTTGCTTCTGGGGCTTCCAAAGTCTGGAGGCCTGGCACGCTAGAAATCCGCCAGTGCTCTTGGCTTGACGACCAGTTGGGTCTAGGGCACGAGAAAACCCACCGGCGCAGCTTCGCTGGCGTCGATTGTGGAGATCTGATCACGACTTGTTGCTATGGAAGTGTCATCAAAATGGCCTGTCCGTCCCAGTCTAGACTTGTGGGCGAGCGAGGTCGTTATGGGTAGCGAAGGTAGCCAATCGAATCTGAAATGAGCAGTGCTCGAAGCAGTGTCAAGTTGTGGGTGAATTTGAATTCTTGAAATTCTCCTGTCCGTATTCCAAATGATCTATAGACTTGATGTTCCGAGAGAAAGAGAAAAAAGAATTGGAGGCGCGGACGCGAAAAGAATCATCACCGAGAGCTACGGAGAAATTCTCCAACACTCCTTGCTGTCGATTCCTGACACGGAGAGGCAGAGGCGGTGGAATGGCAGTTTCGTCTCTCCGCTGCCAGTCACTACCTCGACCTTGACTCGACTCGAGGTCAATTGAATCCTCCCATTGGTGTGCCATGCGTGTCAAGATGCTGCGCACTGATGTACTTGAGGCCACCACATGCAATGTTAAGACGTAATTAGGGGCGGGAGCGGTATCAGCAGCCTGCAGTCCCCCAAAACAAACCCTCAACAGGCCAAATGTCGTAACATTGAACCGATCAATCAATCTGGTGTACCGGTGCTCTCTGGGTCTTCTGGGTCTCTGGGTCTCTGGGTGCATGGGATGAGGACTTCATGCTGAGTGCCCAGGTACGGTACACGCACCCACACGCTTCGGGTATGGGAGACGCCCTCTCCCCACCCACCCATCCATCCATCCATTGATCCATGGATACGGATGCTATGTAACGCTGGCCTTTGGTACCGCTCCCGTCCTGGGCGGCGGCTGACGAAATACGTGGTTAGGGGTCCTTTCCGGAGAGATACCCATTTGATCAATCGATCCATCCATCCATTCATCAGTGAATGCCTAAGTGCCTGAGGAAGACCGCATCTTTGCTCCTGACTGGGAAGCTGCCTCCCTTGGGGTGTGTCAATAATAGCGTGGGCCCCCGGTGATGCTGAGATATGATGAGACACAAGGCAGGAAGGAAGGTGAAATTCGTCTCATTTGGACAGCTTAAGCTCAAGAGTTCGGTAACATCCTCGCCCATTTCTGGATGGCACCCTTCCCCAAGGTTCAAGATTTGTCGGAAGCATCAATTGTTGAGATGATTAATTGGGGCTTAGAGTCTGGGGATTTCCTTCCTCCTCTAAACCTCACCCCCTCTGCTGCCCTCCACCATCAAGATTGTCCGGTGGATGGCACTTGATTGATGGCATCCCGTGGCGGAAAGCTAGTAGCATCGGTTGGAGAAGGCAGCCGTTGACGTCTACGGGCGACAATGCGCCACGAAAAAGGGAGGGGAAAAAAACCCCTTCCTTCGTTCGATCCGCCACCGACTGTTGCATCGTGCAACTGCTGCCCAAGAAGCCAGTCTGAAATTGGGAGGCCAATCCGAGGCCAGGCTACTTGTAGACCGTCATCGCCCAGAGGAAAGAGGCGCTCTTAGCCCGGGAGTTGGATCATTACAGTACAAGTAGTGGTCCCGCAATTCGGAATGCGAATAAGAGGCCACTTGCTCTCCAAACTACTGGGGCAGCCATTCATGATCCGTCGCTGGCTTGCATCAAAAGATGGGTGGATGGGGGAAGGCGGCCTCTGAGAGACAGGACCCTGGCAGCTCAGCAAACTAGCCTCATCCGTAATGATACTTCGTACCAGTGCCAGTGCCAGGGCCACATTAATCTTGCCTGCCAGGACACGCGGTGAGCCGAAAGCCACTCCACCCACACCCACGAATGCTGCAAGTCACTGCTCACCCTGGCTCTTGACGGGCGGGAACTGTTCGAGGTGATACTGGCGCACGAGTGCCATGCCATGCTGGAGTGTACCTCAGGTCTCTTCACCCCACCAGCACCAGCCAGCGAGCGAGCGCGCAACGAGTCCTGAAACTACCAAGTCTGAGAGTATACATCGTGCTAGGTAGCCGCAAGGATTGCATCAGATCGATGTCGGGCGGAGTCCTTCCGGTCTGTCAAGGCCAAGAGTGTGACTTGGAATTGACCAAGGAGCCGGGAACAAGAAGCGAACCCTGCCGTTCTGGGCAGCCCTCATCCGCCGACTGTTATTATTTCCAATCTCTCGTCCCATCTCCCAGCTGTGCATTGTCCGCGCGGGGAAAAATAATAAAAAGAAAGGAAAAGGGGTGAGGGGGAAGCACACGGACTGCGCGAGTACCCATTCCCCGTCCCAAGTTCCTGGCACCCCTTATATTTCCTTTCCATTAAACCCTGAGAGAGAGCTTGCTCTCGCCAAGGACTTCATGTTCATGTCCTTTGCCCTACGGAAAACGCCAGATCCGGGATGAGATGAAAATGCACCTCTCGACATCCCATCGTGAGCATGACCCCAAAAGAGGCGCGGAG